TGTTCTCAACTCAAAAACCAATGTAAGCTGGGCACCAGTCAGTGGCTCACGCCTGTACTCAGGAGGCTGAGATCTGAGGATATCATGGTTCAAAGCCAGCCCAGGCAGAAAAGTCCATGGAACTTTTTTTTTTTTGGTCAGTTGTGGGGCTTGAACTCAGGGCTTGGGCGCTGTCCCTCAGCTCTTCAGCTCAAGGTAAGCACTCTACCCCTTGAGCCACAGCACTACTTCCAGTTTTCTAGTGGTTTATTGGAGGTAAGAGTCTCATGGATTTTCCTGCCGGGGCTGGTTTTGAACCGTGATCCTCAGATCTCAGCCTCCTGAGTAGCTAGGATTACAGGTGTGAGCCACCGGCGCCCGGCTAGTCTGTGGAACTCAAACTGGAAATGGCACTGTGGCTCAAGTGGCAGGGCACTAGCCTTGAGATGAAGAGCTGAGGGACAGCGCCCAGGCCCAGAGTTCAGGCCCCACAACCAACAACAACAGCAGCAGCAGCAACAACCACAAAGCCAATGTACTCAGTTCTTCAAGGTGACAGAACAACTTCAGTAAATTCTTTCAAAATATTCCCACTTGTAGAAATCCTCTTCTCTGAAACAAGGGCATGCGACTGTGTTATAGACGCCAGTCTACCACTAGCTAGCTTCTACCACTTAAGTAGCCAGCAGCAACCCTAATCATCAGTTTATTACTCGAGGAAGGAAGGGTGCAAACACCACAGGAGTGTCGGAACATCTCACCAGGCAACATAGTTGAGCATCTGGTGGAGGGCAAGGGCACTGGTTCCAAGCTAGCCTTTTCTGCTTAAGCTCTCAGCTCCTACAGGAGCAATGTCTGTGCACTTTTCACTGCTGAGTACAGTCCTGGCAAAAAGTACATAAAAGTGTACTATTTAAAAAACACTTTGGGGCTGGGAAGGTGGCTCAGTGGCAGAGCGCTTGCCTTGCATGCTCAAGGCCCTGGGTTCGATTCCTCAGCACCACATAAGCAAAAAGAAAAAAGCCGGAAGTGGCGCTGTGGCTCAAGTGGTAGAGCACTAGCCTTGAGCTGAAGAGCTGAGGGACAGTGCCCAGGCCCAGAGTTCAGGCCCCACGACCGGATCCAAAAAAAAAAAAAAACAAAAACACTTTGTTTTTGAAGGGTGTCTTTGATTTTATTGACCTAGCTGGCCTGCCACTCTTGGACTAAAGCCTAAGCCACCCTATGGATGGCTTAAGCACCTGCAATATACTTACTTTCTGACAGCTGTTGTTCAAAGCACATGGCAACCCTAATAGGTGTATTTCCTCTGTAGAGGTAAAGAGATAGGCAGAGATGCTAGCCACTTATCAAGGTCACACAGAAGGAAGCAGTACAAACCTGCTTCCACATTTGGCCACAGGCTGGCTCAATGCATATCCCCGGCCTGATCTTGCAGCCATGCAGCACTGGGAAGAAAACATGCTTCCAATTATAAGACACTTGCACTGGTCATAAAGACCTGCCATCTAGGAAGTGGAGCTGGGCTCAAGTGGTAGAGTGCTAGCCTTGAGCTGAAGAGCTGAGGGACAGCAGCCAGGCCCAGAGTTCAAGCCCCATGACCAAAAAAAAAAAACCAAAAAACCTGCCATCTTGAGGACAGAACACACAACACCTTGATCAAGATGCACTATACTCATAAACTGACATGCTGAACTGAAATCCTCTGAAAAGTTTAATTAATTTTCATAAGAAATCATACCCTACTGGCATTTTTTAAATTTAGCACTTTTCTTTTTAACAGCAATTCACACTCACTTTCACTCCGACACTGAACCAAAACATCTAGAGGCAAGGGGCGTGCACACACGCATACACATATATGTATATTTGGTTAAGAAATATATGTTTGTGTGTATATCTGCATGCATATAAGTATTAAGAACTACATATACATACACACACATATATATACATACACATATTTACATAGTAACTAATTTTTTTTTGGTTAAGAACTGTATACACACATATATTTCTAAACAGTTGGTTTTGTCTATCTGGTTAAATTTGGACATTTGCTCATGCAGTTCTGAACAGGTGTTAGTATGTCAGGCATGGATCAGGTTCTAAGCTGAAGAATGATAACAGCCACATAAAAACACAGTACAGGTCGGGTGCGGTTGGCTCAACTCTGTAATTCTAGCTACTCAGGAGGCTGAGATCTGAAGATCTCGGTTCAAAGCCAGCCTGGGCAGAAAAGTCTGTGAGACTCTTATCTCCAATAACCCACTAGAAAACCGGAAGTGGCTCTGTGGCTCAAGTGGTAAAGCACTCGCCTTGAGCTGAAAAGCGCAGGGATAGCACCCAGGCCGAGTTCAAGCCCCACAAACGACAAAAAAACAAAAAACAAAAAAACACGGTACAAGTTACCTAGTGTCCCAGCCCAAGTTAAAAGTCCGGAAGGTAACTCTCTGGGGTGGATCTAACCTAACACAAATTCAAAATAATAGTACCACAAAAAGTTTGACCTGAAATCTAGTAAAGAATTTAGTCTGAATAACTAAGAAAGTCCATAGTTGAGGCAACTTTAATTAGCATAAAGTTAATTCAACTTCTGGAGTCAAGCGACAAGTCTTCACCTGGAAAGAGGAAGAAAGCCATCTACTGACCTCAATGAAATTACATATAACATCCTAATTTCGGTTCATGTATTTGTGCTTTCTATGAAGCAGACATAATGGCAGCTTTTGACAATTTTTCCAATTTGCTAGTTATTTTGGAGATGTTGTCTCTGGGGCTCTTCCACCCCTATCTCTGAGTAACTAGGAATTATAGACATCAGCCACAGAACTCAGCTAATTTCTAGTTATTAATGTAGAAGCTGTAATTTGAAAGTCATTTTAGTGGGGGTGGTAGGTGAGAACAGCGAGAGGGGTGACATGGATCAAGATGTGCTGTACCCATCGACTAGAAAATCCTTCACAACTAGAGATTATTTTAACAAAACGAACTCACGACGACACCTAACGTGGACCTAAACGCAAGCTGTAAAATGCCTTTTGTAAGAGTTGGATTATTAAATGTGAAGCCTGCTCCTTTTCTAGGTTACGACTATCAGAAGTGGTGGGTTTTCTCTCCGTTTTAAAATGAGTCTGAAAAAACAGCCAGCTAAATGTGATCGTTGCGAGGCAGGGGTTCCGTCCCCAGCGATAGCCAGATTCAGGGCCTTGGAACAGGCTGGCCGCGGCGGCACCGCTGCGTGCGTCCCCGGCCTTTACAAGCCCTTCGGAAAACAAGGCGGCAGTTCTGACCGACACGGCTCGGCTCCGCGACTCCTTTTCTACGACACCAGCCCGGGGTGACACTGGCCCCGGGGGGTGACATCGGCCCCGGGGATGACCCCGCCCCGGGGTGACGGCGCGGGGCTGGGCCTAAGGTCCGCAGTCGCCACCGCCAGCTCTTCTTTCTCAATGGCAAGCGTTTCACACACGGCTGCACGGAAACGGGAAACCAACACACGCGGTCGGGATAGGAGTCCAGCCGGCGTGGGGCGCGGGGTGTCCGGGAGCACTCCGGGCACGAGTCCCGTGAGCGCCGGCCCGGCTCACGTGACCCGCCCGCCCGCGGCCTCCACGGGGCTCGGGAGGAGCCGGGTCGGGGACGGGAGGCTCCCTTCTCGGCCCCCATGGGCGCCGAGCACAACGCTCGGGGACAGAAGTCGGCGCGCGCGCCTCCCGGCCGCGTAGGCCCCAACCCCCGGCGAGGCCGGCGGCGCGAGAGCGGCCCGAGGGGCGGCGGCCCGACTCCCGGCCGGCTGCCGTCGGGGCGCGCGCGCCGGCGGAGGGGCCCCCTTCGCCGGGCTCGGGGCGAGCCCCGGGCGGGGGTTGGGGCGGCCAGGGCAGCCGCCGGGCCCGCGAACCCCCGCCTCCCCCACCCCGCGGACCCCGACCCTCACCCAGCAGCAGCAGCAGCAGCGGCCGCCGAGCGCGGCCGGGGACCGCCATGACGCGAAGCGGCCGGGACCCCAGCGGGCGGCGACGGCGGTGGCGCGGGGTCGGGCGGGCGCGGGGCAGCGATGGCAGAAGGGCGGCGTCCACCGATCGCAGAGGCCGGCCCGCTGCGGCACCGGCGCCGAGGAGACCCTGCGGCCGGCGGCGCCTGTCACGTGAGCGGCGCCGCGCCCGTCACGTGACTTGCGGGTATCGCGAGAGCGTGCGTCGAGCGCAGCGGCTTGGCTCCCCGCGGTTCCTCACCACGTGAGGACGGCGGGGCACGTGACCGTGCCAGGCACGTGAGCCCCAGCCACGTGACCCACCCCTCCCGCGGCGGCTGGAGAAAGCGGGCCGCGGTTTTGGGAAAAGGAAGCGGAACCGCCAGGGCCAGAGAAAGTGAGGCCCGAAAATGGGAAGTGGCGCGGAGCTGTGCCGGCCGGCGGCACACCCGCAGGTCACAGGCCACCCCTCCCTCCCCCGGAGGCGCGCCGGCTCCGGGAAGCGCACACGGAGGCGCGGGTCTGGACACCCCCTGGCCCCGCCAGCCCTTCCACTTCAGAACCGGGCTGACCGCATTTTGAAGGCAGGATAGCAGCTTTAGCAGGCCACGGCCACCCACTCAGCGCCATTCATTACCAGGGATTTTACACATTTGTAATGCTGCTTTCTTGGTGACTGGTGAAAACCCTCTTCCATTTTAGCCTGTACTCGGAGAAAAGCTACCCTGAATGTCTCATCATGTGGGGTAACGGCTTTTCATTTGCTTATCTGAAAGGCAAGCAATTTCACTCTCTCCAATTTGATTTTCCCTGCCCTTTTCAATAATTTCTTCTAAGCCATTTTGCCACATTAATCTTTAAAACAGTTCAGAATGGCACTGACAAGAGAATGGACAGAAACGATGAGACAGAAGTAAGGTACACTGCCCTTCCTGAGCAGTGGTGGTGACCAGGGAGGCAAAGACGCATGAGGATGACAGGCGTTCCCTGCCTCTGGCTAGTTCATCTGTGGTACAAGTAATTAACAGTTAGTGACAGAAGGAATGTGTAGTTTGCATACCAAAATGTTTTATTAATGTAATTTTAGGGCCAATTAAACTAGTTTTATTCAAAGTACGTTAAATTACATACAGTATTAACAATCTCTAGACACAATGAACTTAAAATGTAAGGAAGAGAAATAGGAATCTTTCACAGGCCCAGTTGTAGAACTCAAATGAAAATTTACAAATATAGAAAAGATGATGCTTAATGAATAAGGATTTTAATATCAGAACCCAAAAGATATTTTAAACACGCATGTTTCAAAAGGGGAAAATTCTTTAATAATTTAGCATAAAATCAAATTATATAAACTTGGTATATTCCAGAAAATATTGCTTTAAACACTTATACCATGATCAAAAGTCCTTTGGTAGCTTTTAATCAAAATGAAACATGCTATTTTGTAAAATATAAAGTACTTTTTAAGTGTTATCACAAAAGCATTTTGTCAGTTACCATACTAACATCACTACTGAACCTTCCTGTCACTGCTCAACATTGTATGTGCACAATTGGCCAGGTGCCAACAAAATCCTTTTAGTCTCTCAACAAATGACCTCTGCATCACAACGTCAAGGCTTGGGTCTCCTGTGAAGCTCTCTACAGTGGGCAGAGAACAAGGACGCTCCCTGGACACAACTGTAAAACCAAACCACACTTTATTATGGTAATCACACAAATACTGCAACCTAAAAAAAAAAAAAAAAATCAAAAAGCAGTCACCCCAATGCAAAAACCAGGGACTGCTAGACTCAATCTCAGAATGAAAACAGCAACACGCTAATCCCAAGGCCTTAAAACAGAACTGCACAGGAAAATCAGCTGAACTGAACTGGTGGTGGCAATGGGCACTTAATCACGCACATCAGATACAATGTCCTCTTGGCAATCAAGGATATCACTTTGAAACCAGATTTCTGAGAAACCAGGCAACAGAATTTAAAACTTTCTGGAAGGACATGGAACACAGAGGTCAAGGCTCCCGGAAGGTGGTGAAGTGGCAGCATGGATACTGACTGTCCAGCGTCTACCAACTCAGGGCTTCAGTTTTCAGTGTGTATGGCTGCCAGGACTTGTAGTGGGGAATATGAAGCATGTTGGGTCTTTCCACTGTGCAACGCAATCCCACAACTACTCAAACCATGCCTGTGCTTTCTGCCCTAAGAATAAGACCTGTGAAGGAGGAACTAATATCTTCCTGTCCAGCCTCAAAAGTTACTTTCCACAGAGCAACAGAAACAATTTAAATGTCTAAAAGAACTAGAGGAGGAAATGGAGGGGAAAGAGATATGTATGTCATCTGGACAGCCTTGAGCCTTGGGAAGAAGGAACGAACAATCATCTCTCCTTGGTGTCCGAATGTCCACAGCCGGCTCAGTCTTGGGGGTCCTGAAAACGGCACGTGGACTTCATTGCTTTTTCACACATTCTAGTGTTTAAAATGTTTCATGGGAGACAGCAATACGCTGGTACATCACGCCACATAGTGGTACTGATTTGGACTGTCTTTATCTCGCTCCATATAGTCTCTGTCTATAAGTGATTCAATTCTCTTTTTCAAATCTCCAGGCTAGAAAAGAAAAACAAAATTCCTAATTATAACCACACTAGAAACAAAAGGGAATAATACATCATGCGTGAGGTACGTAATTATTGCAACAAAAACATATTTGTGCATGCTATTGATAATTACAAAATGAACAAAACTTCCTACTTCAAGGCAAGGTTGGGAGATGTAAACTACTCCTCCCCGCTGGCCATGCACTTAGAGCACTAGACTCTACTAAGTGACAGGCTCTCACCTGGAAGGGAAATCTTGTGCTGGAGAACCCGTACTTCATTGTGAGAACACTGTATATGCTACAGTGTCTCCCTAGATTCTAAGTGTTCCTGACCAGGACATCCACCCCCTAGCCAGCTCTACTCTATCAGGAGACAGGTCTATGTTAGCATGGTTGGTCAAGGAGTCACTACTTTCCAAATAGTAAGTCTATTTAGTGATGGGCCATAAATTTTGCAAAATATAGCTGAAAATCCTATTACTTCTAAAAGCAGGGGCTAGGGTTCTGGCCAGCCACACACTATACTACTCCCTGTTTAACTGCTGAGTCTCTTGTCTGCAGAGGGAAAAACAAGCTGCTGGCTTGAGGTGGGAAAGAACAACACCGGAGCTATGCATGCATCACTGTGGATCAGGCACTGCTCCTACCCATACTGGAAGTGTTGACTACTTAGTTCCTAGTGCAGAGAGAGGGTCAGAGCAGGCTTCAGAGAAGCAGGAGACTCCTCACCCAAAGCACACCGGTGAGATCAGCAACGAAGGCCAAAGCTTTGAAAACGGGGTACCTTCTGGCCTAATTGGTAAGCATTGATGACTTATTTCTGAATCCACCAGAACAGAGGGACAGGCCTGAAGCTGACTTTCACATGCCAGAGCAACAACCAAGTATCACCAAGGTTATCACTCACTTAGCTTAGTTAACTGAACTGATTGGGGCTGCAGTTGAAATGCTTTGCTCCTCCCAGATCCTGCTGAGTGACCTTAACTGCTACAACTATGGAGCAAAGTATCCGGGACTTACAAGCTGGTATAGTATCCTGGGGTTATGGGTCTGCCCTTCCTGCCAGGATGATGGGCACATGTGGACGCAGGCCTTTGCATCTTGCTTCCCACTCTGTTTTTGTGAGTGCACAACCCTGATCTGAGGAGGATGGCCAGGACAGTGAGTCCAACATGCTCTGTGTCTGTCAGTGAGAGTCTCAAATGATCTGTGGCCATCAACCTTGCTGTGGATACACTTACCTTTACTGGGAATTTCAGCTGATTATACAGTTCAGAGACCAGAAGGTTATGCCCAAGAGTCTTTCTCATTTTCATTATTCTGACAATTGCAGCATCGATCTGGTATTGTCTATCCTGAAACACTCTCTCTGTAGTGCTAACTTGTTCCTCAACCTGTATGGAAAAAAGAAAAGAACGGTGTAAAGCTACTTCCATTGTTGCTTCATGTTGTTGGGTTTGAGGAAAAACTTTGTTTTGATACAAACTAAGCCAGGATGCAGATGACTCCTGCTTTATTTATTTTCCCAGCCCTGGGGTTTGGACTCAGGGCCTGGGAGCTGCCCCTGAACTTTTGTGCTCAAGGCTAGCATTCTACCACTTACTTGAGCCACAGCTCCACTTCTGACTGGAAGTTCATTAGTGTTAAGAATCTCACAAATATATATAAGCTTTGCCAAGATGAGCAGCATCAAGAAAGCACTCCAAGGTCAGATTACAGATTACATGCTGACAGAGGCTGAAGAATGAAAACTGAAAACTTTTTTTTTTTAAACAAATATCTCAGGATATAAGGATTCTTTTCATAAGTGGAAGACCTGAACACCATGAAGAGCAGGTATTAGAACAAGTGAGAAGTGCCAGGGGACAACCTGAGCTAAACAGAGCCTAATGAGCTGCAGCTGCAACGGGGCGAGCATGACCTGTTACATCTGTGACAGAAGTAAGTTTCAGGAAGGGGATGATTGAGCCTTCAATATACTCCCTGTACTCAAGATAAAACAGGAAAAAGAGAAATTTCTACTGCTAGTTCTTAAATGTACCATTTAGGAAACACAAGCCATACAACTGACAACTGAAGAGATATGCTGAAATGAAACAACACTATTTGTAATCAAGAAAGAAAAGTCCAGAAAATTCAACTGAAAAAACACCTAAGCTGATGAAAAATTTGTCAAGTGGCTGGAAATAAGACAAACACAACAAAATAGAATTAAGTGACAGACTGTCAGCCTTGAGCAAAAGCTTAGGGGTGGTGCACATATAAAATGGCATTAATGTATACATACTGATAATAACCAGTCATAATATACAAAGGAAAAAAGGTCCCCTTTGTTTGTAGGTTATGGGCACCACACCCACCTCTACTTCTTACACTTTCCGTGGTTATGTGCAGGTCTGAGTAGTCTCTCTGTGATCTAGCTGGGTTCCGTGCTGTTAGGCCACACAGGGCTGTTTCCTCTTCTGTCTGCAAAGTTACCTTTCCTCAATTCCTGAATAATGCTAAGTCATTTCTTTAAAGAAGGCCTTCATACCACTCAGCCACCCAGACTTCCTGTACTTCCCACCCACATTCACGCCCATTTTAACAAGTCACGGCCCTGGGTAGGGCTGTGCACATGCGTTACAGGCCTTATTCTGGGCTGTGGGTGCTTCCCAATGCATCAGAGTGCTACTCAGGAGCCTGATATTTGAAGCCAGCCCAGGTAGAAAAATCTTCGACTCTTATCTCTAGTTAATGACCAAAAAGCCAGTAATGGAGTTCTGGATCCAGTGGTAGACTGCTAGCTTTAACAAAAATCAGAAGAATCAGCGCCTATTCCCGAGTTCAAGCCCCAGTGCTAGTACCAAAAAACCCCCCCCAAAAACAAAAAACAAAACAAAACAAAAAACCCTGCCAGGTGCCAGTGGCTCATGCCTATAATATAATCCCAGCTACTCAGGAGGCTGAGATCTGAGAATCACAGTTCAAAGCCAGCTCTGACAGTAAAGTCCACTGGACTCTTTAATTAGCCATAAAAAAGCCAGAAGTGTGCTATGGCTCGAATAAACAGGGTTAGCCTTGAGCACAAAAGCACAGAGAAAGCACAAAAACTCTAGGTCTGGCACCAAAAATTAAAAAATAAATAAGCAAATGTTATTGTTATATTATTTGTGGTGCTGAGGATCACATCTACAAACCAAGCTATGCAAGCTTCCCACCACCGAGCCACACCCTACCCTTTAATATATAAGGACTAGGGTGGGCACTGGTTGCCCATGCCTAATCTGAGACAGAAAGGGTGGTGGTTCAGGAAAACCAGTGTCAACAGTCCACTCAACTCCAATGCCAAAACCTGAGCTGGAGATGTGGCTCAAATGGTAGAGTGCCAGCTGAACAAACAAGCTGACCAAGTGCTTGGCCCTGGGATCAAACCCCAATACCAAAAAAAAAAAAGAAAAAGAAAAAGAAAAAAGTATTGGTAAGAATGAACATACTTTATATTGTATTTCTTTTTTGAGTGATCAGAATATATTTTCTGTCCACACACTGACTACCTCAGGGTAATAAAACCCTGTCTGGGCTGGCAGTGGGGGGAGTGATCCTCTGAACTGTCACCTCAACGCCCCTTCACAAAGGCCCTCTGACACACACGACAGACCTGACCTTTTCAGGGAAACAGGCAGCTGAGGAGACACAGGTGCTGGTTTTGGGGTGTGAGGACTGCACAAAACAAGGGGCCTTGTGGGGCTGGCTCCAGGTCTGTTTGCTGCTAGACCAGCTCCCATGCTGCTGTGGGTTTGTGACACCCGAGCCCAGACAAAGGCCCTCCCAAGATGAGGGCTCAGAGTGGCTAATGAAGGCTTTACAAAATTCAAAGACAAATGCTGGCTTTGTAAAGCCCACGCGCTGTCTGTGCAGCAGGCTCTGACATGGTAGACACCATCTCGCTCACCAACCTGTGAATATCTTCCTCATTTTCATTCCTACTGAGTATGGAATGAAAGAAAGACATGAAAGTGGTACCCTTATGAACACAGATATCCACATTATTTAGAAATTGTGCTAACCTCAGTCCAGAAATAACTATAAACACCAAGGATTCTCCTTGGCGAATGCCTGCCCCATAAAGAAAAAGGGAAAGCTTGTACATACGGTTTCCTTCATCTGAATTTGGTTGATCTTTATTCTGAATAACTTGTGCTTGAATTCTCCATTAAAAATGAATTTGTCTCCATCTTCTACCTCCTTTCCTTTAGGACTTTTAATCAGAACACGGGCTTTACCACAAGCCAGAGACTGCAGTGTTCTTCTCAATTCACTGTCCTCTGAATGGGGAGCAAACATAGGCAATGGTTGGGGTAAAGTGAGCAAGAGTTGGTCAATAATGACAAGGAATCAATTCAAGTGCAATTGAGTTTACTTGCTTCCCTTTAATATTATTTTCTCCTTTTGCTGTGGCACTGGGTATGGAATCCAGGGACTCACATAAGGTAGCCAAGTGCTCTACTACTTTGTTATACCCAATCTACTTCTACTTATCTTTAATGTTTACAGTAGGTTTACCTACCTATCCCAGTGGCCATTTTTATTTCTTCAAAGCTGAATCCATCACCTTCGTTGAACATAAGTAACACCAATGTCTGGAAGAGGGACACCTGGAATTCCTTCTTCCCCTGTAAGAAAAAGAGCTGTCACTGAGAGGCTGTGTTCAGACATGCTTGGCAAGTCAATAAGCTGCTGCTGTTCTTAAACTTTTGTGTGTATGTTTAACAATTTACCAATAAAGCCAGATGCTGGTGGCCAGACCTGTAATCCTGGCTACTCAGGAGGCTGACATCTGAGTACTTAGGTTCAAAGCCAGCCTGGGCATGGAAGTCAATGAGACTTATCTCCAATTAATCACCAAAAAGCTGGAAGTAGAAATGTGACTCAAAAAGCAGAGTGCTAGCCTTGAGAAAAAAAGGTCAGGCAAGGCATGGTATACGGTCCCTGAGTTCAAGCCCCCCCGGAGCCGCATATACAAAAAAGAATTTATCACTAGCCATCAAGTTAAGAAGAAATTATGTTTCTAAAATTCAGTTACAAAGGGACAGAATGACTTCTTTTAAGTTATTGCATTTAAAAATTCTTCTCTTGCCGGGTGCTGGTGGCTCATGCCTGTAATCCTAGCTACTCAGGAGGCTGAGATCTGAGGATCGCAGTTCAAAGCCAGCCTGGGCAGGAGAGACCATGAGACTCCTATCTCTAATAAACCACCAGAAAACCGGAAGTGGCGCTGTAGCTCAAGTGGTAGAGCGCTTGCCTTGAGCTGAATTGCTGAGGGACAGTGCCCAGGCCCAGAGTTCAAGTCCCACGACCGACCAAAAAAAATAAATAAAAATTCTTTTCTTGAAGCCTAGCATGGCTGTACATGCCATGTAATCTCAGCACTGAGAAGGCTACGGCAGAAACATAAATCAGAGGCCAGCCTGGGCTACATAACAAGATTGAATCAAAAACTAAGCTTGGTATGGAGGACATGGGGTGGAGGGTCAGAGGGCAGCTTCAGATGCAACCTCCGGGGTGTAGAGACCATCCCTGACTCATGTAGACAGTTACAGGTGTCCTAAATAAAGATACTGAGCAAGAAAATGATTGGGATGCAGGAAGTTAACTGTAAATAAAATATGTGGTGCTATGTAGACAATGATGTACAAAGACACACAAATTGTGCGTGTACAATTTACATAATGTGCAGATAAGTAGGATTTCCAGCTCTTTAAGGGGGGGTAGGGAGGGGCTTCAGCAAAGAGCATGCTGAAACTCTGAAGGGCCTCTTTGGTAATTATATAACCTGTTCACTGACACCTACAAACAAAAGAAAGATGAAACAGCAAACGTAAAAACCATGTGGTAAGATGCCTGGAACTAAGTCAGTAAGTGGCCCTCATGCTGCTCCAAGGGCCATCCTTCCCCAAGCTGCGGGAGATGGTCTCCCTTCAACCCTGTGGTCAAAAGCAGCACATTGTCCAGGTGCTGGTGGCTCACAACTGTCATCCCATCTTCTCAGGAGGCTGATATCTGAGGACTGCATTTTGAAGCCAGCCTGGGCAGGAAAGTCCATGGGACTCTTATCTCCAATTAACTACCAAAAGTCAAAAGTAGAGCTGTGGCTCAAGTGGTAGATGACCAGGCTTGAGTATAAAAGCTAAGGAGCAGTGGTGTCCTAGCAGAGTTCAAGCCCCAGTATTGGAAAAACATCAACAACAACAAAAAACCCAAATAACACCCCACTGTAGTTCAATTTGTAACTCTTTGGCTGGGAGAACACAGAAATGGAATGCATGTTCACAACACTGTTTTCTTCAATTGTGCTTTTATGAGGTGCCTCTTCACAATCAGTGCTTTTTTCCCACGGAAAAAAAAGGTAATTCCTGATTACTCTATTTTGTTAAGTGAAATAAATAGCACTTTAACTGCTACTCATTTTATTGACCTGGAAAACAAGCTAAATAATAATGCAATCTTTCCCTTCTTTCCTACCAAAGTTCAAAGATATTTTAAGCATCCCATCAACTCACAAAGCAAGATAAAATGAAGCCAAAAACTGACCTCTTTAAACTCTGCTTTCAACACCGCATGCCCTAGTGTCGTCTGCCACTGAAGCTTCCGGCCACTGTGCTTGCCCAGGTAGAATGTCTTGAATACCTCTTGAAGTCTGACCATCTGCCAAGAGTGGGAGACACAGGGACCAAGCTGAGCACATTCATGCAACAGCTACACGCTAGTTTTTACAGCAGAATTAAAGCACAGTCCTTAATTTTGTTGGTTACTTCTCTGGATTCTACTACCTATGAAAATGCCCACCATCCTCAGAGCTTGGAACTTCCCATTACAGTTCCCAAGTTGGTACTTAATATCAGACACATTGGGGCTGGGAAGGTGGCTCAGTGGTAGAGCGCTTGCCTTGCATGCCTGAGGCCCTGGGTTCGATTCCTCAGCAACACATAAGCAAAAAGAAAAAAGCCGGAAGTGGCGCTGTGGCTCAAGTGGTAGAGCTGAAGAGCTGAGGGACAGCGCCCAGGCCCAGAGTTCAGGCCCATGACTGGACCCAAAAAAAAAAAAAAAATCAGACACATTGTGTCCTACCTGCCAGCCAGAGCCAATAACACATATAGTCAAGTGCAGCCAGCACAGCACAGGCCACCCTGGGTCAAGGTGGTGTCTGCAACACCTGTCCTGCCTGCTGCTGGGCTTCCCACTCCCACTTCCGCAGCATTATAGACAGGCCTAGACAGTTCCTTCTCCACACTCTGGAATCTGACATCTGACTAGACAGGTACTTTAGGTGTTCTGGAGAGACACCCACTCAAATATTAAAGCCTAGGGCACTACGCAACCTACATTCACATGATGCAGGAAAAACATTATTGCGAGAGAATGCCACACATGTGGCTGAGGGTCATTCTTTGAACTATATTTTGTATACTTTCCATCTTGTATTTTTTTTCCATGCTGGTACTAAAGCTTAATGGTACAGGGCCTGGATATTGTCTGTTGGCTTCTTCATTCAAGGCTGATGCTCTACTAACTGAGCCATAGCTCTACATCTAAGCTCTTTGCTGGTTAATTGGAGGTAAGAGTCTCTCAGATTTGTCTGTCTGGGCTGACCTCAAACCTCAATCTTCAGGTGTCAGCTTCCCCAGTAGTAGAATTACAGGCTTGAGCACTGGTGTCTAGCTCTTGCACTTTCTTAAGTATGACTGTTTTAGGATGAGAAGCAGCAACACTGGCAGTGCCACAAAGACCCACCAGGAGCATAAGATGGAGAATTTCTGGCCAAGGTAAATTGAGTCTTAATGGGAGGAGAAAGAACAAGCTGCTGAGACAGGAGCCTAGAGTCTTCCTGAGGAACTGTCCATGTGAAGCACAGACACCTGCAGCTGTCAGAGCAGAGGGGACCTGGTAGACATGTGGGGAGTGGCAATGGACAAAGCTCATGTGTCAGGGGCTACAGGCTAGCCCAGCCCTGAGGGTAAAGTGGGGCAGGGGGAAGAGCAACGTAAAAGGGGGCCTTGTGCAGAGCTGAGAAACAAAGGGACACGCTAGCCAGCTGCTAAGAGGGCAGACATGGAGCGAAGACAGAGGTAGAAAAGAACAAAAATCAAAGAAAGGCTACTGAGCAGTGCTACCAACACAGAAGTTAAGAAATGATCCTGTCTTGCAAAGGAAATCTGTTTTATGAGGGACTGGATGTCAATGTCTCAGGAGAGACCTCAAGGGGTACAGACTTTGACTTTCCCTAACCTGGACTGGCATAATCCCAAGTCCTGCCTGCACTGTTGACTTTTACCCACTCCTCTGCTGAGGACAGAATCCCTTGTCCTTAGTCTACTAAAGGAAGCTCTCTCTATCCAACCGGGGAGCTGGCCCTTCTCCCTCATTTGCCATTATTACTGATGGTGTGAGCATGCTGTAACATGCTGGAGTTCTGCCTCCCTAACCCCAGGATTCCTCGCAACCCAAGGTCTTCCTCAGTACTCGGCGGATTGGCTGACACGTCAGGCCCCCTGACAGTATTCTCAGGACTTCAGTATTACTGAAAGCTGAAGGGAAGGATGTTGAGGCAAACATAGACCACAAGCAAGGCAGTCACTTTCAAACACAAATACCGCCTCCCAGAGACCACAGAAGACACCAGGCTTTGACTGCCATTGGGTGTCCTAGTGGCATCAGGTGGGTGGACACTCACCTCCGGAGGGAGATGCACTTCCGTGGGTGTATATGTGGGCCAGTAGCCCATGGTAAGGACGTTAACTGTAAGGTCTATAGGACCTGGAGAGCTCTGGTTCTGCATATGCTAAAAACAGATAAAACACACACACAATAAAACTCGAGGTAAAATATTTTGGATTATCATCAGAAATAGAGTCCAGAAAAGAAAATGGTATAATGTTAAAACAATGGTTCCCACATGTCAGCAACTACTTTGGATTCTAGAACATACTCTGCTCCAGCCAATACTATGCTTTCACCTCAACAGAAGTGACTTTTCAATTGCTGGCTATGCACCAGAAACAGACCCTTAGGCCCACTTAAGCCAATGGTTTAGTTAAAAAAATCGACTTACCTGCTTGAAGTGAACCATGATGTCCTTGGAAAGCTCCATATCTTTGAACATGCCCTCCAGCTTGCTGGTGAATGCTGCCCCGCACTCTGTATCAGGAGAGGTAGGAAGGATGGCTCTCAACCCGTTGGGCAGGGGCAGGATCATGAGGCCCACCCCCCCATCCCAGCGTCAGGCCCACCCATACACTCACCGTGCTTGAGCTTTGACAGCATGGACTTCTCAGCATCAACTGAAGCACTCTTTCCAACAAGCAGCCTCTTTGCCAAATCTTTTTTGTAAAATGCTTCAAAAACATCTTTACCTGTGAAACCACATAGAATAAAGCCAGGCTTTCGACAGCTGATGTGAATGACTTGCTAAGGTTATCCATTTGGAGAGGGCCTGATACTGATCTTGGGGCCACACAGCACCCGTTTCTCACCATGGATGAACCTGAACAGGATCATGATCTTGTCCAGGATCCTCTCCAGCTCTTCATCTGTGGCTTCCTTATTGCCTGCTCGTAACTTTGAATCCACATGCTTAGCTAAGAGAGTAACAATTAAAGTTAGAAAAGGACTAGTGGGAGGCAGCTCAGAGGTACAACATTTGCTTAGTGTACAAGCTACAAGCTAGGTTTCTACACCTAGCACTGGGAAAAAAACAAACAGCTTCTGAGTTCTACAAGCAACTGATGACAAAAGTAGAGGGTTTCCTATGAAACGTAAATCCAGAAATGGAATCTTCAAAGTAGTATGCTTTGAGAGGGAGGTAGATAAATGAAAAAGGGAACAGAGAACAAATACAGCAAGGATATGCAATGCACATATGAGAACAAGGAAGAAGGAAACGTGAGCCGAGTCTGGGGATAAGAGGACACGACATGGAAGAATGGTAGAAGAGGCAACTCCACAAGAAGCATTGGATAACTACATGGACACATTAAATTGTAACCCCCGTTCAGCCTTTTGAAGTTCAGCAAAGGAAAGAAAAACTCAAGCACATTTTTTCCCCCAAATGGTCCTTATATAGGTTAAAGTGTCTTTTTATTTTTATTTTGTGTGGATCAAGGGGCTTGAACTCAGGGCCTAGGTGCTGTCCTTGAGCATTTTTGCTCAAGACTAGTGCTCTACCACTTGAGCCATCACTCCCCTCCTGGCTTTTCTGGTGCTTAGAGACAAAGAGTCTCAAGGACTTTCCCATTTGGGCTGGCTTCAAACCATGCATGAGCTCTTATGTTTCTAACCCAAGATAAACAGCAACTGGGTTCCAGAATACATATTGAATGCCACAGAACTAGAAGGACCCTTCCCGAGGTGTGTCAATAAGCCAAAGGTTATGTTCAGAGCATTGTTCTCAGGTCTTTGAGTACTTAAAATGAAGGAATGAATGTGTTCCCTTTGGAGCTTCTTGCTTCTGACGCTGCACAAACCAGTCTCAGGTGTCTGGGACAGTGACATAAGCCCCCATGGCAGACCTCAAGACTTCCAAAGTCCAGGCGCCCAGGTTCCCAAAGGTTTCATGTCCATCCTCTGTAGGAAGCCAGAGTGGATCCCAAGGTAAAAAAGCCCAATTACACTGCTCTGACCATTTGTCATTTCACTTTTGGTCTAAGACTAGTATTTTCCCTCATCGCCTAGTACTCTACTCAGTTAGTACTCAGTACTAACTGAGCCACGCCTCCACCCCATGTTCATTTCCCTTATTGTTGCTTTTATTATTTACCTTGGAAAAAATGGCTATACACCAGTGGCTCACGCCTATAATCCTAACTCTTTAGGATGCTGAGATCTGAAGTTCATGGTTTGAAGTCAGCCCCAAGCAGGATTAAGAGTTAATGAGACTCGGGCTGGGAAGGTGGCTCAGTGGTAGAGTGCTTGCCTTGCATGCATGAGGCCTTGGGTTCGATTCCTCAGCACCACATAAGCAGAAAAAAAAAAAAGCTGGAAATGGCGCTGTGGTTCAAGTGGTAGAGCACTAGCCTTGAGCGGAAGAGCTGAGGGACAGCGCCCAGGCCCAGAGTTCAGGCCCATGACTGGACCCTCCCCCCCTGCCCTCCCCCCCCCCCACCCCCCCCCCCCCCCCCCCCGGCAAAAAAAAGCCAATGAGACTCTTATCTCCAATTAAGCACTAAAAAAAGCTAAAAGGAGAGTTATGGCTTAAGTGATGGGACCAGCCTAGAGCAAAATAGCTCAGGAACAGTGCCCAGGCCCCTGAGTTCAGGCCTTAGGAATGGCATAAGAACCAACAGAAAAAACCCTGCCCTTGTGAGTGCTGGTTCCTCACACCGACAATCCTAGCTAATATGGAGGCTGAAATCTGAGGAACCCAGTTTGAATTTAATCTGGAGAAGAAAGTCCACAAGTCTCACTGGCAATTTGCCAGCCGTGGCTAAAGTAGTTGAGCACTAGCCTTAAGCAAAAAAGTCAAGACAGAGTGTAATGCCTTGAGTTCAAGTCTCAGAACTAGCACAAACAAAAAAGCCAAACTGCCCCTTTGAGATCTTACCTAACTTCAATTTAATTCTGGGTGGAGGACATAAATATGACGATTAAGGATTATTTCACATTAAGTACCACCCAATACTGATAATGCTGTCCTCACAAAGCAAGGGCATTCACACACTTGAGCATGACTTGCTTACAGTCCAGACAGAGGCTTATGGCTCAAGTCTAGGATGTATACACTAAAATAGTCCTCTGCATGGGATGCCAGGCTCTTCTTATCTTTACTTAATCCCTACCATGTTTTCCCTGATGGGTGTACAGAGGTACATGTCAACATGCACTGCTGAGAACGTCCTGATAAGGCTTGATATGAATCCTGAACTACTTTCCCATAAGGAGCTGACCACTTGGGGAAAAAAATATACTCCAGTCCTTTTTTATTTTCTCCTACTAAAAGGCCAGGACTGTGTTGTGCTACCGATCAATTCTGCAGGCTTGTTCGGTCTCTTGTTGATGAACGTCTCGAAGGATTCCTTCATCAGGTTGATGAAGCGCTCATTCCTCTGGAAGCACACCTCTACAACATGGTCCACTTTGTCCTTGAAGTCCAGCAAATCTTGCACCATGTCTTTATCTTTTTCAGGATTGATAACAATCGTTGTCCCAAAAGTCTGCAGAAGCAAATAAACACCAAATCAGGATCTGTCCTTACAGTCTATGAGCCCAATTGCATTTCTTCAGGCAACCACACAACCTGCCGGCAGCCCTGGCCTTGCCTACTAGATGCCAGTGACATCTCCTCTGTGGTGGCAGACACTGTCCAGCATCCCTGTAGGAAGACTGGGTTCGGCATCCAAAGAGGTCCTAAATTAGCACTAGGCATCACTTCTGCTCAACACAACACCCAGAGAGATGCTGCATGGCACCGCACAAGTGATGTAGAAAAATGCTGGCAACATGGAAGCACAAATCTGGGCAATAAATCCTAAATTAGGATTGCTCAGAAATATAGCAACAGGCAGAACAAACAACCATACCAAAGCATATAGCAGCTCTAAGCAAAAGCACGTCTGGTGAGCAGATGCACCAACTGCTGTTTAATGGTAGGACTGTGCAACTCAGCTAGTACTTATGGTGAGGACGGATGCTGCATATGTCCTCTTGGACAGTGTCCAAGGTTGGTGTTATCTCAGATGCTAAGGAAACATATGAGCAGGTGACTTGGAGGGAAATGATAAAGCACCATCTTCCATGTCTCTATGATGGGAATCGATGGCCCCTGACAACAGTTCAATTCCCTGGTCAGGGACATTGTGTGCATCTTGGCAGGCACTGTCCTGGGGATCATAGGCCCCACCTTGATGTACTCGCTCCAGTGCTGTAGCAGTGCGTGCTGCCCGCCCTTCACCCGGCTGAACAGCTGGTACATCTGTGTGAGGTCTGGCACTCTATTCTCGTCCAGTAGGTGGTCCAACCCTGCAAGTGTGCACAAAGTGAGAGGTTACAGCAGAAAGCAAGTGTCCACAATATAGTGAACAACACACAAGTTAGTGTTTAAGCTGGAGATTCAAGGAGTATGTAAACCTCTGTTTCTATGCAGGTCAAATTGTTCCATTTAAATGTGGAATTGGACTGATGAGGAAAAGCTGAATTTCCTCAGTATGCTAGGGGAATGTATTCTTTGTTCACAAAAACTCTTCGTAAACTATAGCAATAATAGCCAAAAAACATTTAGACAACAATTTTCCCTGGGAGATGCATGATCCTAGTTATTTCTGCTTTAGTCCATCAGGCACGTTAGGTCACGATTGGTGGTTACACCTAGGATCTAGCTCCTCAAGATAATGTGCTTAAGGCCAGTGTTGGCAAAAAGTTAACTAGACCCCAGGAACTCTTTAAGGGACCTTATACAGGGGAGGATTGTGGTCTCAGGAAAGACCCTATGTGCAAATTAACAAGGCAAAAGGGAAAAAAAGGGGCAGGGGTGTGGCTCAAGTGACAGAATGAGTATCTAGCAAGTGTAACGCCCTGAGTTCAAACCCCAGTGCTTTAAAAAATGTGTTTATTAAGAGGTAAGCAATATGATCTAATGATTTATTTTTCAGACTTGTTTCCAGTTTTTACTATTTTCTTTTGGGGGGATCAAAATTATTATTATTTTGTCAATTGTGGGGCTTGAACTCTGGGCTTGGGCACTGTCCCTCAGCTCTTCAGCTCGAGGCAAGCGCTCTACCACTTGAGCCACAATACCAGTTCTGGTTTTCTGGTGGTTAATTGGAGGTAAGAGTCTTACCGACTCTCCTGCCCGGGCTGGCTTTGAACTGTGATCCTCAGATCTCAGCCTCCTGAGTAGCTAGCATTACAGGTATGAGTCACCAGTGCCTGGTTGGGGGATTAAATTTTTTAAACTGACTTTATTCACAAATAAATGGAGGAATATTTATTATTTACCACCTATTTTAAAGTTCTTAACAGCACTCAAAATATTTTTTAAAAACATAACTTTAATGGCTGGGAATGTGGCTTAGTGGTAGAGTGCTTGCCTAGCATACATGAAGCCTAGGGTTCAATTCCTCAGTACCACCTAAAAAGAAAAAGCCAAGGGTGGCACTGTGGATCAAGTGGTAGAGTGCTAGCCTTGAACAAAAGAAGCTCAAGGACAGTGCCCAGGTCCTGAGTTTAAGACTCAGTATTGGCAAGCCAGCAAACATACAACACACATAAAACACATTATTATTATGAAGGTGTTGTACAGAGGGGTTACCATTCCGTAAGTCAGGTAATGAGTACAATTCTTTTTGAGCAAGGGCACCCCTCTCTTTGCTTTCCCTGTTTCCCCCTCCCATCCCTGCCCACAAGCTGCACAGTTCATTTTTTTATACAGTATATGTTAAGTACCATGACTGCATTTGTTCACCCTTCCTCACTCCATTTCTCTAAGATGTTCTGATTTATTTCCTTGGGGTGTTAGCACCACGGCTTCAATTCAGGGTCTAGGTTCTGTCTTTAGGCTATTTTTTTTTTTTCCCCTCAAGGCTAGTACTCTACCACTTGATCCACAGTTCACTTTTGGCTTTTTAGTAGTTAATTGGAGATAAGATCTCATGGATTTTTCTGCTCTGGTTGGTTCTGAACTGCAATCCTCAGATCTCAACATTCTAAATAGCTAAGATTATAGGTATGACCCACCAGCGCCCACCAGATTTATTGTCTTAAATTTCAAAACAATTTTCCAATACTAAATCACAGTAGCAATCAGTTAAGATTTTCTCAGTATTACATTCTGGCCACTGGGGAAGCAGCTAGGCAGAGTGAAGGAGGTAAGCTCTACATACTGCCCAAGCTGCATGCCTCCAGTCTGAGTACCAGGTATACACCTGGCAGTTGGCACATGGAGATGTGTGGTGAGGGGTTGTAGTGTGGGGTGTAGATCCCACACTAAAGCTCCAAGTGCTTCTTATGACCCAAGATTACTTCTGATCTATTGGTGTAACTTTTTTTTTCTGTCAGTACTAGGGCTTCTGAACTCAAGAACCTCAAACTCTTGTTCAGCATTTTTCTACTCATGGCTGGTGCCACACTTCTACTTTTGGCTTTTTGCTGCTCAACTGGAGACAAGAGTCTCAGATTGTCTGCCCGACTGTGTTTGAATGGTGATTCTCAGATCTCAGCCTCAGCTAGGAATATAGGCATGCTTGGCTTTGGAGGGGTTGGAATTCAGGGCCTTACACTTACTTGATAGCTACACAGGTCACATCCCTAGCCACTAGATGCATTAATAAATAACTAAATATGTATTATATATATGTATATATAATATATACATATGAACTAAATAGTAGTATACAAGGGTTTCAATCCCAAAAATAAGGTTATGAGCACAATGTATCTTGGTCAATGAATGCATTTGTTCTTACAGGGCTTGGATATGAAGTACTCATTTATATGGAAATACACTGGCTGCGAAGGGTTTTTTGCTTTTATTTATTTTTGTCAGTCGTGTGGCTTGTATTCTGGGCCTGAGCGCTGTCCCTCAGCTCCTCAGCTCAAGGCTAGCGCTCTACCACTTGAGCTACAGCACTGCTTCCAGCTTTCTGGTGGTTTATTGGAGATAAGAGTTTCACGGACTTTCCTACCCAGGTTGGCTTTGAACCACGATCCTCAGATCCTCAGATCTCAGCCTCGTGAGTAGCTAGGATTACAGGTGCACCGGCACCGGCTGTGAAGGGTTTTGTGTAGTGTGAGTAGAAAATTTATCTAGAAGGGAGCTGTGGCTCTCAACTTTCAAGTCATGTGGTCAGGGGTATCAAGCTTCTGAGCTGTTTCCTGTTTGTTTGTAAACAAGGACAATGATTTCACAGGATCACTCTAACTCTGAAAGACATCTACCTGAGGAAGAGGCTTGGGCGAGCAGATGTTTGACAAGACCAGCTCTCCTTCCTATTGGGTTTTAAGTATCTCCTTGGGGAGAGCACGAGCATCTGGCAGAATACATGTGGGCATGTTACCAAGACTTCTAGAATTAAGCTTTTAGGATCCCAGGGCTTGAGAGAGAAGCTGCTCATTTCAAACATGTCTAGATGGCTTTCAGACAGCAACACTGCATACGTAAATGATTAAAAGGGACAGTATGTTGAGGGCTGGTGGCTCAAATCTGTGATCCTAGATACTTAGCAGGCTGAGCTCTGAGGATCAGAGTTCAAAGCAAACCCAGGCAGGACAGTCTGTGAGGCTCTAATCTCTACTAAACTACCAAAACGGAAGCAGAGCTGTGGCTCAAATGGTAAAATGCAAGCCTTGAGCAAAATCAGCTCAGGAACAGTGCCCAGGCCCTGAGTTTAAGCCCAAAGAGCTGAGTACTTATGTGTGTGGACGTACTCACGCGCGTGCAATCTCTCACTCTTAAGAACACTCTTAAGAGTCTCTGCCTAGACAATGTGGATGATTTGTTTGCTCTCTACACGGAGTAAGCAGGGAGAACCAGACACGTGCCAGTGCATGTCCACAAGTGTGAAGCTCATGGCCCATCAGGTGGGTCAGATGCACAGGATGATAAGACAGTAAAGAAGTAAGTCCATGCTGAGAGCTGCCGCTTGCCAGTGGGTAGCATGCAGCCCTGGGCACCTACCTCTCCTAGGACACTCTGGTCTGCAGGACACTCCTGTGCCTTAGCAGTAAACATTCTTTCTTGCTTTCAGAAGGTCTGGCTATCTTGTGGTCCTCCTGACTTAGCCTCCTTACTGAAGGGATTTCAAGCATGGTCCACCACACCTTGCTTCACCATTTTTCCATCAATGTTTAGAGTATTAGAAATCATTTTAGCAATTTGTTTTATGGAAATAACAAATATCCTTGCATTGCTAAGTGCAATGTTTCCCAAGTCTCATGAGTTACAGATTAGTGTTCAGTTTAATTCACCTGAGATTAGGAAAACATACCTTTCTGGAGAATTGCGGTTAGATGTTCTCCTAGTAGCTGTTTCTCCACACAAGCAATCAGTGGTTTCCTGTAAAGGCAGAACAGAACAAGTGTCAGCAAAACCAGAGTCTGGTTGGCTGGCAGAGGTGAGCAAGTTAAATCTGGTACAGTCAGCCTGCAACCAGGCAGAGCGCAGGCCAATGAGCAAGCTTTTCCTCACACAAACAGGCAGCAGCATCTTCCGCCAGCAGTTCTAAATCCATGAGTGATGAGCAACATGCACAGGTCCACAAGTGGGCCCAGGTCTGACAGGTGGGGTTCAAGAAGGCAGAAGCTGGGCTGGCTGGCAGGCATATTTGCTCTCTTCCTCAGACGGGGGCTTCTGGCTATGACCCCAATCATGTGGTACTTCCTGTCACTTGATGAGGCAAGTCTGGTGTCCTAAGGAATGCACAGGGGAATTTGGTCTGACCTCTGCACTAGTCATGATGCTGGCTTGGCAGCCTGGCTGTTCCTGGGAAGTGGCACCTTTGAGCCAGTGCTCAGGAGTTCGGGAGTTTGCCATGGTGACCATCTTCTTAGAGCTCAGATGCTGGCCTCACTTCCATCTTCCCACCTCAGTTTGCTTTCTTGTCTTGACATTGCTTCTGTTGTCACCTTCCACAACGTGGCAGGGAACGGCAGGTGAAGACTCTATAGACCCAACCCACCATCATCTTCTTGTGACTTCACCTGTCCTTAACTAACCCTCTGGTGACTTCTGCAGTCCTTCCCTCTGCCTGTTCATTTTTTCCCTTATCTTGCTGAGCAGGGTCCTACTTGTGGTGGACACTTGTCTGAGGTCTGAGGCATAAGCCTGTTAAACAACAGAGCACTTGCAAATCTGCCATGTTCACTAGGTGTAGAAATCTTCTTGGCTTGTTTATTGTCCACAATTCAATTTTTGTTTTCTGGTTCTTTTCAGAAGATTAGGGGCATCTCCTTATTCTCCCAAGAGCTACTAGTCCAGGGAATCGTCCTAATCTTTTATGTCAAAGCTTATGAGGAAATTTTTTTACGTTCCAACTTAAATATCACAGTAGCCTATAAAGACAGAGCTGTCGTTTCACATTCCACTCCACACATGGACAATGAGTTCAGAGAGGAGACTGACTTGTCCATGGCGATGGGTCATGAGTGGAACCGGGTCCTCTGGGGAGCAGTTGGGCACTTCCGCACTGTCTTCTAAGGGCTACGTCCCTTTTTTCTTCCACCACGAAAAGGAAGCGTGACAATGCACCTCACCCAAAGCAATCCTGTCCTCACCTAGCTTGGCTTTGGGCTGGACACCCAGGACCATAGTTCCTGCACATGGTATGTGTGAACACAACTTCACCTGTGAAACATGCTGTTTTTATATTCTTGGTGTTTCTTCCATGATCTGGTCCCTCTTCTTCCTCTTGCCTGTCCGCCATCAAGGGCTCAGCTCCACCCAGCCATCACATTGCTTCTGTCCCTTCTAGCCCATGACTGGGTCTCCATCCCTTCTTCTCATCATAGCAGGACACTGCTCTGGCAGAAATACATGACCTCTCCTGTTTTACTTCCCTAGTGACTCATCAACCTCAGGTCTTATTTCTAAAGCCAGAAATGGAGATGTGGCTCAAGTGGTAGAGAATAAGCCTTGAAAGAGCGAAGAGACAGGCCCTGAGTTCAGGCCCAAACACCAACTGCCTCATCAACATCCCACCTTGTCACTGTCAACACGCAATGCCTGCTGGAATCAGTTTCTGGAAAACTCATGCAGCACTTATGGGAGAAGTGTGATTTGTAAGCACAGAGCAAGGACAAATGGTAAGCAGGCAACTTTAAGAGCGAGAACACTGTGAAGGTAGTATTAGATAAATGAACAGAGACACCACTGACTTCAACAGCAAGCTGGGTAAACACAGGCAAAACGCACTTACTGTGTGCTGTGGTCCAAGTAAGTGATCACACGGTCTCCTTCCTCTTCCAGACGCTTACTCACATGGTTAAGGTATTCTGGAACCTTCCAAAGAAGAGATTTAACACATCAGTAGCAAGATTTCTGGACTGTGGACATGGCTCAAGTGGTAGAGTGACTGCCTAGAATGTATAAGGCTCTGAGTTCAAATCCCTGCTTTGCCAACAAATAGATTCTCTGAAATTCTTTTCTTCGTGAAATACCAATAACAGTAATTTTTAAAAAGCAGAGTGTATGAGAAACCTGAAAGACAAGTGGGGACAGGCGGATTGAGAGTATGTGAGAAAAGCATAGTGGGAGGCTGAGGCTCCACCTTGTTCCCTGCTTACCACAAAGCATAGGGGATGCCACAGGCAGCCTTTCACTAAGGCCCACAACAGGTTTAAGCCCCAGTGCCCACTGCCATGCCCAGACCAGGCTTAAGGCTGTCTGCAGAGGACACCTATCTATGTGGCTGCAGAGGCCTCCAAGTGCACCCTGCAGGTCCAGGAGTGAACGGATCCTTTGCCCCTGACAGTCATGATGTCCCTAGCAGATGTGAAACCTCTCTAACAGAGAATCCAGAGCCATGGTCAGGGTCTGCCCTGCTGTCCCTTGGCCTGCCTCTAGACTGGGTTTTCCTATGTAGCAGAGGCTATCAGATGACCACTGGCTATCAGTTTGCTATTCATACTGCGCAGGCTTTCTCACATGGATGAAAATGCAAAGAGACCACTCTGCTGTCTCACCTCTCTCTCTTGCATTAATCTTTGGCCTTCTGCAGCATACAAACAATTAGTCTCTTCCAAAAATTTCAGTTCAAACGAATCTTTATATACCTGAAAAACGAGCAGTTATTAATCAGTGTCAGCTGAGTGGGCAGGTGGCAACACATACTCCCCAGCTTCTTGTGCCTACCACACAGCCTTGGCTTTTATGTGTATTTCTCTTCAGCTTATCACCTGATTTTTACCTTCATTTTTGGTGTGTTTTCCATGACAAAGTTATCACTTCTAGGTTGTCATGTTTACCAATCTTTCCTTTTTGTGGCTCCTGACCACTCCCTCCTCAAAGGGTAATGAAAGTCCCATCTGTATAGCTAATACTTGTTAGTCCACCATTCCCACCTGCACCTCCCATGGGCACTGAATGTGGCCCCAAGGGGTGTCTCACTTGGAGATCCGAGAGCATGCTCAGCAGGCTCCGCAGCAGGCTCCGGTCCACAGCCTCACCACTCCTCTCCCGCTCGATTAGCAGCAGGATCCCATCGATGGTCTTACTCTGTACCATTCTGTCACTGATGATATGGTTCCTGAATAGCTCCAGCCCCATGTCCCTGTGCAGACAGCAATAGAGAATCGGGCTTTAGTTTTGCCTCTTCCCAAACCCAGCTGTGTTATGGCATTATCCAAAACAAATGCTACTAGCTGCTAATTCTCTACACCCAGATGTTGAAGAGTCTTCTTTAAATATTCTTATTTTGAGCCAGTCCAGGATGCTTCACACTGCCACCCTAAAGACTGTTTTTCTGGGAGGTCAGGCCAACTAGTGCCCAAGGAAATCGTAAGATATCCACATCACATAGGCACTTGAGAGACCACAACTGTACAGACCACGGGCTCCACACTGGGGGAACATGCTCCACACCCACTCTTGCACCTGTCATTACCAGAACTTCTCCTTGGACTCCTGAACTCTCTTGTAATTTGTCCTTTCTCAGAGCGATCTGAAATCTGCGAGTTCACCAAGCTTACTCAGCTCACAGTCTGAAAATTTTGGGAAGGTAATTCAGCAGCCAGAGCTACCTTCCACGAACCCTGTCTGATAAGGAGCTCTGTACTGTGCTGGCACCACTCTGCTGGGCCAAGGGCCATTCACCAGAGAGAAGGAATACAAGGCTCTACTGAGCCAGATGCTCACCAGAGAGAAGGGAGCATGGAGTTCTGCAGGACATATGTGCGGTCCAGAAACAGGAAAATACTTCTGATCATGATCTGAGGATCAGAAAGAAAAATTATTTATTCACTTATTTAACAAACTATTCAAGATTACTTTTGGACTACCTTTTGCTACCTGTCTTGAATTTGGCTTTTTTTTAATATGGAAAGAAACCATGCACCAAGACACTCATTTTTGTCTGAACTTTTCTTCCCTAGCATTTGATTTTCATTTCTTTAAAACAGCTCTGACTGTGGAGTTTAAAGCATTCAAGTCTAGAGGATCTCTTTGGAATTTTCTGATTGATGTTGAGTCTTTTAGACCTGGGAGTGGTGCCACCTTTCTAGAACTTATCTCAAGGCTTTTCGGCACCTGTATACACTTGACTCTGATGCCAGCTGAGCAAGGAGAATGTGGACAGTGAGCCGTTCTGTGTGGAACTGAGCAAAGGTCTACTGTGTGGTAAGATTTGTGGACATGTAAACACCTTCCCCAGCAGATGTTAACATTTCTTAGACCTAACAGGCATGTACCCCAGAAGAGAGACATTCAATGCCTCCTGCTAACCTCTTTTAGAAAACAAGAGTATGGTTTACTTGTAAAGCTCTGCATATTTTGGTTTCCCTCATTTAGGTCACTAAGAGCCAGGGCATACTAAAAATTTACATGAGTGAAATCCAGAGTCAACACATCTGTGCGGTCTAAGATTTGTCATGCAGCTGCAACAAAGAACTGGTTCTCAGAGCAATGTTTGAGAGCTTAGTTTATCATCCCTACATATCAAAACCAAACGCTGATCTGGAGCTGGCACTGGCCAACACCCCTGTCCTGAGCCTGTTACAAGAGCTCAACTTCCCATTCAGATCCACTGATCAACTCTGCTGTTCACTGCTCTGTGCTTTTACAGCACCAAGGAGAACCTCTACTTCTCAGGTTGGGACCTGCACATGCCTTCCTGAGGCTATGAGGGAGGCAGGAGGCAGCTTTGTGGGGCTGAAAGCAGGCAGGACCTCAGAGATTCTAAGTACTTTCCCTCTGGCCAGAGGAGAGGCTTGAGACTCCAAAAGGCAAAGTGCAAGTGTGCAAGAAGAGAGCAGGCGCCGCAGAGGCTCTGCCCTGGCTGAGTGCAGGGACACACGTCACATATAGTAAGCACTGACAGAAATCCTCAGACCTACCATTTGTCTGCAGTGATCTTGCCAGCACGTGTTAATCTTCTTTAGAAATAAAACACTGTCTAGTGAATCTGTGCAGACCTGCTAAGGAAACTTCAATAAAGCATAAGCTCATGCAATTGTGCAACAGTGGACTTAGCTCCTTCCTCCACCAAACATCAAATTCTAGCAATCAGAATACTAACGACCATGCATCTGAATGAAGTCCTATTTCTAAACAAATGGTATCTGGAGGTCTGAGAGGCACCAGGGAGTAGCCTCATCCCTTCACCATATGAAGACGCAATGAAACAATCTCATCTAAGAACAGATGCAGAATCTGCTAGTGCTGTGACTTGGACTTCCAGCCTACAGACTGTGGAAATAATGTCTGTGGTTTATAAGCCACCCAATGGCCTGTGACCAGCAGTTCTCATTCATGTAACTCATAGCCTGTATTACTTCTGTGCTGCCCGAGCTCTCTCTCCCTTCACTGGAACCTCCCCACCCACATTACCTTCAAGTCCCATTCAGACCCTGCCAGCTGAAACAAGGAGCCGGGAGAAATAGCACCAGGCGCCACTCCACAAATGGAATAGGATGAGCTAGCTCCTCGAGTTTGTGCCTGGCTGGGAAATCAGGAAGCAAGGTATTAATAGGAACGAGTAGCTGGCAGCTGAGGGATAGAATGACCAAGATTTACTTCTAGTGCAATGAAAACTTTCTGTAACACTAACATGAAGTTACTTCATGGCCAAACTATACATCTTCAGCTAGACTTATTTATCTGTCCTTAAAGGCCAAACAGAACAGATTCCCTAAAGCAAGGACCTCTCACAGGCCCTCTTATTTGATCTCACCAGGCTCACTACAGCTGTCTGGATGCAAAGAGCTGGATGTGCTGGGCTATAGCCTGTCTGCCACTTGCCAGCGTTGACACAGGTTGTGTCAAAGAGCTTATGTACAACAGGACTCCAACACCCAGAGCTCACGTGAAGAAACACAGAAACCCTCAAAGGGAGAAGAAACTGGATCAAGTGTGGTATGCTCAGGACAGACAGTTCTTACATCAACCAGAGGGGCCCAAGGGGGGCCAGGGGTGCTAGCTAGGCTCCTAGGAGGGAAGAAAGCTCAGGGAGACTGTAGGAGCCAAGGGTGCCTCTACTGCCAGTGATCTTTCCATTTTATTTCCTTCGTCAAGGAGCCCACAAAGAAATTCAGAAACGACCCTTCAGAGGAGTCTGTGAAAGTGTGAGGTTCCCATTTATACTACACAAACAATCTGAAAAAGGCAAACCAGAAGCCATCACAATCATTTAGCAAGGTGTGAGTGATACCTCATAAAAGGTCAGATGGCTTAAGAGTCATCTGACTCTAAGCATTGAACAACAGCCATAGTGGGAGATCTGGCAGGTTCCCAGAGTCCTCATGGAACACTTCTGCTGTGTGAAGAGTTACGGGTCCATGGTGAGACCTAGGAGGTTCCTAGAACCCACCGTGGCCTGCTTCAGCAGAGTGAAGAGTCACGGGCCTCAGGATGAAGACCTCGCAGTTGCCAAATCCTTGACAGGATTAACTGACACCAGTCAATCTAACACTACCTTGCATCTTGGGTGTTACAAATCCCCACACCAGAGCTGTACTTGGTGCATCACCTGCTTAGACGTAAAATGTGGAGTGCCTATTAAATAAGTGACACTCCCATAGCAGAATGCTGCAAAGTCCCAGGAAAAAGTACTGAACAGTGAACTAGTATCACACAGTGCAACCTTCCCTACATTCCACTCTTAGAGTTTAAATCAACCCAAGACTGGCAACAGTGAACCATTCTAGATGCCAAGACTCACAAGCAGTGGGAGACACTGTCAGTTTATCCTAAAACAGAACCCAGCAGCGACTCACCTCACCTCAGAGATGAGCCAGTCCTCTCAAAGGACTTACATGGCCTACAGGGGAGGTAGGCCTTCTAGAGCAGAAATAATGTTCATGTCAAGTGGCAAAAAACCCTAGCCATCCAGATAATGATTATTATTTTTTTCAGTTGTGGGGCTTGAACTCAAGAGCCTAGGCACTGTCTCTCAGCTTTTTTGCTCCAGGCTTGCACTCTACCACACCGAGCCACAGTTCCACTTCTAGTTTTCTGGTGGTTAATTAGAGACAAGAGGCTCATAGACTTTCCTACTTGGGCTGGTTCTGAAGCACGGTCCTCAGATCTCAGCCTCCTGAGTGGCTAGAATTGTAGGCATAAGCCATCAGTACCTGGTAAAATGGCTAATTTTCTTTTCTTTTTTTTTAAAGAAAGAAAGGCAAACCCACATGATGTACACTAGGCTGGAAGTGTGTCAGGCCAGTGCCCACATTCTGAACACACTGGCCAATCAATTCAGATGCTAGCCTGGCGTAGGCCTCCTTGTGAAAATCATCACACGACATAATATCCATCCACTTCTGGCTGTGTAATTAACATGCCTCTCACTAGTCACCGTAGTGCACAAAGACAAAAATCCACGATTTGCTGCGGCTGAGCCCCAGCACTTCCTGGGACTACTGGCCAGCTATGTGTCAAGGGTCATTTCTTCCCCAGGAAACAGCTTGGTATGGGTACAATGCTGCAAGATGTAGGACAAGTCACAAGACACAGGCCTGCTCATCCCAGCAAGTACTCTGGACATGCTGTTGTGCATCTGGTGAGATGAGCAGTATCTCTACCAGAAGTCCAGCCATGGCTAGGCATACAATGATGAGGACCCACCCAGTGGAACCTATGGGCAGAGGCTTCTGTGGGGTTCCATGTTCTCCCTCTTGCTGACTTCTAGGAATAGCAGGTGAAACTCAGCACTGCCTGGGGGGGTTAGGAGAAGGGCTGCTATGCTGTATAGTGCAAGTTTTGTCAGTTGTATTTATAGGTTTAGACTAGGCCAGCTGGTATGTCATCTATGAAGAACCCCCATCCTGTACCATCTTGAAAGGGGCAGGAGGTGCAGAATTTACCAGATGCAGGCATTGGCCCAAGAAGTGATAGTGCTGTCCATCTGAGTCCCAGAGTCCTTTCTGTCTTGATGGCTCCACCCCATCATCTCTGGCCTCAACACTGGCACACTCTTAACAGCAGGCAGCATGCTTGTGGGAGGCAAAGACCCATGACTGGGCTTCCTGTGGAGCTGTCCCTGCCAAGGGTTAAAATCTATCTTATTATTCTGCCAAAGTGATTTTCTCAGAAAAATTTAATTTTGTTGGATTCTCTTTTTTTTTTTTTTTGGGTCCGGTCGTGGAGCCTGAACTCTGGGCCTGGGCGCTGTCCCTCAGCTCTTCAGCTCAAGGCTACTGCTCTACCACTTGAGCCACAGGGCCACTTCCGGCTTTTTTCTTTTTGCTTATGTGGTGCTGAGGAATCGAACCCAGGGCCTCATGCATGCAAGGCAAGCGCTCTACCACTGAGCCACCTTCCCAGCCCTTTTGTTGGATTCTTGCTTAGAAAATCTGTAGTTAATATCAAATCTTCAGTCAAGGCCAACTCCTCAATGACACACATAAAGCCAAATCTTCAACTTGGATTCTACCAGTCTCCAAATTCTGGGCAAGACAAATTGCTCAAGGTTCTCTAAGATACGGATCTTGCCACAACACATTGCTGGCAAGCTAAGCTGTATGTTCTTCAAGGTGCAATTCAGTATTTCACTCTCTGGGAGACTTGCCTAATTTCTGCCTGCAGCTCACAGCCCAGTGTGTCTGAACTGATGCCTTGCCACTAAGGATATCTGATATGCTAGTCTTCTGTCATAGCATCATAGAGCTACTCCAACAGTCTGCTCTGCTTGAAAGGGTAGTAATCAGGCATGGCAGTCATTTTTCTATTACCTGGGCCAAGATCTTAAGACAGGAAAACAAGATCTCGCTGAGTAAGTTGGGTCAAGATTTCAGTCCATGAAGGGTGGGATTGCAGGAAGATAATTCAAGTGGGTCATTAAAAAGCGGTTTTCAAGCCAACTAGATTAGAGCAAAATAACACTTTGATGGAGGCTAGCATCCTGGAATGCTGTGGATGAACTCAAACACAGACCAGGCTTCTGCAGCTTCAAACTACAACAGGGTTCCCAAATGGGACAAAGGCCCAACACCTCATACATGTCTCCTATGTTAGGTGAAAACTTATAGGGTCCAGAAGGACTTATGGCTGTGTCTCTCTATTATGTCCTTGCTGTCTTTAGAGTGTAGCTTTGCCAAAAAACTTCAGAAGTAGGATGATGACAAGAAAAGCATACTCAGTCAGAAGAACACCAAAAAGGGGCAAGCTCCAGCCACCTCATTTTGCAAACAAAGAAGGTAGCCAAGAAAAGCAGTCACAGTACATTTTTTGCAAAGATGGAAGAAGCTCTTCTGATGCCCAATTGATAGGACTTGGCAGCCGTGGCAATGTGGAGGACAGGCACCAGGCTGAGGACGGATTAAAGTATGTCAGGAACAGGCCAGACAAGATTTAAAGTGCTCAAGGACTTCCCTATGGACATTAGCCCCAGATGGTGTGGTAGCAATCCTAAGATGCCCTCTGCCAGTCCTGAGAGGGCGCCTTGAATAAGTCTCTCTCCCCAGCTGTAAGGAACACCTAGACTGAGTGTCACTACTAGAGACTTGGTCACTGCAGATTGTGCGGGTGGAGTAGGTGCTGCAAGAAGCCCCATGACAGTGATATGGGAAGCTTCTTGGGCTAAGTGATCCCACTACAGCCAGAAAGAAAGTAGGCACCAGGCAGGCGCCGGTGGCTCATGCCTTTAATACTAGCTACTCAGGAGGCTGAGATCTGAGGATCATGGTTCAAAGCCAGCCTGGACAGGAAGTCCGTGAAACTCTTGTCTCCAATTAAACACCAGAAAACCAGAAGTGGTGCTGTGGCTCAAGCAGTAGAGTGCTCACCTTGAGCTAAAGAGCTGAGGGACAGAGCCCAGGCCCAGAGTTCAAGCCCCATAACTGACCAAAAAAAAGTAGGGACCTTGTACCTACAGTGCCATAGAAAAGAAATCTGCTACTCACCTGTGACCCACCCTCAGGGAAGGACCATGGACCATCAGACCCTAAGCAAAGAAGCAGCTGAACTGTGCCTGACTCCTGACAAGACACACCAGGAGTGGATGGAGATATGGGGTGGGGGAGGGGGACTCTAAGCTTTCACATTTGCAAAAATTTGTTACAGTTTAAAAACCTAATACAGGTTTTTTTCCCCCCCAAAACAAAGGACAATTCCAATCTTTACCAAATAGTCCAACAATTAAAGGAATGTTGACCTCCTATTCATATCAGCAAGTAATCTAAATGCTAAGGATTTCACTTAAAAAAAAAAAAATCAATGCTAAAAACAACAACAACAAAAAAAACCACACTTGGGCTGGGATACAGTTCAGCGGCAAAATGCTTGCCTATCAAATGCAACCTCCTGGGTTTAAGCCCCAGCAACAAAAAAAAGACAAAAACACAAATTTTTAAAAATGCTATCACATATGAAATTGAACCTTTTTGTTCTATAAATAAAAGCTGTGGTTTTAATGTTAAGGACACTGGCCCTTTTCCTTCTATAGTTTAGGTTTAAGAAACTTAGGTAGTGAACAGAAACTACATGAGCCACACAAAGGATATTCTCTGAACGGTAGGATTTGTGCTTGAACGTGGTCTTCGCAGACCTGGCGTAGCTGCTTGTAGAGTGTTGGGGAGACTTTGTGAGAGCAAAGATTTTCAACAGCCTAAAATGAAAGAAAAAAAATGAATTACACCCAACACAAACAAATGAGTTCCTTGAAGAATTCTGTACCCATCTCCCCAACCCCCCAAGTGCTGACCAGAGGGGCTTCAACTCTGGGTCTGAGAGCTGTTCCTGAAAAATTTTTTTTTTCTCAAGGTTAGTGCTCTACCACTTGAGCCACAACTCCACTTGTTTTTGTTGTTGTTTTTTTTTTTTGGGGGGGGGGGGATAATTGGAGAGAAGAGTCTCAAGGATTTCCTGCATGGGCTGGCTTTGAACCATGATCCTCAGTTTTCAGCCTCCTCAGTAGCTAGGATTAAAAGTGTGAGCCATGGGTACCTGTATAATATTTAATCTCCTCCACCTCCAGCACATTGGTCATCTGTGAACAAGCCCAGAACTCCAGGTACAATTAGGCATGTGCACTGACTGCTGGGTACAGTAAGTTTGGTAGGATGGCAGGAATGAATCAGTAAGGATCTCAGGCCTGATGGCATACCACCCTGGAGCCCAGAAAACAGGGGCAAAAGGACCTTTAAGTTCAACAGTCACAGGACATCACTACAGGTTTGGATCCTACAGATGTTTCTAGAAACTCCACTCCAATTCTCTATTCTGAGTAGGGAGTATAAGTTTATCCTGGTAATTACAATGGCAAACAGCAGTTCAAGTTTCTTTTCCCCAGGTGGGGATTGGGGAGGAAGGGACAGCTCTCTTCACTCTAATGGTCAGGGATTCTGCTGTGGTAAGAGGGAAAAGATATAGATTCCTGAGTGCATAGGCCAAGATGGATTTATTCTTGTTGATTTGCTGAAGGCTACATATGTAAATTCACTGAAATTTTGTCTCAATGAACCTTTCGAGGCAATTTTTTGTTCCTCAAAGTATTTGTCCATATGAAAAAAATAATGCATGTACATTCTAATAAAACTTTGTTTAAATCTCATTTACATGGCAAAAGTCTGAATTTAATGTAATATTATCATAAATAGAAATAAATTTTCTTCTGTCTAATATTTTTTTTTTTTGTCGGTCGTAGGGCCTGAACTCTGGGCTTGGGTGCTGTCCCTCAGCTCTTCAGCTCGACTTGAGCCTCAGTGCCAATTCTGGCATTTTCTGTTTATGTGGTGCTGCAGAATCCAACACAGTGCCTCATGCATGCAAGGCAAGCACTCTAACACTGAGCCACCTTCCCAGCCCTTATGACTAGTTTTGAACCACTTAAAAAGTATGCCAACAGACAAAATGGCAATAATTTAGAGAATTTATAGGATCTTTTCCTAGGAAAAAATGTAAGTTAAAGCTGTATCTATACTAATTCTATCAATTAACACGGCACGCACCTAAGTTACATAAGCACCGTGATTACTACACCAAGAAGAACATGTACACAGTTACAAGAATATAAAAAAAGTGTAAAACTATTTTCAACATTACCATGTATTTTCTAACGACTTTATGTTGTCAGTATAACAAAAAACACACTTTCCCTATACATTTTATCTTAGCAAGAAATAAAGGATTCCTTGTCTCCTCCTTAGTCTTCTATTTCCTTTCTCAAACTACTTTTTTTTTTTTTTTTGCTTACTGCTGGTACCTACCACTTGAGCCAAACCTCCAGTTCTTTTTGCTGAATAATTAGGGATAACAGTCTCATGGATGTGTCAGTTTATACTGGCACTGAACCTCAAATTTTCAGATCTCAGCTCCGCGTAGCTAGGATTACAGCTTCCTCTACCCAATTACTGAACCATGTCTCAGTTTTGAGTCCAAGAGGTGGTAACTCTTGTTCTCCTTAACATCTAGATACCTCACAACAAAGGCTTGCTCCAGCTCTTAGTCATTAGTGAATCCTAAAAACCTGGTTCTTAAAAAGTACATGAAACAGTGCTAGGAAGGTAGCTCAATGGTAGAGTGCTTACCTTGCATGCATGAGGCCTTGGGTTCAATTCCTCAGCACCACATAAGCATAAAAAGCCAGAAGTGGTGCTATGGCTCAAAAGGTAGATAGCTAGCCTTGAGCTGAAAAGCTGAGGGACAGTGCCCAGGCCCAGAATTCAGGCAGGCTCACAACCGACCAGAAAAAAGTAAATATAACATGAGGAAATGTATTTTCTTTGACTACTATCAAGGTAATCTTTGTGCTGCCTACCTTTCTTGATACAGCAGTTTGGGAGGACCATTTTCTGAGAGACTCAATTCCAGAGCCCAGTCAGGGTTCTAGTATGACGACACACTTTAGGAAATGTGCTGAGTCAGAAGACCCCCAAGGCAGGCAGCAGTTCTGAAGCATCTTGTACTATCCAGACACAGCCTTGCATGGAGTCTTCTTTCTGCAACCCACCTTTTTGAGATTTTTGCCTTACTCTAAGATCCCCCTAGGGACGGGATGTGCTGATCCAGCCAAGAGCATGCACTTCAGGCCATGTGCTGTCAATCATTCTACAGAAGTGGGATCTAGCTAATAACCAGAGGCGGGCAGGTGGACAGGGGTGGGGGTGGTGGTAGGGGGCTGTAACAGCTCTGGTTCTCCTTGTGCTATAGGAAAACTCTGCTCACAGGTTCTTGCAGCAGGACGCTCTCCGAGCAGGTCACACCACGATGATGCACCCATGTTTAAGTGCTCAAAATACATATGGTGGTATCCAATGTCACCTAAACATGCACACTGCTGCTGAAAACATTTCAAAACCTGAACAATCGCTCCCATCCAGAGTGATTTGAAACACCAAAAGTCAAAGCCCCTACTACATGAAGGCCCAGCTGACTACCAAAAAACACTCGGTGGGCAGAAATGGCAAGGCACAGCCACAGCAACGTGGGACTGAAAGCACCTCCTCCACAAACACAACCCTGTTCTGAGCAGGCCTGGCACACCATTTCCACCAGGACCCGTCTGCCCCATGGGGAAGAAATGAAAACAGAGCATGCTCCCTCCAGGTGCTTGCCTCGAAAAGTAAATGACAACACAGAAAGAAATCAGGATTCAAACAGGAACGACCGGAAACTAATGTCTCCTGGGAAGAGGGAGAGAGGTAGTAAATATGTCCACACCAAGCTCAGAAGTGGACTAGAACCTTAGTTCCTGTGTATCTGTCAGGGTACACAGTGTTAGTTTTGTTAAGTATTGAATTCAACAAATGTGTTTCTATTAATATGTTGCTTTCTCGGGGCTGGGAAGGTGGCTCAGTGGTAGGGCACTTGCCTTGCATGCATGAGGCCCTGGGTTTGACTCCTCAGTACAACATAAGAAAAAAGCCAGAAGTAGCCCTGTGGCTCAAGTGGTAGAGCGCTAGCCTTGAGCTGAAGAGCTGAGGGACAGCGCCCAGGCCCTGAGTTCAGGCCCCACAACTGGACCCCCCCCCCCAAAAGAAAGAAAAAAAAATATGTTGCTTTCTCAATTCACCTATCAATGGGTAAATTTGTCACCATTTTTCTGGGATTTTTCACAGCATTGTTTTTTGTCATTTCTTTTTTGGTGCTAGTCCTAGGGCTTGAACTCGGAGCCTAGGCACTGTGTCCTTGAGCTTTTTTGCTCAAGGCTAGCACTCTACCACTTGAGCTATAGCTCCACTTCCAGCTTTTTGCTGGTTAACTGGGGGTAAAAGTCTTGGACTTTCCTGCATAGGCTGGCTTTAAACCACAATCCTCAGATTTCAGCTTCCTGAGTAGCTAGGATGACAACTGTGAACCACTGGTGCCTGGCTTCACATCAGATTTAACTATTCCACCAATACAATGAATGCTTGACTGTACAACCTAGGTCCTTCGCTGAAGTGACCTCTTTGAGAGACAGTGCAGTCTGTACCCAGACAACAGCTTGGCTCTTCTCAGAAGCCAAGCCTCCCAGAGGGAATTTCCGGTCTGAAACTATGCACTGCATTTTCCTCTGGCAGACTCTGGAAGTACAGTCTTTAGCTTCCTGTTGGCCATTAGGCTGACAAGAGGCTGAGATGCACAGGTGTGCTTTCTCATTTGAGTAGTTATTACACTAAACTCGGTCTTCTTTACAACACTTTCCTGCATGGCAGGCTACTGTAAAGGGTGATGAGTGTGTGGAGACTTCCTCCCCACCTCACCATGACCACACAGAAATAAAGTAGCAAACAAGGTTCAGGAGACCTCTACGAGAAGGAAACTCAGGCAGCAGGCTCCAAGGCCTAGACAGGTAATGAAGAGTTCTGAAAACCTTTAAAACTTTCATAAGAACCAGTATTTCCACAAGGTCTCCAGCAAGGAATAGACACCATTCTTAAGCAAATGCTGGGACTTGGTTCTGGAGCAGCAGGTGGGATGCATGGCCCAGTGGGGGTCAGTATCACAAATCCACTTTCCTTTCTGTTTGGACCCACCTCTTCTAGAGACCAAAGCAGCTCTAGTGCAGTGCTCTCTGCAGAGCCTGGTGATGGTTGGGATAGAAGCACTCTCCTTGGGAAGAAAGCAGTGACTGTACCAGGGGCATGCCTATTCCTCAGGGGGACACCCAGGTGCTCCAGAGACATTATGATTTGTCACTGCATGGGAGGTAGGGCAAAGTATTTTCTCCATTTTGGGGGAAAATGATGAAGCACCTGATACCAAATGATGAAATCTACAGGCCAAAACAAACAATACTAAGCCTTAGCCAGGAGATATGCTTTACTAAACTAAAAACCTGACTGTTTAGGTACTGGGAGTGATTCTTCCTTTTCTGGTCAAAATGAAGTAAAAGGACTAAATGAATGCTTCTGCTTGGAAAAAAAAAAACAAACAAGCAAGCAAAAAAAAGGTATGAAGTAGTAGTTTTTAGGGACCAGACTCTGGGGCAAAAAACACAGTGATCTCTGGGAGATGGGGATGGAAAGGCCCCAGCTGCTCTGGCCTCATGAGTGCTTCATGCAGCCATGCACAGGGTTTCCAAGCTTTGTGCATTGCTGAGTAAACCAGTAAGGCAAGTGGTGAAAAGAGATGTGGCCAGAGGACCCTGGAAATAAAAGAGCTCTCCAGGGACCAAGCATTCAGTAGCACATGACCAACACGTGGCAAGCATGTGGTAAAGAAACTACAAACACCAGAGAATGAATCATCCAGGAGGTTGGACCTAACAGTATCCATGGCTCACATAGGGTATTTAGGATGGTCTGGCCCCAGTGGTGGGGATAATCAGCCTTGTACACAATACTGCTCTGGCCTGGTCTAACATAATCTAAAAGCAAAAGACCACACAGTCTCCAATTTAAATGTCTTCAAAACAGAAGTAAAAAATACTTTTAGGAATATAAACGTATCTAACACACGGGCTAAAGTTCAAGATGTCCATTATCTAATCAAAGATTACCAGACCCAAAAGAAATAGGAAAATAATACCTGTATGGGGAGAAGAAAAAAAAACCATGTCAGTCAAAACTAATACAGCACCACAGATGAATGGATCCAAAAATTGTGGTATCTATACACAATGGAGTATTATGCAGCCATTAGAAATGACAAAATAATGGCATTTGCAGGGAAATGGATGGAGCTAGAAGAAATCTTGTTGAGCGAGGTAAGCCAAGAGCAAAGAGACAAACGGTACATGATCTCCCTGATAAGTGGATGTTAAATCCAAAATGTTAGGTGATATGACAAAATTAACAGGACTTAAGAAACAAAACTTCCACTCATCTGGTCGAACCACTACTAAATATCCCCATGCTGCTGATCACATGTATGGTGTATATGTGTACACAGTTATATGTTATAGACCGCAATAGACAATTTGCTCCAGGAAAGTTAGAATGAGCTTGTGACTTTAAATGAGCATCATTATTCCACAATATTGTGAAATTTGGGAAATTATGTAATCACTTAATCACAATTAAAAAAAAAGAACCTCAGGGAAGGTAGGGAGAGAAGGGTTAGTAGGGGGAAAACAATGGAGAGGGTAACAATGCTCAATATGAAATGTACTCATTACCTTACTCATGTAACTGTAACCCTCTGTATAGTATCTGTACAATAAAAAATTAAAAAAAAACTAATACAGAATTAGCAAACCAGGACAACCAACAGTTATAACAAAGGAAGTCCATGTGTTTAAAAGTTGAACAGACACAAAGAACTTCAAGACTCAGATTGAGCAGTAAAGAGAAAGACTTCAGCAGGTAACAGTAACAGTGATTAGGATGTGGTAGAGGGCTCAAACCCTGAAGACAAGAGGGAGTTGTACACAAGGACAGAAACTGGAAGAAAGGAAGCTACTGGACATTCCATTTTTTGTGGGTTAAGAAAACTTACTGTGTGTTTTAAGCTTTCCCACAAGGAAACCAAGTGGCTTCAGAAATATCTGAGGTTGGCAAGAAAGCAGGACAAGGTCAATATGCTTAAAAAAAAAAAGTGGTATTCCTACATAAAAGAACCAGAAAACGTAACTCAAAATATTATTGTCAAGTATGTGAAATGATTAAGAAAAATTTCACAAAAGATGCATAAGCTCTTTACCCTGAAAAAAGAAAGAAATGAAGACCTAAGTAAACAGAGAGCTAACCCTAGAACTGATTAGCAGATTCAAGTATGCTAAAACCCAAATTCTCTACACCGCTAGAGATTCTTCCACATCAGTCCTCAAACCCCTAGCTGTCTTCCTGGTAAGTACTGGCAAACAAGTTTGAAGATTCATATAAACGTATGATGGAGCAACAGTGCCAACGAGCTTCAGAGAAGGATGGAGCTGAGGAGCAGACACACCCATTTTTACATGGACAGCTGATTTTTGACAAGGAATCAAAGGCAATTAGGATTCAGGCGGATGGGCTTTCAATCAATGGTGTGAACGCTGGACATTCACGGGGAAAAACACTGCACTTCACACATCACAGAATGTAAACCCCCTCTACATGCTTCACAAACCCACATGTAAAACTTACAGCTCCAAAATGTGTACAAGGAACACAGAACAAAACTTTTGTGAACTTAAGAGTTAGATTTTAAAGACCTCTTAGGCGTGCTTTTAGTATAACTCATAAAAGTTAATAGACTAGACTTCAGAATTTGAAACTTCTGCTCTTCAAGGACATAGTTAAAAGAATTAAGAGACAAGCCACACACTGGAAGAATTATTTGTAAGGCTGATAGAGGACTTGTATCCAGCATACTTAACTCACTACTCAATAATGAGAAGAACTTGATAAAACAAAAACAAAAACAAAAAAAAAGAACAGGCAGTGGTGATAGTGTAGTAATTGTGGTAGTGTAGCAGCTGCGATCATCTTGGCACTTGGGAAGTGGTGGCAGGAGGACTTGAGGCTAGCTAGCCTGAACTTCATGTGAGTTAAAGGATAGCCTGGGCTAGCTACAGAGTAACCCTGTCTTACTAGCAACTCAAAAAGTAAAAATATAATTAAAAACTGAAAAAAAGCACAAAAGATTTGAATGGATACCTCATTAAAGATGTATAAAAAAGCAAATACATGAAGAACTGCTTACTATCAGTAAGAAAATGCAAGTTAAAGCCACACTGAAAACCCACTAAACACCTACTAGAACAGCTAAAATTAAAAAGACAACACCAAATGTTGACAATAGAGAACGATTGAAGTCTCATACAATGCTGCTAGAGATGCAAAATGGTGTGAACACTTTAAAAAACACAATATTGTTATAATTAAGCATACAGTTTCTGTACAGACTAAGTAATGTGTAGATATTTTCCTGAGAGGACTGAGGATATATGTCCACTCAAAGATTTACCAATGCTCTTGGCACCTGTATTTATAACCTCAAGCCAGACACACAAATGTCTGTTAACCAATGAATAGATATATACTATCATGGTAAGTCACAAGAGATATATATCATCGTGGTAAGTCACAAGACCCTCAGTAGTAAAAAGAAACAAGTGACTATCTCAGTATGTATCTATTTCAAAAGCACTATCCTAAAAACCATATACAAAAAAAAAATTGGTAAAATGCAGTTCCACTTAGAAACTATAAAAGATCAAAATATCTACCCAAAGCCTATCAGTGGTGGCTGGGGCGGGACTTAGGAGAGGGGACTGACTGCAATGTGCTCAGACCCCTATGTGGGTGATGGAAATCCTCCAGACCGTGGTGCAGGGAACACACCTGAACTCACCTGTTAAAACCTACTGGAGCACATACTACAGGCAAATTATGCCTCGAATAATGCGGATGTTAAAGACAACTCACACACTCAGACAAAAAGTGGACGTGTACATACCAAACTGACCTTAGGTGAAACCTGTGGGACCACCTTGGGACAGAGCAAGTAAGCCATTCCCATTCTGGGAATGGGATCCAAGCGTAAACAGAAAATTTCAGTACGCCTCGTATACACCCCATTTACGTGGCTGGCAGGTAATTTTAGCACACCTGTTTTTGTCTGAGATCAGGCCAAAATTCGGGGGTGGAATTTTCCACGTGAGGTCTCGCGTTTGCGTTCACAAAGTTTTAACTCTTGGTTCATCTCGGCCTGTCGGATTAGGGATGGTGTACTCAGGGATACACAGTTCCACACCCTACAGCGCCACTGGGCGCCACTGGGAATCCTGAGGGCCGTTACCCAACACGCACAGAACGGGCTCCTTCCTGGATAAGCAAACGCCTGACACCACGAGAACTGCTCTCGGAAGCACTCCCGCAGCAAGATGTCCTCCTCGCCTCACCCCCCCCCCTCCGGCCCACTCCACCCGCCTTCCGCCGGACGGCTCGCTGCGGAGAAAACCCGTGCGCGTTCCTTCCCTCGGGGGGGAGGGGGGGCGGGAAGCCGCGAACCGCGACCGGGCGGCCGGGAGAGTTCGCGGCTGGCCCGCGGCGGGCCGTGCTATGCGGGGAGGCCGGCGCTGGGCGCGGGGCCTAGGCCCGAGGCCGTGGCCCGCCGCCACCCGCAGCCCGCCGCCCGTCGCCTCCCGCCGCCGCCCACCTGGTAGAGCTCCTCCAGGTTGTATTTGATGGACGTGCTGCCCTGGATGGCACGGACCGCCTCGTGCAGCTTCCGCCACGTGTCCTGAGTGTAGTTGTCCGGCAGCCGCGGCCTGTCTGTGGGGAGATGGGGTCAGCGGCGGGGCGGCCCGGCCCGGCACAGGGCGCGTGGCCGGCGCCCGGCAGGGGCAGCGGGGGACACGAGGCCCGGCCCGGGGAGGGGGGCGCGGACCCCGAGGCGCCGACACTAGGCGGCCCGGGCGGCCCCGTCTCAGCGCGCGCTCCGCCGGCCCCTGCCCGCCCGCCCGCCCGCCCGCCCGCCCGCCCGCCCGCGGCGGCGCGCACCCACCTCGGAAGTTCTTGATGACCAGCTTCCTGGAGCCGCCCGCGCCCCCCGGCTTGGCGGGGCCCCCCGCCAGCGCCGCGGGCTTGGTAAGGCCGTTGGTGCGGCCCACGAGTGCCGAGACGCTGCCCTTCCGCGGGCCCTCGTCCGCCATGGCTGGGCCGGACGCCGCCCCGCCCCGCGCCGCCCGGCTCCTCCTCCTCCGCCTCCCGCCCGGCGCCCGTCCGAGTGCGCCCGGCTCCTCCTCCGCCTCCCGCCCGGCGCCCGTCCGTGCGCGCCAAGCTCCTCCTCCGCTCGGGCGCCCCGTCCGTGCGCGCCGCCCCCCGCGCGCCCGACGCCCAACGGCCGCCGCGCGCACGGCGCCGCCCCCGTGCGTGCGCGCCGGTCTCCCCGGGGCGCACGCGCGGGAGCGCGCACGGCGACCCCGCCCCCAGGCCCGAGGCGCTCAGGCGCGCGGCGGGCCCCTCCCGCGGGGAAGCCAGGGACGAGGGCGTCTCGTCTGTTCTCCTGCCGCACGGCCGCCCGGGGGCGCCTCACGGGGCGGCCGCGGCGGCTGCTCCGGGGGGCGGGGTCCAGACGCGCGCGGGGGGGCGGGGCGCGGGCTGCTCGCGCCCGGAAGTCGGCCGTGGCCTCCGCGCGTCCCCGAGCGCGCTCCTCCGCGACTCTGCTCCCGTCGTCCCCCTCCGGAACCAACACGCGGGGGCCCCGGCGCCGGGGCCCGTGGCGGAGACGGACCCGCGCCGGAAGTGACGCGCTCGCCGGCCATGGCGCACATCACCATCAACCAGTACCTACAGCAGGTGAGTCCGCGGCTGGCCGGGCCCACGCTCGGCGCCCCAGAGCCTCGGCCTCCGGGGCGGCGGCCTCGGGGCGCGCCGTACGCTGCGCTCTCCGCCCTCGGGGAGGCCCGCAACGAAGGGGCGAGGCCGGGCGGGGGTCCGAGTGCCAAGCGGGCGCCGCGAGGGAGAGGGCAGCTGGTGCGGCCGAGGTCCGGGCCGGCCGAGCGGTCGCGCGGGACGGTCCTGGGCCCTGACTTCAGTCTGGCCGGGGCCACCGCCGGCAGGAGTCTCGGGCGAGCCTCGCTCGCGGGGCAGACAAATACTGGGGATTGAATCCAGAGGCTTCCCTTCGAGTCAGCTTGCGGCCGGCGAGGTAGTACCCATCCGTAATCCCCGCTCCACTGGAAGCATCGGCTAGGAGGGCCACATCTGACAAAGAAACAGGACCTCACCTCCAAAACAAGACAGCTCCAGCGAGCCCACCCCGCAGGCCGCGCCCGACGCCCTGTGACTGACACACCTCACCTGAGCAGGGGCGGGGGAGGGGGTTCTGTCTGTCTGGGGTCTTGGTTCCTTGTGCCCAGATGGCCCAAGGAGGCTGTGATTTCCAAAGGACTACACCTCAGTGGAGCTAAACAGACTTCAAGCTACGTTTCCCAGGGACCGCAGACAAAGATCTCGAGGGTGTGAGAAGAAAAGGGCCCCCTGTGCTTGCCCCAGCCCAGGAAGGAGGCCACCCTAGCTAAGTTCAGACCTTGTCATAGCCTTCTTCTCGGTGTTCCCCATCCCTGGTCAGATGACCACAGAAAAAAAAAATTTTTTTTTTCTGTCTGGGCCCCAGGCTTCTTCCTCAGATGGGTACGGATACAAATACTCTCCAGGGCTACCTTCTTATCTATCATAGAGATCTCCCTCATTGAAAAAGAAAAACAATGATGGGTATAGGGACATGCCTTTGAGCTGGTGCTTTGCTGTGTTCCAGCCACTGTCCTATAGACAGGTATTCCCAGTATTTTGTGATTGTATGTAATGCACCTTTGTTTCTAGCCATGAAGCAAACCTTGTCAGTATGATGCATATGAACTTCTGTTGATTAATTAAATGAGGAATTATTTGCTGCAGACTTGGTTTTCTAGGAAGGGATATTGGATTCCTGTATGTGTTCTGGTGGCATGTCTCCCCCTTCTTCTATGTGCAGACCCTGGGCCCCAGTACAGAGCCACAAAAGATGTTTTCTTGCTTTAGTAATGCCACTTTTCTGTAGAAGCTATTCCATCTTAACCCTAACACCAGTGCAAGCATTGCACATGCTTTATATAGTCTTCTAGCAATTAGTAATGTCGCTCCTCTTAACTAACCACAGATGGTCTCTCAGGAACTTTCAACTTTACTATGGTGGGGTGGGGTGCACATTCAAGTTTTGAATTTAGATTCTTTCCCAGGCTAGCAATATATGATTGCCATGTTGTACAGCAGCAGCAGGGCATGGCTTATCATGACAGAAACAACAGGCACTACAGTGTGCACTCCTGCCAGGCTGTGGGATCCCATAGGTTGTTGTGTTCAACACACTGGGTTTATTAAGACTTGGACCTATTGAATGTCAAGAAACATCTGTATTCTGGTGGCAATGTACAGGGTTCTGATTGCTTTTCATGGACAAGATGTAGTACTGAGGACCTTTCCCTAAGTGTTTCAGGTCATTTGAATATCCTGCTTATATGATGTCCCTGGACCAAGTCACATGGGCTATCTGGGAGATTGCTTGAACAACTCAGTGCTGTATCCACCCTGTCTTCAAAGAGGAAGGAAGGGAGGGAGGGAAGGAGATGTGCGCATGACTTTATGTATCTTTTATCATAAAATCATACTATACATTCAGCTTTATGCTGTTTTTCTTTTCACTTGTCTGATTAGAATTTTTTGTAGATCTAATTTAAGTACATTTGTTTTTCACTGATAGCTGACACCTGTAATCCTAGCTACTCAGGAAACTGAAACCAAAGGATCACAGTTTGAAGCCAGTCTAGGCAGAAAAGTTTGAGAGACTTCATCTCCAAATTACCAGCAAAATGTTGAACTAGAGGCATGGCTTAAGTGGTAGAGAGCCACTCCTAAGCAAGATAGGTGATTGAGTGACAGGCCCTGAGTTCAATCCCTTGCACATACACAAAACAATGTATTTGGTTTTCTAATTACAGATGTTTTTAGTAACCCAGGCCTCTCATGCCAAACAGAGGTATATAAAGTTACTCTTGCCAGCTGCTGGCCCTACCCTTACCCCAGGCAGTCAGCTTGCATGGTGTGTAACTCTTGCCTTCGTGCTATGTATAGTTTGTCCTTTTTTCTCCCAAACCAAGTTACACAGTTTTCCCACACATAAGCTTTTTTTTTTTTTTTTTTTTTGGTTGGTTGTTGGGCTTGAACTCTGTGCTTGGGCACTGTCCCTGTGCTCTTCAGCTCAAGATGAGTGCTCTACCGCTTGAGCCACAGCACCACTTCTGGTTTTCTGGTGGTTTATTGGAGATAAGAGTCTCACGGACTTTCCTGCCTGGGCTGGCTTTGAACCATGATCCTCAGATCTCAGCCTTCTGAGTAGGTAGGCTTATAGGCATGAGCCACCAGTGCCTGGCTACCCATAAGTTTTTTACCACTCAGCAGGAGTTTCACTGGTTTTAACATCTAATAAGTGTTTTAATATCAGAATGTGACATCATTTTCTCAGATATTCCATTCCCTTTTATATTTAGAGTAGAAGACATTTGTATTTGGTTTTTTAACTGATTTTTTTTTTAGCTATATAAACAACTCTTAAATATATTGTTAACTGTGACCAAGTCAAGTTACAGTAACCCAACCTTCATTAATAACCAAGTACAAAGCATTAGCTTTACTTGATTTCCACACGAAATGATTATTTACTGACCAAAGAATGTTAACTTTTTGGATTTTGATTTTTCCTTTCTGAAAAGGAGAAAATAGGTGTTAGTGATACGTAATATGTTGGTCAGGCCCTGTATGGGACATTCACCTGTTTACTTAGGTTGTTTTTTTTTTTTTTTCCCCACATTTCAGGTGTATGAAGCAATTGACACCAGAGATGGAGCATCTTGTGCAGAGTTGGTGTCTTTCAAGCATCCTCATGTTGCAAACCCACGGCTACAGGTAGATGAGAGTTGTGTATAAGGTCTCTAGGGAGAATTAGGGAGGCAGCCAGTTTTGCAGAGAAGTTAGTATTTGAATAGAAAACCAGTATTGCCACTTTAGTGAGAACTTTAAGTTCCCTTATGATTATGTAATTGCTTCATTGACTGAGCCTTGTATTCTGTATTCCTGCATAGTTGAGGATTGGAGTGAGCATCACATTAAGGTTATCCAGTGGGAAGGCTGGGCGTAGGCCCTGTCCACACCTTTCTGTCCCCAAAGCCCAATGGCCATCATTCACCACAGGTAAACACATGCAAATTCCCCCTCAGCAGTGGGGGCCTTGCAGGGTGTTAGTGAACAGCCCTGCCCTTCTCTCCTTCTTGTGCTGTTCCCACTACCTTCCTGCCACAGTGACACAGGTAGTCTTCAGAGATCCAGGACTGGGCACCCTGGAGTCTATCTGTCAACTCCTGCTTGGATGTAGACGCATCCTTGATTTGGCCTTTAAGTGGTACCCAAGCAGTACTTCTAGTTTGTAGTACTTTTTATTTCTCCATGGATTCCCATGGTAATGTTGGAGTATGTGCTTCTGGGGAAGTAGAGTCTTCTTTTGTTAGAGGTGGCTATCATCTACTGGTGGTCAGAGCTTGCTGCAGGTCCAGCCATGTATAAATACAGTTTACACCAAGCCTTCCAGGTCTTGTGGCAGCAGACATTTTTGTCAGCTCCTGGGGGTTTCTGGTGGGCAGATAGTTCTAAGTGGTGTGCTGCTAAGTAGAAGCCAGAGATTTCACATGGGTCAGGCCACCGGAGCACCCCACCATGCGTGCTGTGCAACTCCTGTTGTGTTGTTCATGTGGGGAGACCCATGCCTGCCTGTCAAGCATCCATCAACCTTCTGGTGTGGTTCCAACATTGTTGGCCACCATCAGAATCAGTCATTTCGCTAGGGACTGAAATGGTGATTTTCCCATGTTTGTATGTGTGAATGTGCATGTATCCTTATTAGTAAGTACTCATTGATACCCTTTTGCTTTTAATGCACTCAAAGAGACAGACCCACACTAGTGATCCTGGCTAGAAAGCCAGGGATGTGGTCAAGATCCCAAGGGCCAGAAAGTTGAAATGGTGTCCCAGTTTGGGCAACAGTGAGGAGCCCAGGGGTCAGCTCTCCCTCTCCCCTCTACTGTCTTCACAGCCCCGCTAGGCTGGGCAACCCCTCTCCAGTGCCAGTCTCCTCCAGATACACTGACCACCACATGCCAAAGACATTTCACTCTGTGACACAGAAGTTAGGGTTAAGCCCTTGTACACACAGTGCTCAAATAATAGCGATTTTGAATTGTGAGGAAGGGAAAGTTAACAAATCCATGTCAGCCATCAGCCCAGGACTTGTGCTCCTTCCATGTATGCTTACTCAGTAAACCATAACTGTTTCTTGGTAATGCTTTCTTGACCAACTGGATATTCAGTACTGAAGTTCATGTGAAAGTGCCCAGGATATTTATCCGCCTGTATCAGGTAAAAGTGAATTGTACTCAGCCGGGTGCTGGTGGCTCACGCCTGTAATCCTAGCTACTCAGGAGGCTGAGATCTGAGGCTGGCGGTTCAAAGCCAGCCTGGGCAAGAAAGGCCATGAAACTCTTATCTCCAATAAACCACCAGAAAACCGGAAGTGGCACTGTGGCTCAAGTGGTAGAGCGCTCACTTTGAGCTGAAGAGCTGAGGGACAGAACTCAGGCCCAGAGTTCAAGCCCCATGATTGACCCAAAAAAATAAAAGTGAATTGTACTCACAGACTTCTTGTTCTGTTGAAATATGACAAGTACTGTAGAGTAATGATTATGTTGTTTAGAAGTGCTATAATAAAGTATTATTGTCAGCTATGAAGTTTTGAATGAGTTTGTCCCTGTCTCTATATAGTGTTTTTCTGTGCTGGTAATTTTTCCCCCATTTTTCTCCTTATAAATTAGATGGCCTCTCCAGAAGAGAAATGTCAGCAAGTTTTGGAGCCCCCTTATGATGAAATGTTTGCAGCTCATTTAAGGTAATCTTTTGGCAAGGAGAAGAGACGAAGTGCTGAGTTCCCTGGAGGATGTCTATAAGTGCTGAGCTCAGCAGAGGTCTGGTCTTGCATCATCTTTTGCTTGAAGCAGTAACTGACTTGGGAGGGCAGAAGAGTGCATTTCTTACCTCACGGTTAAAGCCTGTGAAGGGGCATGTGACTGTGTGTGTTGCTCTGTAAAGGGTCACTTGTTAATGATCAGCCTTTCTTTTTGCAGGAAATGTGCCCGTTTTTAGCCTCTTTGTCTTGCTGGAAAAGAAACTGAGTTGAGCAAAACAAAGTAAAAAGTTTTTTTTTTTTGATAGTCTTATGGTTTGAACTCAGGGCTTGTTCAGCTGGTGCTCTGCCACTTGAACCATGCCTCCAGCCCAATATCTTTCTAGTTATTTTTGGAGATGGAATGTCATAGACTTTTCTGCCTGGGCTGGTTTTGAACCACAGTCCTCCAGATCTCAGCCTCCTGAGAATGTAGAATTATAAGTGTGAGGCACCTGAGCCCAGCAAAAATACTTCCTATTTTCATGTTGTGTCTATTACTCTCATCTCCCAGGTTAGGCAGAACTTTATGTCTTGAAGCCATACAGACTGGATTGCCTTCCGCCTGCTTGTCTTGCATTTCAGAACAGTCTGAATGTGAGGTCTTGGAGCAGGAAACGCTTAAAACTCAGCATTCTCTTTGGAAAAGTGGAAGTGCTTCTCTCTCTTGCAGCATGAGGCTCTCTTTGTAACATGTGGCAGGGCTTCAGATTTAATGATGAAATGAAGCCCGGCAGGATTCAGTTAGAGCATCCAGGTTGGCCCACTGGCAGAAGGGTGGGATCGTGCTCTACCTTCTACCCAGACCTGCTGGAACTGCCCCCTCTGGGACTTTACAGAGTGGGCTCAGACTTCATAGAGCTGGGTGTGATGGTTCACACCTGTCATTCCAGCTGCTTGGGAAGCAGAGATTCTGAGGACTGAGTTCCAAGATTGGCAATGAGGCAAAGAGCAAGACCCTACCACCTGAAAGATAAGCTGAGCAAAGAAGGGCTAGAGGCCTGATTCAAGTTCTAGAGCAACGCACTCTAGTTCAAGTAATCATAGATGTTTTCTCCTTTGAGCCTTCATCAGCTGCCAAGAAGGAGATCTAGTTTTCCCTCTGGAGCTAGAAGAGAATGGGGTTGGGGGAGGCGGAACTGAGCTCTGGCCCACATGACTGGCATCTGGGTTTCCATTGTACAAATGCCCTCTCTAATGCCTCTCTTCCAGGTGCACCTATGCAGTGGGGAACCATGACTTCATAGAGGCTTACAAGTGCCAGACGGTGATAGTCCAATATCTTTTGTCACATGTGTAGCTGCGTGGTATATGGTGGGTGCAGTGGTTTATTGGGGTTCTTGAAACCTTGAACCAGTTGTTCAAACTTGCAGTTAGGAAGAAACTAAAATATTTTGGAAGTGGCATTCATTCTAGATATTTTATTTTGGTACCTAAGTTTAGTATGGATCTTAAGACTTATCTAATTACTTATAGAGTCAGAGAGAGCGCCAATCAAGAGGAGGGGTCAGGGGATGAGGTGTTTAGCTCTGTGTTAGAGCACTTGCTTAGCAAATGCCACTGGGTGTCAAATTTGGCCCCTAGCACTGGGGTGGGGGTAGGGAAAGGATTTTATTTAATTCTGTTAAAAATAGTATTTTGTTGACTTTAACACATTGAGTATAGAAGAACTGCTAAGTCACTTGTTGCACTTTAAGAAGTTTGAACTTCAGGCCTAGCTGGATAAGAGTGGACTCAGACACATCATCATTGAATGTGGTCATAAAGACCTTATATAAGTCTTTGTAGATAATGGTTAAGGTCCTTATTGATGAACGTGCCAATACTTTGTGTATATCTCTAGATTAAAAAAGAAAAAGCAGAACTGCCTTATTTAAGTATACCCAGAAGACAGTGGACTACTGCCACGTCGCCTTAGAATTTAAGAACTCTGTTAAAACTAGCGTTGTACTGCAGATTCTGAAGCATTAAAAGTACTCACAACCATCTGTGGTTAAAGAGCCCAAACATAGCTGTACACGGCTGATTCATAGTGTAATCCTCGCTGCTCAGTAAAGTTGAAATCTGAGAGTTGCTGTTCAAAGCCAGCTGGACAGAAAAAGTCCATGAGACCAGCAAAAAAAAGCCTCAAGTAGAAGTGTGGCTCGAGTGGTAGAGCACTAGCCTTGAGCAAACAAAGCCAGTGATAGTACAAGGCCCTAAGTTCAAGCTCCAGAACTGTCACACAGAACCAGGCACAATTTTTGTTAAGACACAAATATTGTAATATTTTAAAATATTGTAATAAAAATTCTTATTTTGCTTTGGTGGAAGGTACATATTTAGAATAATTAGCTGTAATAAGATTTCAATTAATGTTTAGATATTTAGATTAATATGAGCACAAACTTTTTCTCCTAAGAGCAAACTATTGTGGCACTTTTTCTTTTTGCAGTGCTAGAGCAAGCACTTTACCACTGAGCCACACCCTCACATAATCTTTTAAAAGATGTGCTGTACTCCTTAAAGTTTAGAATCTCGGGGCTGGGAAGGTGGCTCAGTGGTAGAGCGCTTGCCTTGCATGCCTGAGGCCTGGGTTCGATTTCTCAGCACCACATAAGCAAAAAGAAAAAACAATGCTGGAAGTGGCGCTGTGGCTCAAGTGGTAGAACGCTAGCCTTGAGCTGAAGAGCTGAGGGACAGTGCCCAGGCCCAGAGTTCAGGCCCCAAGACCGGACCTAAAAAAAAAAAAAAAATTAGAATCTTCCATTTATTTATTTATTTATTTTAATTTATTTATTATTGTGTTTGTCCTGGGGCTTGAACGCAGGGCCTGGGCACTGTCCCTGAGCTTTTGTGCTCAAGGCAAGTGCTCTACCTCTTGAGCCATAGCTCCACATTCTGCTTTTTTGTTAGTTAATTGGATATAAGACTCACAGACTTTCCTGCTTAGACTGGCTTTGAACTGTGATTTTCAGATCTCTACCTCCGGAGTAGCTGGAATTATGGGCATTGGTTTCTTGTTCTTTATCATGTGTAGCTGGTTTGAGTTTTGTGTGTTTTACCTTCCTTAACGTAGTACATCATTCCTGAGAGCATTTCAGGCTCATAAAGAAGAAAATTGGTACGTATAAACAAAAAAAAAAAGCTAGAAATGAGTATGTGACAATTTTTAATTTAACTTTTTTACTGAAGTAGCTCTACAAAGGAGTGTCAGTTCAACAGAACATGGATACAGTACATCTTGACCAGTGTCACCTCTTCCATCATTCTTCCCCATCCTCCAACCCTACCCACCCCCCTCAAATTACCATTTTCACATTGTACATTGAATATTAAGACTGTATTTGGCCACCCTTCCTCTCTTCATTTGTGTCCTCCCTTCCCTCCTTAATCTTTCTCCCTCAGAAAAACACTTTTCAGCTTCCTGGTAATTTTTGCAAGGGTCTTCATTGTGTCTTGATTTATAGTCTTCTGGATAAATGCCCGAGTGATATTGGATTATACGGTTGAGTTTAGTTTTTTTTAGGGAAGTTAGTTGTATTTTTAAGATTTATGATCCATTAGCAAACCGTGGGTACTTAAGTTTTGTTTATACCAACATCTCACCCCTTTTCCTTTTTTTAGTATAGACTTAGCTTGTACCAGAAAGGAAGCCTAATTCAGCCAGCTGGGCTTGTACAAACTGTTCTTCAGCATGGTTTTTTGCAAACAAGTTCCTGCCAGGAAATGTTACTAAGACACACGTTCTGAAATGGAGGTGTTTGCCGGTGGTGGGGAGATGGGAAGCCCCAGTTATACCGGGCTGTGACTGGATGGGGACAGTGGTAGGAGCAGGCAGCGGGTGTGTGGTCTCCCATTTGTCCAGGAAGCCTGGACATGTGAGAGGGAAGGCAGTAGATAGAAGTCGTCAGGATGGGGAGAGGTGGGACCCATCGTAGACACTGGCTCTGGACACCAGTATCCTTTCCTCCTCCAGGATGAAATCTTAAACCTGTGGTTTTCAGGCCCATTTGCTTATTCCCACAGGGCCTTGCCTGTCATGTATGCGGTGGCTCTTGACCTTCGAGTATTTGCCAACAATGTAAGTGCAGTTTCCTACCACTGTTGTTTTTGAAATCAGCTTTTTTTTTTTTTTTTTTTGGTGGGTCATGGGCTTGAACTCTGGGCCTGGGCGCTGTCCCTCAGCTCTTCAGCTCAAGGCCAGTGCTCTACCACTTGAGCCACAGCACCATTTCCAGCTTTTTTGCTTATGTGGTGCTGAGGAATTGAACCCAGGGCCTCATGCATGCAAGGCAAGCAGTCTACCACTGAGCCACCTTCCCAGCCCCTACCACTGTTGTTTTTAAAGTAAAGCTTGGTGAAATCTGACACTTAATTTCATGTCTTTCCAAAAGCTTTGAGGAATGCAAAGGAGGTGGGCTGTGTCTTATGTAGGAAACGAAGTCTGGGGTGACTGGGATGTTTGTCTTTTCTTGGTGGCTGCAGGTGGACTTCTGCCCTGCTGTGCAGAGCAAGGTGTTTTGCACCTCGCTAGCCACTTAAGGAGTAGAACGATAAAAATAGGACATTCTGCACTGTCGTTTAACCCTGATGGGACTTGTACCCTGCCCTAATGAGCTCTAGTTTAATGTGCACCTAGGCATTGGCCAAGGGCTTCAATGGTGTCAGGCGAAGGCCCTGGGTTTATGGAACTGATCCCTGTGGATCAATATCAGTGGGCTAGTGGGACACAGTTGCCCTCTTTTCTTTATGGCTTTAACAATTGTGGCTAGTATCCAGACCTAGACCAGACAAAGACAGCCTCTCCTAATTCCTCCTACAAAGATTGTTCCAACCTTGGGATGATCAGCCTGGGCCTAGGCATCTCTGAGATGGGGGCAGGTGGAGAGGGAAGGCGAGATGAACAGTGTCAGGTGCAGTGGCTCCTGTTTGCCTCCAGAAATGTGGACATGCCATAGGCAGAGATGAAAGCACACATGGAGGCTAAGAGGGGTGGGCAGCCAAGGACAGTACTTTACATCCTGATGTCTGCTCTGCAGTGCGGAGCTCCATAGGCCAGTCCGAAGGTCCCTCCACCTGAGGGGGCCTGAGCCCCACCCCTCCCCTACTCAGTGACAAAGAGCAGTAGTAAATCCTTCACCTACTAATACAACTAGCCTTCTAAATGAAACGTCACTATATGCAAGACAGAATCCCCTAGGAGGGGCGTTTCTTTCACATCTCACACTTTTGGTAGACCCTGAAACTCGAATAGAAGCTTGCTCCTTCTGCTTCTCAGAAGTGTTGCTGCTTCTGTACTCCCTTGAAGATGTTGGTTCTGGTGAGGCCTTTGAAGATGGACGCTGGTGGAAAGGAGTCATGTTCTAGTAGCCTTTCAAACTGTTGCGATAATTTTTGTGACACTACCAAATCTCCGAGAAGCGTGTTTTCTATGGTTTTGGGTTTCAGTTTGTTTTTTTGGCTTTTTGGCCCAAGGCCTATCTTTGTAGCCCCAGCTGACCTCACATTTTTGCAGTCCTCAGCTTCCTGAGTGCTGGAGTTACAGATTTGGAGGGTTGGTTGTGGTTTTTGTTGTTTGCTGGTCCTACAGCTTGAATTCTGAGTCTGAGTTCTCACTCTTAGCCTTTGTGCTCAAGGCTGGCACTCTACTCTTGAGCCAGAGCTCCACATTGGGCTTTTTGATGGTTAATTGGAGATACAAGGCTCACAGACATTTCTGCCCAGGTTGGCTTTGAACTGTGATACTCAGATATCAGCCTCCTCAGTAGCTTGGATTATAGATGTGAGCCACCCATGCCAGCCTTGGGGAGTCTTTCACTCGTGTGTAATTATGGTATCATTGTTACTCTCTCTGGGCCCCTTCAGGCTATTCCACCAGCACACCCTGGGTTAGGAGGGCTGTAGAAGGCAGACAGTAATTCCTGGAGTTCTGGAAACCAGGACGTCAAGCGTGCGAGATGTCAGCAGTGTATGTTTAGTGAGGATCCACGTCTGGTTCATAGATGTGCCCTCTGTGCCCTATGTGGATGGGTCATGGTCTCATAAGCACACGGGCCCCACCCAATGATGTCACCTTGGGGTACAAAATCCAGACCCTCATTAGTTATTTGGAAAGTGTGACTTGCTGGGTTATACAGCAGTTCCAAGTGCTGAACTATCAGTGAGTAAATGAAAAGGTCACAAGCCCCAGACCCCTGTGTTTGTTAGTACCTCCAGCATCCTCATCAGAAAAGGCTCCAACTAATGGGAATAGCTGATTCCACAGTGGTCACTACTAGTTTTCCAAAATTGTAAGGTTTTTTTAAAATCACATCTTCAATTGGTTTCATCATGATGTTTTCATACATGCATATAATGTGCTTTGATCATAATTCACCCCCAGAATTTAGATGTGGGGTTTTTGTTTTGTTTTGGTATTGGGTATTAAATTCAGGGCCTTGTGCTAAGCTAGCACAATTCTACTTGAGACATACCCCATACTTTTAATTTGCGTTTCAGATAGGGTCTTAACACCTTTGCCTGAGCCAGCGTTGGACTATATAACTCCAGTTGCAGGCCCAGATTCTTTGCTTTGTTTTTATTAGAAGCATAGATGTTTTTGATAGCTAACCCAGTCATTTGTTTGCCTGAAAGTGACATACAGACTTGTTTCATTTGCCTTTGAGGGAATGGTGTGAGATACTCCAGCTTGTGTGGCTGTTTGTGAGTCGTTACAAGCAAAGCAGCGAGCCCAGTTTGCAGTGCCAGCCTTGCCTGGTGCCTTCCCTAGTGCCAGTGCCATCAGGCTATCATGTGAACATTGTTTGCTGCATCATCAGGGATATTGGTGCTAGGCCAATTGGGCAGGCAGTCTGGGGCCAGGTCCTCAGTCTGGGGCCAGGTCCTCAGTGCCGGGCATGCAGTGCTGCCGTCTGGTGCTGCAGAAGAGCTCCCTGATCTCTCCTGCCCTGACTCATTCCTCCAGTGAGAATCAGAACACTAAAAACTTCATGGAAAAGCCTTCAGCATGCCAGGAAGTGAGAGGAGCTTGTGCTTTTAGCATCCTAAAGATGAGGGAATTGCACATGTGGTCCCAGCTGACGTCGTGGACGTGCCTGTTCAGCCTGCAGGGGAAGGTGCTCAGGGAGTGAGCCTCAGACAGTGCTGTGTGACAGGCGGGTTAACACTGGTGTGAGTGTGCACCTGTTACATCTGCTACACTGGGAAGTGTTAAATAGGATTGTGGTCTAGGTTTTGGCTTGGGTAAAAAATCAGTGCAAACCAGGACTAGGGCATGACCTACCAGTAGAGCACCTGCCTAGCAAGTGGAGGCTCTCCGTTCAAACCCAGTACTGCCAGAAAAAGAAAAGTAAAAAAATTTTAAAAGTATGTTATGCACTTAAAACCTTTCAGGATTTGGACTCTTAATTCCCATTTTTGCTTTAAAAATAGACGTGTTTTTGTTTTATTAGGCCGATCAGCAGTTGGTAAAGAAGGGGAAGAGCAAAGTTGGGGACATGCTGGAAAAAGCTGCCGAGTTGTTGATGAGCTGCTTCCGGGTCTGTGCCAGTGACACGTGAGTGAGGATCTGAGAATTGTACTGCACGTAGCAGTGCACATGAGTGAGAATGTACTGTGCGTAGCGATGTACATGAGTGAGAATTGTCCTGTGCATAGTGGTGCACATGAGAGAGAATTGTACTGTGCACAGTGGTGCACTTGAGAATTGTACTGTGCATAGTAGTGCACGTGAGTGAGTGAGAATGTACTGTGGGTAGCCGTGCACGTGAGTGAGAATTGTACTGTAAATAGTGGTGCACCTGAGTGAGAATTGTACTGTGCATAGAGGTGCACATGAGTGAGTGAGAATGTACCGTGTGTAGCGGTACACCTGAGTGAGAATTGTACTGTGTGTAGTGGTGCGCCTGAGTGAGAATGGACTGTGCGTAACAGTGCACCTGAGTGAGTGAGAATGGACTGTGTATAGCGGTGCACTGTGCCTAGCACTGTGGCAGGATGGCCCCTCCCGCTCTTAGCTTACTGTGGACATGAACTGTAACCCTACAGTAGGTGTTGCTGTTGCCTACAGAAAGCAGTTCAGAGCCTGTAAAGTAGCTGGCGCTTATCTTGTCCCCACCCTGGCCTGCTCCCCCTCTGGTTCCCTCGGTACTGCGGGCTCTTCCCACTGACCGGTTTTCTGGAACCACTTTGATTTGTCTTTGTGTGTGTCAGCACTGGGGTTTGAACTCACGGCCTTGTACTCTCACTTGGCTTTTTCACTCACAGCTGGCACTCCAGCTCCTGAGCCACACCTCCAGCTCCTGTCTTCATTTTGACAACTCTGTGTAGATGGGCCACGTTTTCCCATCACCACTTTGTGGTGCCTGTGTAGTTCCTGGATTTCCCACCTGTCACTGCACTCTGCTCGCCCTGATCTCGCTAGGCTCTTCCCCTGCCATCATTCAGTAACTCGCAACTGACCAGTATACAGAGCTGCTTAGGTTTGAAGTTAGCTTCTGTTAGGTTTTTGTGATTTAGTTGTCAGTCTTTCTCCTCTCCTTCATCTCAGATAATTGTACTGACCTGCTTGCAAGGTTGCTGGTTCTGATTGTCTTTCTACATTTTTTAATTCCAGACCTTCCATCTGACTCTATTTCAGAATTTCTATCTCGCTTCATCTCCTTATTACTTATATCACATTTGAAGCCATTGTGTGTGTGATTTTTTTTTTTTTTAGTGGTTGTGGGGCCTGAACTCTGGGCCTGGGCACTGTCCTTCAGCTCTTCAGCTCAAGGCTAGCACTCTACCACTTGAGCTACAACACCACTTCCGGCTTTTTCTGCTTATGTGGTGCTGAGGAATTGAACCCAGGGCCTCCTGTGTGCAAGGCAAGCACTCTACCACTGAGCCACCTTTCCAGCCCGTGTGTGTGATTTTTTTTTCTGTAGAGTTCTTATTGTTTTGAATTGGGGTCCTGCTAGGCCATCCTTGCTGTCCCGTGTGGTCCAGGGTCCCCTGGGGATCCCAGCCTCTCCACAGCATCACCTATGACCCTCAGTGTTTCAGAAGATGGTGCGAAGTGTACAGACGGCAGTGTGCTGAGGACTTGGTCTCACGCCATGTCACTAGCACAGTAGCACTCAGTGAATGTTACCACAGGCTTGGAGTTGGGTATGAGCCTCTTTGTGTACAGCAGTGAGTTACCTCACCTTTGGTCAGGCAGTGTATTCTCAGGACCCGTGCCAAAGCACCGCTGTGAAGCACAGTGGGTGAGCTGTACTTCCTCAGGACCCAAAACTTATCGCAATGGGAAGATTGTTAAGCGGAGCTTGTCTGATAAGGGTTTAGTACCTGGACTGTGTAAAGCAGTGATAGAGCTGGTCAGAGATTTGAAACGTTTCCCAATGGAGCCATGCACAAGGTCACCAAGGACGTCAGTGGGGACCCTAGTAGGCCGCCATACATGAGGTCACCAAGGACAGCTAGGAGGATGGCCCAGTGGCCGCCATGCAGGTCTGCTTGTGGACCCTGGGGTCCTGTAGTTGTTCCCAGAGCCCTCTGCCCATTCCTCATCTCGTTAGGTCTTGGTTCCACATAGTCCAGCAGTTGCACTCCCTGGTGGACACTGCCTTTGTCTCATGTATCCTGGTTTATCATTAGCAAGATAGTACAGAAATGTAGTTTTTTTGGGTTGTTTAATTTTTCTTTTTTGTCAATACCAGGGTTTGAACTCAAAGCCCCTTGCTTGCTTGCTTGCTTGTTTGCTTGCTTAGCCCTCTACCACTTGAGTGATGCTTCCAGCCCAGCTTTGGGAAGATTATTTTAGAGATGGAGTCTCAAGGACTTTCCTTCCTGAATAGTCTTCTGGATCTCAACTTCCTGAGTAGCTAGGATTACAAGTGTGAGCCACTGGTGCCTGGCAGAGTGTAACATTTTTGTACTTGCCTATTTTGTCCTTTTATTCCTTTTTTCTTTTTGAGGGTGGTAGGGTGGTACTGGAGTTTGATCTCACTTGCACTTGTTTAGACAGGTACTGTACCCAGGTACTGTACCACTTGAGGTATGCCTCCGGCCCTCAATTTACCTATTTAAAAATAAATTCAGAATCAGGTGCAAATATTGAAATGCCTTCCTTCTCCACATGCTTGCTTCTCCTTTGTCTTGAGGAGAAATGCATATCCAAACCCCAGCCTGTTTTACTCTGCCCCCACTGTGGCCTTTGAGGCAGGGTCTGCCACCACTCTGGTGTCTCCCTGGAGAGTGGGCTCTGCCTTTGTGACCTTGTGCATGAAGAGGCCTGCAGCATGTCTAGAAGTAGTCAGCTTTTACCTAGCACTGGAGAAACCAGGCAGCTGTCATGTGCTGTGCTAGAGAGAGTAACCAGATGTTCAAGTGTTAGATTTCCTGGCTTAACTCTTTGTTTTTTTAAATGTCTTCTGTGAGGCAGGACATCTTTTTCACTGATTTGTGGGACTTTATCTCAAGATATAATTTTTGAGGTAGTTTATTTTGAGATTTATGAAATGTTTATTTCCTGTGTAACTTAAAACATTATTTTCCCATAGTCGTGCTGGCATAGAGGACTCCAAGAAGTGGGGGATGCTGTTTCTGGTGAATCAGTTGTTTAAAATCTACTTTAAGGTACGCTTTTGTGTGAGTCTGAATGATCTCTGTCTTCCCAGATAAACTGTCACTGTTGATGGTTACCGGACTGCCCTGGCGTGCCCCCGGAAATGATACTGACCCCATTCATAATCCTGATAGCTGACATGAACCGAGCACCTCCCAAATTCAAGGCTCTGTTCTGCATGGTGCATGGATATATGAAAGCTTGAGGTGGTTTGCAGGCCACGAGCAAGGCCCTGTACACTGGGTGGCCAGCCCTGTTGAAGAACTATCTCTGTGCAGTATTGGCTCTGAAAATCAGGGGGCATAGACTTATAAAGGGATGAGAGTCATGGGGCATGTAGATGGACGGATATTATTTTTGCCCTCCCCAAAGGGCAGCCTAGTAGCTGTCAGTGGCTAAAGCCTGCCTCCTGTTCAGTGGGACATTTGTCCTGTCCCCACCAGGCTGAGGTGCCCCTTCCTCCTCATTAGTCTCCAGCTCCCTGAAGAGCGGGCAGCACTGCTTGGAAAGCTTGGGATTTCCTGAGTGTGTGGTTTTTGCCACTAAAATTATTATTACTACTGTGTGTGTGTGCGTGTTCATACATGCACCGTGCCGGTACTGGGGCTTGAACTCAGAGCCATTCAATCTTGCTTAGCTTTTTCACTCCAAGCTGGCGCTCTACTATCTGAGCCACACACTCACTTGTGGTATTTTGGTGGTTAATTGGGGATAAGAGTCACAGAATTTTCTGTTTGGGCTGGCTTTGAACCACAGTCCTCAAATCTCAGCCTCCTGAGTAGCTAGAATTATAGGTACAAGCCACTATCAGCAGTTTTTATTATTAAATAACCTCAATGACATAGAAGGTTTTGTTATTCCCATTTTAAAGAGACACATACTTTTTTTGGGGGGAGGGGGGTCCGGTTTTGGGGCCTGAACTCTGGGCCTGAGCACTGTCCCTCAGCTCTTCAGCTCAAGGCTAGCGTTCTACCACTTGAGCCACAGCGCCACTTCCAGCTTTTTTTCTTTTTGCTTATGTGGTGCTGAGGACTCGAACCCAGGGCCTCAGGCATGCAAGGAAAGCGCTCTACCACTGAGCCAACTTCCCAGCCCCAAGAGACACATACTTAAAAGCATAAGTTTATGTCCTTCTGCCTCCCTGTTTTTATTTTTAAATACTTTAATGGACTGTTATTACAGATCAACAAACTCCATTTGTGTAAACCCCTAATCAGAGCCATTGACAGCTCCAACTTGAAAGAAGACTATAGCACTGCCCAGAAAGTCACGTACAAATACTATGTGGGACGCAAGGCCATGTTTGATAGTGACTTCAAGCAAGGTATGTTGTTCGTCTAAAACATGAGAACCAGCCATGTGTTCTGAGTGGTTTGAGTGGTGCAGATAGTCTCTGAACTGCAGAACTACAGTTCTGACAGGTGGACTGCGCAGGTCGACAGTCTAGGTTATGTGTCATTTCCACACTAAAGCTTGTTAAATAAAGGAAGGTTGTGCTTGGGGCCTTGAATGTATGCTTGGGGCCCTGCAGTGCAGATCAGAATGTTACTTCTGAGGTGGCAAAGCCACCTGGGAGTAGAGAAAAGGCTGTTTCTCTCTTGGCCTCTTACCTACAGCACAACCAGTGTGCTGGTGTGAGACCCAAGAGATGGAGCAAAGGACAGCGCTTGGCTCTGTTGCTGCGCCACCTCAGCCCCACCAGGACAGCCCTGAAAGTAGTGGGGAAGAGGGGTGGGGGTGGGGGTGGGGAGTCCTGAGGCCTCCGGCCATGGTTCCTGTTTGTGCTTTTTTTTCCTTCATTACATTTTTCTTCCTTGATAAAACTTGAACTCGGATTTTCAAGCTCTTATTCAGATTGCTTGCTTATGACTACTGCTCTACCACTTGAGCCATGCCTCTAGCCTGGCTTTGCTCTGGTTAATTGGAGATGAACTCTTGCAGACTTTGCTACCTGGACTGGTTTCAAACAATGATTCTCTAAATCTCAGCCTCCTGAGTAGCTGAGAGGCATGAGCCACTGACCCCTAGATGGTTTGTGCTTTTAAAATAGCCACATGGGATGTCTTTGGTCCACACCGGTGGAGGGTTCCCTGACGGCACACCAGTGCCCACAGTAGTAGCTTCCTGTGCTAACTCACGGGTATGAAGTTGTTCTGACACACTCAAAGCAGACTTTGGAACGTGCTCCTTCATTTGGTCTGAAGCATGCATGGCGGCATGACTTGGGGCTGTGCGGCAAACCGTGGCTTCCTTTGCCTGCAGTCAGCCAGGGCCTCTCTTGGCAGAAAGCCTCGTTGTTGCCAAGCTCCACTTGCTGCTTCAGAGCTTCTCAGACTCACCCATAAAATATTCTAATAGATGGCAGGTTTTTAAAGAAAAACTTTCCTTGGTTGTTCCCTTATTTCTTTTTCTTTTTTCCTTTCTTTCTCTAAAACAAAAAACCTAGGAGTAGGAGCTTTTAAATGATCTTCTTTGGGTCTCTTAGGTATTGATAGAATGTATACTGTGGGCTTATTGAGTGGAAGTTTTGAACACCATCAGATGATTGATTAATATGGTAGCTGGAGAGCCATGGTTTCTGAAACTTTCAGGGCTGAAGAGTTCCTTCAGGACCATCTCATTCAACCTTTCACTTTACTGTAAAAGAAACATGATGTCCTGCTAACCAGTTCAGGAACAGGGTAGCAGTTCCCAGGGAAGATTTCCTTGGCGTTGGACTCCGGCCCTGACCTAGGGCCTGCTGCTCTGGCCGCAGGGTCTGCAGACAATGTGCTGCTGAGTTGGAGCATCCTTTCCTTTGCAATTAGGTCCAAGAGTACTGTTCACTATGGACAGTGCCGCTGTGGCTTCTGCCCCAGGGGACAGAAACCTCCTGTTTCCCTCCAAGCTCTTGATCCAGGCGTGGGTCAATGGGGCTCCCTGTCCAGGGGACTGGGCTCTCTGTCCAGCACCAGCCTGCTCTTCATCTTCATGCCCCATCCTGACAGGTCCTAGGAGCATGCATTAAACTCCCATGCTGTGCAGCTGACGAGATTATGCTCGGCACCACATACATTTCTTGTGAGCTGTTCTGTGTGAAATGGGGCGCCTTTGAAAGCTGCTGCCAGATCGGAACTAATGTGTTACACATAAATAAGTGCACCGTCACTGGACTGGTGGCTCACACCTGTAATTCTAGCTATTTAGGAGGCTGAGATCTGAGGATTGAGATTCACACCCAGCCCTGGCAAGAAAATTCCATGAGATTCATCTCCAATTAACTACCAAAAAGTCACAAGTAGAGGTGTGGCTCAAGTTGTAGAGTACCATCTTTGAGCAGAAAAGCCAAGTGAGATCGAACAGCTCTGAGTTCAGTACGGGTACAAAACAACAAAACAGGAGAGTTCATTGTCATTGTAATGAGCATGTATGTGGTGATTGGATTGCATGTTGAACTGGGGGGTGGGGGCTCTCTGTTACTTTACTATGCTTATGTGGGGTTCAGATGGGTCTAGAGTTTCATCTGTAATTTGTTTTCCAATTTGATATGCTAGCCATAATGGCTTGGCAGATGAACTTTGGCAAATCAGAATCCCAACAGAAGTTAGTTTCTGCCGCTTTTGCTCTGTGGACCTCTTCAGATGGCTGTGGATTTTACTTCAGAAGCATCACTACTGACAGAAGCAAAATTGGGCTGCCTGTTTGGGGCCCATAAAAGGAAGCAGCATGTACCTTACTGTTTTTACAGTCCACCACAACATGCTTGCTCGTGGCTGGTGTTGAACCACTTGAGCTATACCTCCAGTCTGGCATTTTGCTGTTTAGTTGGAGACAGTCCCACAGACTGTCCTGTCTGGACTGGCTTTAACAGTTCTCAGCCTGCTGAGGAGTTAGGAGTGTTGGCTTGAGCCACTGGCACCTGGCTAGCTGTGGCCTTTTGTGGGAGCTCAGGGCAGAATGTGACCGGGTGGTGGAGGGCGTCAGGTGGGCCTGCCTGATGTGTGGTCTGTCCTGCAGCTGAGGAGTACCTGTCCTTTGCCTTCGAGCACTGCCACCGCTCCAGTCAGAAGAACAAGAGAATGATTCTGATATACCTGCTTCCTGTGAAGATGCTTCTGGTGAGTGGTGCGTCTGTCATTTCTGGAGCTCTGAGGACTCAGAGGGAGGAGGTGGTACGTGTGAGCTGCATGTGAGCAGTGCCTAAGAGGGGTGCACTGTGCCAGTTCCTGGGCAGCACTGCTGCATGGCCCGCCTTCCAGACCTTTCCACAGGAGCTGTGTTCACCTTGCTTTGAAAGTAAACCTGAATCCTTGCTTTCCCTAAATACCTAGTGAGTGAGTGAAACTGGTCTCCACACGGGGTTGAATTCCTCACAGGGCAGCCTAGCCTAGCCTATGATGGAGAGCAGCGGTGCCACCCCTCCCTCCCCTCCTCTGCATGAGCCCTTATGCCTGGGTCAGGTTCTCTGGAGGATTTCTCACTCCCTCTGGCCACCCTGCCTGTGTGCTGATGAGGGACACGAGGGTGTGACCAAGGTCACAGCCGCTGAACGAGTTGTGTGGCACCCGGGCACCCAAGTTACTTCTGGTGCACTAGGAAGTGTTCAGTCTTCTTTCAGCCACTGATTAAAAATTTGGCTTGCCCTTTTTTTTTTTTTTTAACATAATTCATTGATAAGGATTTTATTGGAGACAGTTGTGTTGAAATGAAAGCATTTCCTTCTGTCCCAGGGCCACATGCCAACAATTGAGCTCTTGAGAAAGTACCACCTCATGCAGTTCGCCGAGGTGACCAAGGCTGTGAGGTGGGTTTCCTCCTTCACGCTTGGTGTGTGCCGGTGTGTTGCACACGTGCGGTGTGCGAGCCACGTTAATGTGCTCTCCTCCCTGTGTCTCCCTGCTGGCCCAGCGAGGGCAACCTGCTGCTGCTCCATGAGGCCCTGGCAAAGCATGAGACCTTCTTCATTCGCTGCGGCATCTTTCTCATCCTGGAGAAGCTCAAGATCATCACTTATAGGAGCCTCTTCAAGAAAGTGTGAGTGCGGGCCTCCGTTCCATCTGGCTACGGGCACGGTGTTCCTTGCCCATGGCCACCGGTTTGGGTCATGTGAGCTGCCGACACTGGTTGATGAGCCAGGGTGCTGGACTCCTGGCATCTGCTCAAGCCAGGGCTCCCCCTGACCCTGAGTGTCAAGAATTTAAGCTGTGCAAGCTCCTGTTCTTATACAACCTTCGACCCTGAATAAGACAGGCCTGTTTACAGACATAAGTAGTTTATCATCAATATTAAGGACCAATTGAATCTATATATCCTCATTTCACAGCTCTTAACATGAAAGAGAGGCCCCTAAGGATGAATGAACTATCCAGTACATGTTTAGGAAGCTCTATTTGTACTATAGTATAGTGGCCTTTTAAAATAAAGAGGTAAGATGCATTTTCATAGTTCTCATTTTGGGAGTCTATCTTTGGTGTACGTAGTGAAAGCTTCTGCCTCTGGTGGCACAGGTTCGTCAGAAGTGCTCATTTCCCACCAAGCACGGCCCCCTGGCCCTTGAGCAGTGCACCCTGTCAGCTGGGCCTCCACCTCCCTCCAGGTATCTGCTGCTCAGAACGCACCAGCTGTCTCTGGACGCCTTTCTAGTGGCCCTGAAGTTCATGCGCGTGGAGGACGTGGACATTGATGAGGTGCAGTGCATCCTGGCCAACCTGATCTACATGGTACGTCCTCTCCCCAGCCGCCCAGGCTGTGGCCAACAGGACCAGGGCTTGGCCTGGGGGAAGGTCCTACACAGAGGTCACTGTGTAGTCTAGGCTGGCCTTAAACTCAGCTTTGTGGAGGTATTTCTGACAGAACCAATTCTGTCCCAGAAAATACCATGCAGAGACATGTCTCTGGGAAAGGTGGGGAGGAGATCATATGTGGAATACACATTTCCTTGTTCACTACATGTTTTTCTTCATTGTCCCCCAACACGTACGTAGAGGAGGAATGTTGTATGCCCAGGGATAAATAACTGAATCACCAGCTTCCGACGCAGGTCAGACATGGACTTGTCAATAGGCCACCTTCTCTTTCTGTCCAGGGTCACATCAAAGGTTACATATCGCATCAGCATCAGAAGCTGGTTGTCAGCAAGCAGAACCCATTCCCTCCTCTGTCCACTGTGTGCTGAGCCCACCTGGGCATTTCTCCACTGGAGGGCACTGGAGAGCCTTTCTGCAGCCTGGATCCAGAGGGCTTTCCTGAGGCCACTGGAGCTGAGGTCACCAGCATGCCAATACCTTGAAGTCTGCACCCTCATCTTGACCAGCCATCTGTGACCAGTGTGGGCCTGGCAGCATGCAGAAACCTCCGACCTCCACTACTGGCACCTGCAGTGCTAGTGGGCTCCTGGGATGGAGTTGCACCTTTGTGTGCTCTTGATGGACGGGCTTTTGTAACTGTTTGTAGTTTTTCCTTCTTAAAAGAAGTATTCTGAATTTATAATAATGACATTTATTATATCTTCCAGGATACGTTTATTTTCATACATTAAATTTGAATGTTTCATGTGACTAAAATGCTTTGTTAACTTAAGACTTTTTTCTTTCATGCCACTGGGATTTGAACTTGACCTTGTGTTTGTGGGGCAGAGGGTCTGCCACATCAACAGTGCCCCTGCCATTTACTTGAGCTGTTTAATAAGGGTCTCATGTTTGCCTGAGCAAGCCATGATCTTCACACCTCTGTCTCCCAATGTAACTGGAATCACAGGCACAACATTGAGATAGGTCTGAGACATAGGGGTCTCCTCAAATTTTGGTCTGGACTACCCATGAACCTTGATTCTCCTGTCTCACTTCCTAGGCAATTGAGATTACAGACAGGAGCCTGACTCAGTATATTTTAAAAAAAGAACTTTGTTCATGTGGACGTTCCAAATCTTAGTTTGCCTGTATTAGTCTGCTCAGGCTTTGTAACAGACTATCATAGGCTGAAATAACGGATTCCTCACAGTTCTGGAGGCTGGAAGCCTGAGGCCAGGCCTTGCATAGGGATGCTCCCTTCCAAGGCTCGGGTGGCTGTCACTCCCCTTGAACAAGGCCGCTGTCCTGTTGGGTCTGGACCTCACCATACAACTGTACCCTTTGAAGCCCTGAACTGGGGATAGTGCTGCTTGCAGTGCTTTTGTAGGAGTCGCCTGCGGCACCAGTGGCTTGAAGTGTGCGTGTTTTCTGCTGAGGAAATGTTAACTGGTTGTCCCTCCTGGTGGAGAAAGCAGACCCTGTCCTGAACAGTGGCAGAGTGCAGAGCTCGCCCTGTGGGAGATGAAGTCTCCCTGTGGGAGATGAAGTCTCGGTCAGCGTCCTCACCCTGCATGGGCCTCTGTCAGTGCCTGCGTCAGTGTCTTCCTGCTGTGGAAACGTCGCTGGCTTGCAGTGCTGTTCTTGCTTTGCTCACAAGTCTGTGCCCGGTGGGCATGTGGGGCGTGGGCCTGTGCCCCGTGTTACAGTGGGGGCTCTCTTGAAAGCCTAGGAAGGGTCGGGAGGCCACCTCCCCATATCCCTTTGCGGGCCCCTGGGAGAGCAGCAGCTCAGCTCAGAGGGCCGCAGAGAGCCCAGTGGATAGCTTCCAGCTGAGACACTGCTGGCCTGCAGTGCATTTATGAGCACGCAGCTTAGACTTGAAAAGCAAATTTCAGAAACTGGGCTGGCTTATGACCAACAGATTTGTTTATTGTATCTTATTTCTCCCCCTAAGAGCCATGTTTAGATAAACAGCTCCAGGTGACATAGGCGTGAGAGCCTGGACAAGCCCCAACTCCTGACAGCCACCCTGTCAGTCTCCTCATGGTTGCAGCTGAAGTTTGAACTCCCACCTCATGTTGGGTCCTTTCTGGCTGGTCGAGTCTCCATTACTTCATCGTCTGTGTAAACCACAATGAGTACCGGGGGATGGTAGTGAGCAGGAACCTGTGTGCCTGCCCGGCCGGTGGTGGTGCTGGGGATGAGCCCAGGATCCCAGTGAGAAACCAGGTGCCCTGGTGTTCTCTGGTGACGGTACTTCCCTCCAGCCACTGCCCCGGTGTCACCTCGCCCCGCTCGCAGCTGGTCCGCGTGGTGACAGTCACATTCAGGGCCTGCTCACACTCCTCCCCATCTACATATGTGACTGGCAGTCCAGCTGGCACAGTGCCTGGGTCAGTGCCATTGAGGATCCAGCCACTGAGAAGGCCCTGTGTCCCCGGGATGAGGACCCGCTCAGCAAAGTCTCTCTCAGGTATGCAGACAGGGCGCCCCAAGGCTGGGCATGGCACCGGCTGCTCAAGCTCCAGCAAGGAGACATCATTCTGCCCTGACTCCTCCTCATACCACAGGTGCACGTGAACACGCTTGATCCTGATCGCCTGTGGCTCCTTGCTCGGGACACAACCTACAATCGTGGGCAGACACTCGGCCTTCCGTGTTGGCGGGAGTTGAAGGCAGATCATGAGAAGAACCATCCCAGCACTTCCTGAGCCTCCCTTACCCTGTCTGGAAGTCAGAGTACATGATTTGGAACACTGGGTTTTGAGAAATGGCCAGGGAGACAGTAATCGTTGAGAACTGGTTGTCGGGAAGTGTTTTCAAGTTAGTTTGTTGACTCAAAAGTGAGAGTAGAAGGTGAAAATCTATGTATTTAAAGATTTTTCAGATTCATTATAGAACAGGTTAGCAAGCTACGAAATCTTGCAACCTCTGACAAGAAAAGTTTTGCAGGTACAGACAAGTCTGGAGATGAGGCCGGGGCCATGCTCTGAGTTCATGGTGGAATTTGGTCCCAAATCTCTCAGCCAAACATATGTCTTACCACTGCTATACCTCAGTGTCAGAGCTGAATCTCTGATTTATTTTTTTTATTCTTAAATAGGATCATTTAATAAAATATTTTGTTTCTGGTCACACATGGGGCTTGAGCTCAGGGCCTGGGTGCTGTTCCTGAGCTTCTTTTGTTCAAGGCTGGCACTTTATCACTTGAGCTACAGTGCCACTTATGGTTTTTTCTGTTTATGTGGTACTGAGGAATCAAACCCAGGGTTTTGTGCATGCTAGGCAAGCACTCTACCACTAAGCAAGGTTCCCAGCTCCTGAAATAATTTTTTAATGAAAATGAATTTAATAAAAATTGATGATGGGCTGGGAAGGTGGCTCAGTGGTAGAGCGCTTGCCTTGCTTGCCTGAGGCCCTGGGTTCGATTCCCCAGCACCACATAAGCAAAAAGAAAAAAGCCGGAAGTGGCGCTATGGCTCAAGTGGTAGAGCACTAGCCTTGAGCTGAAGAGCTGAGGGACAGAGCCCAGGCCCAGAGTTCAGGCTCCATGACCGGACCCCAAAAAAAAAAAAAAATTGATGAAAAAGTACTTACCCACTTTCACACTAATATTTCTGTGTTGCAGAGAACACTTAGCTGTTGTCAGCACAAAATCTTCCTGTATGAGAACACCACCACAGAAGTCTTGCCCTTTGGAATTTGTTAACTTGACCTTCAAAAACCAGACAGACAATTAATAGCAACCCAGCCAGGTGTTGGTGGTTCATGCCTGTAATCTCAGCTACCCAGCAGGGTAAAATGTGAGGATCATTGTTTGAAGCCAGCCCAGGTAGGAATAAGACTATGATCTCCAATAAACTTTAAAAAAAAAAAAAAGAAGTGGCACTGTGGCTCAAGTAGTAGAGCACTAGCTTTGAGCAAAAGAAGCTAAGAGACAGTGCCCAGGCCCTGAGTTCAAGCTCCAGGACTGGCCATTAGCAGCTATTTGCAGGATTCAGGGGCAGTAAAGCTAATGACTAGTGATCTGTTCCATAAGAACCAGAGCGTGCAGGCTAGGAAGGTGGCTCAGTGGTAGAGCGCTTGCCTTGCATGCCTGAGGCCCTGGGTTCGATTTCTCAGCACCACATAAGCAAAAAGAAAAAAGCCGGAAGTGGTGCTGTGGCTCAAGTGGTAGAGCGCTAGCCTTGAGCTGAAGAGCTGAGGGACAGCGCCCAGGCCCAGAGTTTAGGCCCCACGACCAGACCCCCCCCCCCAAAAAAAAAAAAACAGAGCGTGTACACTGTGCATGCCACAGCGATGGCCTCTGGCACTGACTGGCATGTGCCGACCCTCTGGGCCAGGCAGAGTTCTGGCAGATGCCCTCATGGAGGAGGGAGATAAGACAAATATTATGTATCTCTGGTTTCGGGACCACGAACATGGCCAGGCACCTCAGGAGCCACCTTGAGTCAGCACAAGTGTTTGGGCCACTACCTGGACTCCACGTGGCTCTGGGCAGGTGGGTGCCTTGCTACCTGCCCAGTGTCGAGGCGGCTTATGGCAGGACAGGTATCCTGGGCAGAGCCCAACAGGCTTTTTGAGATGGAGTAGTGGAGCGCCCCGATGCTGAGTCACAGAGTGGAACCCAGGGCTGATGGGACCTGGGGCTGCAGGTGTCAGCGGCTGTGACGGGTGTGTGTGTGTATGTATGGACAGGGGAGTATGTGTGATGGGCATGTATGTATGACGGGCATGTATGTATGACAGGCGTGTATATGTGGATGGGGGCTGCTGAAGGCCACGAAGAGCCATGGAGGACTGGAAAGGAGGAAGCGGGTGCTCCAGTGTGCTGCTAGTGGGCACAGATCTGACAGGGCTCTGGGCAGAGCGTGCGGCAGGCAGGAATGCTCAACCTCCGCCTGGGCACGGTTCCTGTCCTACCAACCAGGCCTAGAAACAGCATGCCCATAACATGCCGACAAACTGCGCTTGCCTGTGTGTGATTCACTATGTCCCACTGAACACAAAATTGTCATGAGATGCAGCGCACAGTGCACATGCTGGCTCACGCCTGGAATCCTAGCTACTCAGGAGGCTGAGACCTGGAGAATCTTGATTTGAAACCAGCGTGGGCAGAAAAGTCCACAGTACTCCACCACCAAGGAACCAGCACAAAGCCAACTGGAGGCATGGCTCAAGGTGATAGAGCGCCAGCTGTGTGCAAACAAGCTGAGGAGGATGGCAATGTGTAGGCCATGTGTGTTGGCACAGCTAGGCACCACCACCCTGCAGGCTCAGAGCTCCCCTTCACCTGCCCGCTTTACTGCAGGCGATCCCAGGCTCAGTCTGGCACACCAATGGGTAGACAGTGGCAGACAATGGGTCACGAATAAAGGTTCTTTGAAGCTTACAGAGGAACAGCAGAGACACAAGGTCATCAAGCTGACAACTAGCTGTCCAGCTTTGTCCTTCCCTTCCTATTCCTCCATCTAATTAATTTGCTCTTAAGTTGGCATTTCAGCTGTGCCAGGCCCAGGGCTCAGCTCTGTCCTCTCCTCTGCCCTCCCCCACCGCTGCAGTGATGTTGCCCAGCACACTGCCTTATCGGACTCAGGTCACACACACATACACACTGCCCAAGGGATGTACTACCACACTTACTGAAAGCCCTGGAGCCGCATTCCCTACTGCCCTTCCCTCAGGATGTCCTTCCACGCTTACTGAGGGCCCTGGAGCCACGTTCTGTAGATTTTTTTTTTTCCATTCCTGGGATTTGAATTCAGGGCCTGGACACTGTCCCTGAGCTTCTTTGGCTCAAGGCTAGCACTCTGCTTTTTGAGCCACAACACCACTTCCAGCTTTTTCTGTGTAGATAGTTCTGAGGAATTGAACCCAGGGCTTCATGAATGCTAGGCAAGCACTCTACCACCGAACCACCTTCTCAGCCCTGTTCTGTAGATTTTTGAAGATTCAGTATGAAGAAATGTAAATAGACAATTTCAAAAATAACATTTCAATGGATTATATTAAGATAGACTGTTAAAATTGACTTCACTTTTACTCATGTGAATGTGGCTACTGAGAGCTGAAATTGCTTCTGTGGTGAGTGTCCCATTGGTATCAGACCAGGCCGCTCTGAAGCAGAGGGAAGGCCCTGCCTTAGAAGCTCAAGAGGCAAGCAAGAGGGAAAATTCCAGAAACTCAGAAAGCGTGGCCTATTCCATGGAGTTCTAAATGAGGCAGGAAAACAATGAATTCCTGGCCCCAGTGGCACTTTGTGGGAGGGGAAGGAGAGGAAGCCCTGTGTGCTTCGTCAGGTTTTCTGCTTCTGTGTCAAGAACAACCATATGTGTCAGGAGCTGCAGCTCACAGAAGGCTGAGGTCTAGAGGATTGCCGGTTGAGGCCAGCCCAGGTTGAAGAGTCCACCAGACACCATCTCCAGTTAACCAGCAAGAGGCATGACTCAAGTGGTAGAGCACCAGCCAAGCAGGCAAGCCAAGCAAGTGCAAAGCCCTGATTTCAAACCCTGCTCTAGAAGGTGTGTGTGTGTGTGTGTGTGTGTGTGTGTGTGTGTGTGTGTGTGTGTGTGTGTGTGTGTGGTGTGTGTGTGTGTGTGTGTGTGTGTGTGTGTGTGTGTTAACCATTATGAAACAGTAAAACATTTAACTTCCTGAATCAGCCAAGGAGGAAAAAAAATAACAGAATGAATGCAAAATGAGAAATGTAGGGAGCAAAACCACAGCTCAATGGGACTGGGCAGGTTGAGGGGCAGTGGGAAGGGAAGTGGGGGAAATGGAGGGGGTAACTTCAGCCAAGAGGCACTGCACTCATAAACTGATTTGTTGAATGGGAACCCATTTGTACAACTACTTAAAAAATTTTTAAACCAAGAGCTGAGAGGGACTGTGCCTGGGGCAGGCTCCCTGTCCCCTACGGCAGAGGGGCCACAGCTTGGCCCATAAGCAGGCACCCAGATGCTCAGGTTTCCCAGGGAGGTGGCCTGCCAGCTGGAAACACCCAGCTCCTAGTGACGCGGATGCTGCAGACCCCGGGACTGCAGGCTCAGCATGGGGAAGGCAGGATGTGAGGCGCAGATGGGTAAGGAGCCTGCCACATCAGAATCGCTTGTCATCACCTCTTTTTACCTTCTTTGCAGTGCTGGGGACTGAATCTGGCTTATGCATCCTTTTGCTGTGCTACACCCAACCCTTAGACAGAGCCTTTGTGAAGAAGACAGGAATGACAGGTAAGAGGAGGTCACGTTTCTTACCTGCCAAGGGAAGCTGGGAGGACGGGGCCAGCTTCTGCCTGCCGAGGTGGCATGTCCAGGATATGGGACCCCACACGCACATGGGTCTTCATGTGTGGAGGCAAGAGGAAGGAAGTCAGTGTCTCCCAAGCACACACAGGTGATCCATGGGCACACAGGTGATCCACAAGCACACACTGCTTGCCCACAGGCACACACAGCTTGTCCATAGGCACACACAAGTTGTCCACAGGCACACATGGCTTGTCCACGGGTACACACGGCTTGTCCACGGGCACACACAGCTTGTCCACAGACACACACGGCTTGTCTGCAGGCACACACACGTCCATGTGCAGGACAGTCTCATCTGAATGAGAGGCCGTCGGCGTGTGTGCAGCATGAAGCCCGCCCCTCTCCCCTTGGCTCCCCTGTGGTGCGGGTGTTGGGGCGCAGGGCAGTGTCGCTCTGGCTGGGAGGACAGCGCTCTAGCCATTGCTGTGAGGGGAGGAGGGTGTGATGGCCTACGTGAGGACTCACTCATGGGGAGGCAGGCCTTGTGGTCTGGGCCTAGCCGGTGGCCCCGTGCACAGCTGCACATGTAGGACACTTGTCCTGGGTGGCAGAAGTGCTGGCACGCGTCTGTCCTCTCGGGGTGGCATTCGTTTGTAGCTGAAAAGGAAAAGGGTAAAGCAGCGTGCGTGGGCCTGGCTCCTTGTCCGGGTGCCGGGCTCTCACACCAGCGGTATGCACTTAGGCACCTCTTGAAGACACCGTGGCACTTGTGCTTGTCCTCCTGGTTGTGTTTCCATCAGTGTGGTGGTGTGTCTAGGTCTGGGCAGGCTAGCTTTCCCATGCGCTGGTCCCACGAGGACTTCCCTGTCTGAGCTGGCACCCCCGCTGTGTGCTCTCCAGCTTGTGGATGGGGCATGGGTAGATTTGGGGACAGGGAGAGGGGGACTCCATGCCACAAAGAATTTGTGAGGTCTCTCTGGGGCAGGAGGGCTGGCCACAGACACGGCCAATGCCCAGGGGAATGCTGAGTATAGTGGGAGGGCTTCCCTTAGTGTATCAGGTAGGCTCCCAGGGCCACCTGGTGCCTGGGAGGCAGCGGGCACCGCTGGGGCGGGGCAGCCTCACCCATCTCGCAGTTCTTGCCCTCATAGCCAGGGGAGCAGGTGCAGGTGTAGGCACGGATGTGGTCCTGGCATGACCCGTTGTTGAAGCAGGGCTGGGAGGTGCATGGAAAGCCACCTATGGGGACAGGAGCTCTGAGCCTGCAGTGCCACCTCTGTTGTCAATGCAGAGCTGGCCTCCAGTGCCTCCTGCCCCAACTGGTGTCCGCAGCTGCCTCCCTTCCTCACCACCTCAACCTGCCTGCTCAGCCCGCTCCCTCCTTTGGGTGTGCTGCCCTGCCTACCTGCATGCGTGGGGTGTCTGCAGCTCTTCCCAACTCATTTTAAGGAAGGTCCCTGGCTCCCCCTTCCCCCAACCCTACCCCGGCCCCAAGTCCCCTAGTTCTGTGCCAGTACTCCAGCCAAAGAAGGCCTGCTGAGCAGGCCTCAGGCTACATGCATCTGGGTCAGATCAAAGGTCTCCCAAGTCTGAGCCTTCTGGGAGCCCACACTTGAGCACTAGCTGCCCCTCCCACGCCTGACACACTCTCGGCAAGAAGGAACCATGGGGCTTCCTCTGATGCCTGTTGGCAGTCTGCAGGGCTCTCTGACACATCCCTGGGGCAGGGCCAAATGCTGGCTCCCAGGAGCTGAAGGCCTGGAAGGCCAGGTCCAGGGGCCCAGCAGGGCTCTCCCAGCCTCATCCACCCCAGGAGGTAACAGAGAAAAGCACACCCAAGGGAGAGAGCCACTCACCCCTGTACTGCCTCCAGAATTCCTCCTGTGAACAAGAAACATAAAAATAGTCACTAGCACAGGCACACACCTTGTGAATGAGCTTGAACATCAAGGAAAGATTGGGTTTGTTCACCCAGAAGGACATGCTGGTAGAGAGGAAGACGTGCAGTTCTCTAGTTAGCAGGTCCTTAGTTATAGGGAACCTACATTTGCCAACTCCACGAAACCAACCTACCCACATACACCTGGCACCTCCCACTGAGGGGGGCACAGAAACACTCCTGAGGGCTGGGCCCCTCCCCAGGCACAGCTGAGTTCGTCCCCCAGCCTGGCCTCCGCTCACGACCACACTCATGACCACGCTCACCCCACCCCCCAAGCCTGGCCACCGCTCATCACCACACTCGCAACCACGTTCACCCCCCAGCCTGGCCTCGCTCACAACCACGCTCACAACCACACTTAGTGGACCCGGCTCAGGTGCCCTTCCAAGGAGCCGCATCCTGGTGCAGGTGCTGGGGCTGGTGAGTGCCTGATCCTGCAGTGGAGGAAATGCAGGGGAACTCAGCCCACCCCAGCAGCCAGGGAGGGTCCCCACTCCAGATGAGGCAGATGACCCTGTCCATCTCAGGACCCAGGGACCTGTGACTCCATTGTTCCAAATCACATACACATACACACATGCACACACGTACACACTCCATCTCCCACACATGCCCCTCCCTGCCAATGTCCTGTGTCCTCCTGCAGTTGCAAAGAGAAAGAGTGGTGTGCGTTCTCCAGCGTGCTCTGTGCTGCCCTGTGCTCCGGAGGCAGGCCTGGGGAGAGAGCTGTCAGGAGGCAAGGCGGTGGGGCTGTGTTCCTGTATCCCCACAGTGGGGTTCCTGCGTCCCCCATACATACTGTGAGCACATCGTCCTCAAACACTTCCCTGCTCTCCTCGTAGACGCAGATCTCCTCGTAGCACTCCCTTTCCAGGTCCCCCTGGAGGAGCTCTTCCAGGAGGTAGGAGCCAGCACGCCTCCACCTCCCGAGAACTGCACTGGCTCTCGGGGCTGAGAGAAACACTGCAGGAGAGGACGAGGCATCAGGGGGTGCCGAGAGAAACACTGCAGGAGAGGATGGGGCATCAGCTAGCTGCGTGCCCCACCCCTGCTGCCTGGGCTCCACAGGACTGGGACAGCACGGGCGTCCCTGCGACGTGCCTGACCCCAGCCACGGGGACACTGCTCTGCAGATGGACATTTTACTAGTAGAGAAGCAGGGCCCTGTGGGTGTGTTGGGTGGGCCTGTCATTCTAGGGGTGTACAAAAGAGGGTCATGATCAGGCCAGGGCCCGGCAAAAAGCCTACCCAAGAAACAACTGAAGCAAAAAGGGTTGAGGGAATGGCTCAAGTGGTAGAGCACCTGCCTGGCAAGTGTACATCAAGTTCAAATCCAAGTACCACCCCTCTCCCCGTATCTGCTGCCGGGAGAGGCTGTGGCTGTCAGTGTAGTATGGGCCTGGGAGGAGCAAGACAGGTATCCACGTGTGAAAGTCCACCTGTGCCACAGGTGTAAATGCTGAGCCGCCTCCCCACCAAAGGGAAGAATCACAGCCAGGGCAGAGAATGGAAAACTGGAACCATTTCAGTCAGAGAGGAGAAGGTGCAATAAATAGATCCTGACCCCGGCAGCCACAGGCCTGGACACAGGCTTGGCCTCCCCAGCCACAGGCCAGTGGGGCCCAGCACTGTGGCCTCCTTGGGATCACATGGGGCCCTGCAGCGCAGACATGGAGAACATTCTAGATGACAGAGAGAGGGCAGGGAGACGGAAGTGTGGCACCAAGGTCCACTCTGCTGACCTGGGCAGCCTTCTACAGACCCGAGTTCCAGATGGACTCACAGCTGCCCAAAGCAAAGACCATTTTCCAGACCTCTGTAAGGCAGGGGCAGGGGTGGAGGCCCAAGCGCTGGCCAGGAGACACAAACGGCAGGGCTGGGGGTCACCCCTGAGAGCTTTTAGAGGCATCTTGAAAACACTGGGTGCAGCCCCCAGTTCCGTTCTTTGTCCCTCCCTCCATGCTGCTGCCTGGTGTGGTGAGTGGAGCTCCAAGCACCACTCTGGTGGGTGATACACCATTTCTGGCACATGCAGCTTCATGGTTTTATATGTGAAGGAGAAGCACCTTCCTCCACTTCTTCACCATCCCTTAGCTTTTTTTGGCTGGTCATGGGGCTTGAACTGTGGGCCTGGACACTGTCCTCGAGCTTTTCAGCTCAAGGCGAATGCTCTACCACTTGAGCCACAGCACCACTTCTGGCTTTCTGGTGGTTAATTGGAGATTAGAGCCTACAGATTTTCCTGTCTGAGCTGGTTTTGAACCACGATCCTCAGATCTCAGCCTCCTGAGTAGTTAGGATGACAGACATGAGCCACTGGCGCCTGGCTCATCCCTTAACTTTTTTGGCTAAAAGTAACCCAACCTGGAAGAAGTTGTGCCTATGACACAATGAAGGATACATATATCTATCTGTCTGTCTGTCTGTCTGTCTATCTACCTACCTACCTACCCATCTGACTTCACTGTCATTGTAAATTGTTGCTGGCCTCATTGGTCTTCATTCTGTCCTTGGTGATGCTTGCTTCAGTTCCTGCTTGGATGGAGTGTGCTCCAAGGGCATGGTGACCAGAGAACGTATGGTTCTGGAGCCTGTGGGTGGGTCAGGTATGCATAGCCAGCTGCAGGGCCTCCACATCCCTGGGCTTGAGGCCACAGAGTTCTAAGGCCCGCCTCTTCTTCCACAGCCTTTCTTGTGTCTCTGTCGGCACCGGGCCTCCAGCAGGACAACCTTCTCCTGCTAGTGGCCTCTGCCAAGACCCTGTTTCCAAGAAAGGCTATGGGCCAGGGTCTGGGTAGACTGTGGCCACAGGCCCCCTGCTGGAGGCCGGGGAGTCCATGTCCCCAGCCGTCTTTGAGCAAATTGTTCCTGAGTTCTTGCTGGTTTGCCCTGAGCCACCCCACTCTGCCGGGGCCCCTGGGGTCACCCTCCCGAGGAAGCTTCGTGGCTGTGCTGGAAAGGGCAAGGGACAGACCAAAGAGCAACGCCTACCTGACAGCCGCACCTGGGGGAGGACGAGGAGGAGCAGGAGCCCCCAGAGCAGCAGGACGCGGCCGGCCATGCTAACGCAGGGTCTGGCAGGGCGGGCAGGACAAGGTATGCAAACAGCAAAGTCCAGGGCCCTGGGGAGGGGCCTGGCCAGCAGGCTCCAAAATACCCCAAGGGCTGTGCAGAGCGACCCCCAGCCTTTGCCCGCCATCAGCCTGAGCGGGGAGCATGTGCCAGTGATGCCCAGAAAGGCAAAACTGAATACTCACCGAAGCAGAAGATCTCATTTAGGTAAAAAGACAGCGAGGCCAGCAGCCTCCGAGTGACAGGGAAGCCGGTGAACACCTACAAACTGTGGTGAAGGGAAAAACCATGGCCGGAGGAGTGGTTCATACAGGGTGCCTGCTTGGTGAGTGAGCATGAGGCCCTGAGTTCAAACCCCAGTACTGCCAAGGGGAAGGAAGGAAAACAAAAACAAAAACAGTTAATTTTCAGTGGGTAAGCCAAAATCATCTAACACCTGGAACTTAATTGTATAGGATTAAGAACAATCTTTGTTCTGGCTCCCACTCTCATGGCCATTGCAGTACATTGAGCTCTATAGAGACAGCCCAGGGGCAAGTGAGAGCCGGACAGGCACTGAGCGACTCTGTGCCTCGCGGAAGAAAAACTAAACATGGGCAAAGGAGATACTAAGAAGCCGAGAGGCAAGATGTCATCATATGCATTCTTTGTGCAAACTTGCCAGGAGGAGCACAAGAAGAAGCACCTGGGCTGGGCACCAGTGGCTCACGCCTGTCATCCTAGCTACTCAGGAGGCTGAGATCTGAGGATCGTGGTTCAAAGCCAGCCCGGGCAGAAAAGTCCGTGAGACTCTGATCTCCAATAAACCACTAGAAAACTGGAAGTGGTACTGTGGCTCAAGAGGTAGAGCACTCGCCTTGAGCTGAAGAGCACAGGGACAGTGCCCAGGCCCAGAGTTCAAACCCCACGACCAAAAAAAAAAAAAAAAAGCACCTGGATGCTTCTGTCAACTTCTCAGACTTTCCTTTCTTTTTTTTTTTTGGGGGGTCCAGTCGTGGGGCCTGAACTCTGGGCCTGGGCGCTGTCCCTCAGCTCTTCAGCTCAAGGCTAGCACTCTACCACTTGAGCCACAGCGCCACTTCCAGCTTTTTTCTTTTTACTTATGTGGTGCTGAGGAATCGAACCCAGGGCCTCATGCATGCAAGGCAAGTGCTCTACCACTGAGCCACCTTCCCAGCCCCTTCTCAGACTTTTCTAAGAAGTGGTCAGAGAGGTGGAAGACTATGTCTGCTAAAGAGAAAGGGAAATTTGAAGATATGGCCAAGACAGACAAGGCCCGTTATGAAAAAGAAATGAAAACATACATCCCTCCTAAAGGGGAAACAAGAAGTTCAAGGATCCCAATGCACCCAAGAGGCCTCCTTCGGCCTTCTTGTTCTGTTCTGAGTATTGCCCTAAAATCAAAGGGGAACATCCTGGCCTGTCTATTGGTGATGTTGAAAAAAAACTGGGAGGGATGTGGAACAACACTGCCGCAGATGACAAGCAACCTCAGGAAAAGAAGGCTGCGAAGCTGAAGGAAAAACATGAAAAGGATATTGCTGCCTACAGAGCTAAAGGAAAGCCTGATGCAGCAAAGAAAAGGAGTTGTGAAGGCTGAAAAGAGCAAGAAGAAGAAGGAAGAGGAGGAAGATGAAGAGGACGAAGAAGAGGATGAGAATGAAGATGAAAAGGATGATGATGAATAAGTTGGTTCTAGCACAGTTTTTTTCCTGTCTATAAAGCATTTAACCCCCCTGTACACAACTCACTCCTTTTAAAGAAAACAATTGAAATGTAAGGCTGTGTAAGATTTGTTATTAAACTGTACAGTGTCTTTTTTTGTATAGTTAACACACTACCGAATGTGTCTTTAGATAGCCCTGTCCTGGTGGTATTTTCAATAGCCACTAACCTTGCCTGGTACAGTATGAGGGATGTAAATTGGCATGGAAATTTAAAGCAGGTTCTTGTTGGTGCACAGCACAAATTAGTTATATATGGGGATGGTAGTTTTTCATCTTCAGTTGTCTGACACAGCTTATACGAAAGAATTGTTCTGTTAACTGAATACCACTCTGTAATTGCAAAAAAAAAAAAAAGTTGCAGCTGTTTTGTGGACATTCTGAATGCTTCTAAGTAAGTACAATTTTTTTAGTAGTAAAAAAAAAAAAGAACAATCTTTGTGCCACCTGTTATGAAAAGGCTTGAAAAACGTGCTTTTCAAGACAATTCCATGCGGAAATTTACACTTTTCAGAACATTTTGCTAGACTGCTTGTAATCCTAGCTATTTGGGAGGCTCAGATCTGGTTCAGAGCTAGCCCAAAGCCAGCTATCTCCAAAACAACCAGCAAAAAGCTGTGTGGGAGACCTGGCTCAAGTGATAGAGCATCAGCTGAGTAAACAAGTCAGGCAAGTGTGAGGTACTAGTTTTTAAAAATCACTAAATAATTTTAAGACCTGCTTAAAAATAGGCAACTAGGCTAGGGCCAGGTGCATCTGACTGAGAGTCGTTCACAGGCTCTGCTGTGTGCCGGCAGCCCCAGGACAACATCTGCAGACTGGGCGCCTTCCAGGCAGCAGAGGCGCCCGGCTCACAGTGGTAGGGGCCAGAAATCAAAGGAGAGGCACCGACAGGGTCAGGGTTTTGTGTGGGGCTGCGGCTCATGGACGGTGCTGCCCAGCGATGTCCCCCCCAGGAAGAGAGGTAGAGGCTCCAGGCCTCGGTATGAGGTGGTGTCAACATTTCAAAATATGAAAAACAGTGGGACACGGACATTCAGATTATAGCAGTGGTAAAACGACTTCTACGGTGGTTTCCTGTGGCAGGTTTCTCACCCGCCACCTCCAAGAGGCCCTCTGGTCAACAAATCCCACAGAACAACTCTCATCAGAACATCAAAAGTGGCGCCCACCACCCTCCTCCCATCCCTTAGTACAACATGAGCCTCATCCCCCAGCCCTTTGTGGGAAAAGACAAGCCATATGCTAGGGGCTTTGACTCCTGAGTTCTGAATACCCTGGAGCCATGCTGCACCTCGTCCTTCCAATGCTGGGCTGTCCTCTCTGTGGCCTTCCCTCATGGGCTGTTCCAATCCCTGCACTGGCAGAGCTAGATGGGGGCCGCAGAGCCCAAGGTTTGTTCCCCCAGTGGCCTGGTTGTCTGCGTCCTCACTGTGTCCCAGCTTGGTCCCCTCAGTCATCAGCCCTACACAATGTGCCCATTTCAGCATCCCTCGCCTTCCTGTGTCTTCCAGGCAGCTGTGTGCTCACAGCCTGTGGGGCGAGGTCCTCTTGGAGTCTGTGATTTACATGGACCTCTGAAGCACTCTCCTTGTTTGGAGGCCTGGAGATGTGTACATGCCTAGAGGATGTTTCTTCCCTCCTTCCTGGCTGAGACAGGCACAGGCTGGTCCAGGTTCATCCTTCTTTCACTGGTTCAATCCACACTTTTGTCCTTGATCTGCTGAGGATAGGCACCTCTCCTAGGGCCTCCCTGGGGACTGGTGGTGGTCCTTCCACCCTGGGGTTCAGCCACCCAGGACCAGGCAGGAAATAAGGGGAGACACATGAGAAAGGAGGATGGGCCTGGTCTGGTGACACATCCCAGGGCTGGCACCCTCCCTCACCCTGGGGCACTGCCACCCTCTGCCAGCCTCTTCCTCTGTGTGGGCCCCTGGCGAGGTCTGACAGAGCCTAAAAGTGACCTTGAGCACATTCATATCTGCCACTAGCTATCTATGAAATCCTCCGGTTCCTGTGGGAGTTGCTACTGCTGCCCACATGAGGCTTGGTTGTGTGCTTTGTGTCCCAGCCTGTGCTGACCTGGGGTCGACGGAGCCCAGGGATCTCACATTTTCAGGGACAGCCACAAAGTCCAGTCAGATGTAGCTAAGACTACTCCCCCTGCCCAGACCACACCTCTCCTGATGAGACCATACCCCTCCTGGTGAGACCACACCCATCCTAGAGAGACCACGCCCCTCCTGATGAGACCATACCCAACCTGATGAGACCACACCCCTCTTGGTGAGACCACACCCCTCTTGGTGAGACCACACCCCTCTTGATGAGACCATGCCCCTCCTGATGAGACCACACCCAACCTGATGAGACCACACCCCTCTTGGTGAGACCACACCCCTCTTGATGAGACCATGCCCCTCCTGATGAGACCATGCCCAACCTGATGAGACCACACCCCTCTTGGTGAGACCACACCCCTCCTGATGAGACCATGCCCCTCCTGATGAGACCACACCCCTCCTGGAGAGACCACGCCCCTCACACTGCTCCCCTGGTCCTGTTGAGGTGCATTCTGAGCATCCAGGAACTGTACACAGCCAGGCCTTCCTACAGATGGAACACCCCAAGAACAGGGACCACCTTTGTGAGAACAGAGTGACTCAGCCCTAGAATGGCACTCAGAGGTGAGGAGGACTCAGCACTGCCTGTCCTGGCCATGCCCTGCTTGCTTGGCTGGGTCAGCAGAGAGGGTCATGGTGACACCTGCCAGCCAGTGACACTCTGGCGGCTTTAGGGGGCAGGACCCTCCAGAACAGAAACTCATCCCAAGTCCTGCAAAGATGGCCATATCCACGATGGAACTGGAGAAAGCCACTGTCTTCCGGCAAAGCCCTCCTGTTCATTTGTGTCCTTCTCCACAGTCTTGGGCCCCATACTCGTCACCATGCTTCTAAACTGCCTGTCCCCTGGAGTGAGGCAATGTCTCAGCACCCCAGGATCAAGAACTGAGGGGTCATCTCCCTTCTGGCTCTGAGCAGCATAGGGCTCGGCCCTATGATACCACTGGCTGTGGTATCATGTCAGTTGTGGTGTCATGTTGGTTTTGGTGTCATGGTGGTGGTGCTGTGGTTATGGTATCACGACTTCAGTATGATGACTGATATTGTGGTTGGCTGTGGTATTGTGGCTGTAGTTTCATGGCTGTGGTATCATGTTGGTTGTGGTGTCATGTCGGTTGTGGTGTCATGGTGGTGGTGCTGTGGTTGTGGTATCATAAAAATTCCAATATCACGACTGATATTGTGGTTGGCTGTGGTATTGTGGCTGTAGTTCCATAGCTGTGGTATGTTGGTTATGGTGTCATGACTGCAATATCACAACTGATATTGTGGTTGGCTGTGGTGTTGTGGTTGCAGTGTCCTGGTTGTGGCATGATGACTGTGGTATGCAAGTCTGCTCATCACTCTCATGGAGAAATGTCACACCCCTCTCTTCTCCATCTTTGCTCCTGCTGCACTCTGTCCTTAAGTTCTCACTTTCCAATGGATTGTTGTTCTGAACAAAGATAGGCTTCCCCGGAGTCACTGGTGGAACAAGGTCATAGACCAGGCCCTGGGCATGTTGCTGGTGGCTTTAGTCAGCAATATGCTGCTGCTGAAGCATGTGCTGCTCAGGTGAGAGGTTAAATGTCTGCTGTTGATGCCCCCTACCTCCCACCATCCCTCCAGGACATCCTGGGTGGGCTCTTTTCTGGATGGGCCTCCGCAGAGGCCTGTCCATACCCATCCACAATGCGGGCTCCCCGTGGCCCTCCGTTTCTGTGGCATGCCTGTGACACACGGGGTGAAGGTCCTGCAGCGCGTGCCCAGCTGCTGCTGATCTGCGAGCCTCTTAGGGCCCACACAAGCTGTCATCTCTGGGAATAGGAATCCAGGCCTGCGGCCTAGAGAAAGTTCTGCAGATGCCGGGAAGCTGAGCCTTCCCTCTTGGGAGCAGGGTGACTTGGGCTAGGAGCAAGCAGGCAGCAGACAGCAGGCTTGCAAAAGGCCTGGGCTTGGCTGGGTCTGTGCAGGGCAGGCAAGGGGAGACCCCCGACAGGTTCCAGGAAACAGAGGGCTTGTGCACATTGACTTTTCCTAGCCTTACAAAACCTCCTGTTTACAAAAGGTTCTGTCTGCTCCCGACGTTGGGGGAAGTTTTGTTCTAGAACTTTTAACCTTTGCTTTATCAAAGTTGCGCAAAATGCAAACTGTACCGGGACTTTTGGGAAACACAGGGCAGCTCCATCTGGATGGCCAATTCTGTTTACTGAAAATCTGCTTGTTTTCCTAACCGTGTGACTTGGGACATGGATGCAGTGTTGAGTTGCAGCAGGGCAGGGAAAGGAAAGGTGGTACCATGGGCCCTACTCGGAGGTGCAAGTCACTGGAGGAAGTCCAGAACTTCTGGGACAGCCTCATCCCAGAGACCTGGAGCTCCCTCTACCCCATCCCTAATCCACATGTGAGGGGTCACTGTCCTGCTCTGTGAGCAGGCACTTGATCTGTGCACACACCACGCAGTCCTTCTCAGGGTGAATCTGGGTGGTGGCGTGGGGACAGCGGCCTCCTGTTTCCATGACGCCCATTAGGAGTGCAGGCCTTCCTGGTAAGGACCTGGCTGTCCCAGAGTCAACTCAGAGGAACACCCCTACCACAATGCCTGTGTCACACCAACCAGCACCCACATGCCACCCGACCAGCATTCGTGGGGCCTGGGGCCCCTGGCCACAGCAGGTGTTGAACCCTAGGTGTGTGCACCTAGAGCTCCAGACGCTGACTCTGGGTGGCTGAGCTCTGTGGCTGAGCGAGGGTGGGGAGGGGGGTCAGAGCTCAGGCCACACAGGAACAAAGCTGTGACAGGCAGTTGGGCTCTGCTCTAGTGTGAGCCCAAGCCTCCTTCCCACAGAAACTGGGGTCTGCGGGGAGGGGGAGTAGGGACTGCACTTCCAAGAAAGAGTCTCGAGGAAGAGCAGCCTGGGGATGGGAGCTGCGGCTCCATGCCACCCTGCTCCTACGGCAACACTCAAGGACTCCAGCCATGGTGAGGGCAGCTGTTTACTGAGGCGACGGCGTGGGTGATGGGGTCTGGGGCATGGGCGAAGGGGCCTGGGGCATGGACAGCTCCCTGGCCCTCATGGACCTGTCGATCCACTTGAGGAAGGCAGTGACCTTGGTGTACACCCCATACTTCCCTTTCCTGGCGCATCCCTCCCCCCAGCTGACGATGCCTGTCACGAAGTAGGTGTCCTTAAACCGGGTGACATGCGGGCCCCCGCTGTCCCCCTGGCAGGCGTCCTCCAGCTTGGCATCGTAACCAGCGCAGAACATGTTCGGGGTGATGGAGAAGCTGCTGGACAGCTTGCAGGTGTTGCGGTCCACATAGGGCACCTCCAGCATCTTCAGCGTGGTGGACTGGCGGCCTTTCTCGTGCGTACGCCCGAACCCGCTCACAATGCCGGACTTCTGCGTCATCAGGGTGGCCTCGGCCCAGTCCTTCTGGGGCAGGCAGGCGGGGGCCACGTTCATGCGGAACACAATGGGCGTCTTCAGCCTGAGGACTGCGATGTCGAAGTCGTAGGTCTCCTTCACAAACTTGTTGTGCTTTACGATCACCTCCACCTCGTGTACCGCCTCATTCCCCTCCTCCTGCTCCGTGTTCCGGTCCCCTGGGGCCAGAAACGGGGCAGAGGTTAGCATCCTGGTACCAGCATGTGGATGTTGGACGTGTGTGTGTGTGTGTGTGTGTGTGTGTGTGTGTGTGTGTGTGTGTGTGTTGTTCCTGGGACCTGGGTGCTGTCCCTGAGTGTTTTCTTGCTCAAGGCTGGCACTCTCCCACTTGAGTCACAACTCCACTTCTAGTTTTTTGGTGGTTAATTAGAGAAAAAGAGTCCCATGGATTTTCCTGCCCAGGCTGGCTTTGAACCATGATCCTCAGAGCTCAGTCTCTGAGGATGACAGGTGTGAGCCATTAGCACACAGCTACGTTGGCTACTTTGAAAGAAGTGTTTTTTTTTTTTTCCTCCCTAATACTAAATATAGCTGGGCACAGTAGCAGCTCTGCGACCCAGCACTTGAGAGTCAGACATAGGAGGATTAAGAATTTGAGGCCAATCTGACCTGACTCAAAAAAGAAAAGAAAAGTCATGCTGGGTGCCAGTGGCTCATGCCTGTAATCCTAGCTCCTCAGGAGGCTGAGATCTGAGGATCGAGGTTCAAAGCCAGCCCAGGCAGGAAAGTCCGAGAGACTCTTATCTCCAATAAACCACTAGAAAACTGGAAGTCCACTGTGGCTCAAGCGGTAGAGTGCTTGCCTTGAGCTGAGGAGTGCAGGGACAGCGTTCAAGTCCAGAGTTCAAGCCCCACAACCGACAAAAAAAAAAAAAAAAGAGTCATGCAATCACATTAGAAAACTTGAAAAATATGGGAAGCAGAAAATGAGGGAGGACTAACTTGGTCCCGATCTCCCAGCCAGGGCTCCTTCCTATTATATTTGGCCTCCAGGTCCTCCCAACTCAACCTCAGATGGTTCCTAAGCACATGGGACATTGGACCCCTCTAGCATGGGGTCTCCTGGGAGTAGGGTCTTCTAGGACATGGAGTCTCCTAGGGCGTGGGGTTCTGGAGCATGGGGTCTCCTCATCTAGCCCCGGCTGCATAGACAGGCAGCCCCCAACCCCATCTGTTCTGATGGTCCAGGCTGCACCAGGATCAGTGGGCTCTGGGCTCGGGCGACACTCACCTACCCTCACCTTGAACCTCTTGGCCTGGTGGAGACAGTGGGCAGCTGTCAGAATGTGGAACTGGTTCAGGATGGTGCCACCGCAGAACCCCTCGTTCTCTTCATTGATGAGGAGAGCCTGCACGGGCAACTATGTCTACAAACTGTGCAGGTGGCATGGGCCACAGAGCCACCCAGGCCACACAGGGGAGCACGGGCCACAGAGCCACCCAGACCACACAGAACAAGAGCTTATTTGAGGAGTCTCCATGCCTGCTGCCCCAGAGCTCGTCCCTTCCATTGTACCCCAAGAGCTCCTAGCACTTTCCCTCAGGCTACAGGCCAAGAGACCCAAGACTCAGCCCCCATGCTCCCCCAGTAGACCCACACAGACGGATGAGGGTCAGGGCCATTACCTGCCAGGGGCACTCGCCGGCCTCACAGTCCCGGCCACCCACGATCCGGCCCAGGTTCCTCCTGTCCTTTTCCGGGCTGGTGTTGTTGAGGTCAAGCAGGTTAGCTGGGTCCTCCGTGGGGAGCGAGTCGTACAGCGCCGTCCAGTTCAGGACATTGAAGATGTCCTCACTGTTGTTGGTGGCCTGGAGCACTGACCTCTTGCCTCGGCGTCCCAGAGTAATTTTCCCACAAGGGTATAGCTCTGAGGGGACAGCAAAGCCAGACACAGCACGTGGCACCAGCCTGAATGGGCTGAGTGGGGCCTGGAGACCGGCGCATCTGTGAGAGCGATGAGGGAAAGCCAAGGCTGGCGGGGGGCGGGGAGGGGGGATGTAGAAGGGGGACAGCAGGACATGCAGGGCCTGAGAGTAGAGGGCCACAGTGCTGGGCCAAGCACCGGGGCTTCTCCTCCACTCCTGTCTGCCAGCAGCCATGACGTCTGCACCCACACGGGTCTAAGCACTGCCGGCCACGCTGTGGACACTCAGTGCCCCGGGAGTCAGCTGCCGAGACCACGGCCTTGCGGCTGGCAATTTGCTAGTGTGGCTGATATTTGTATCCCTGGGCTTCCAAACCCTGAATTAAACTGTCCATGACTTAACAGAGCTTTCTGCACTGGAAAGCTATTTACCTGACTGTTTTCCTCCTTCCTCCTTTCTTCTTCCCTCTTTTCTCCTTTTTCTTTTTTTCTTCCTTTTCTTTCTTTCTCTTCCTTCTCTCCAGGGCCTGAGGAAGGCCAGCCAAGTGCTCTGCTGCTCAGCTACCCTGCAAGCTCTTTATTTTGTTTACAAGCACTAGAGTTTATTTTAAATTGAGTTTTGAGTATTCCTAGAATTAAAATAATTTTCATATATATTAAGAAATGACTTTGGCTAAAATCTTTCTTTCTTTTTTTTTTTTTTTTGGGGGGGGGGTCCGGTCGTGGGGCCTGAACTCTGGGCCTGGGTGCTGTCCCTCAGCTCTTCAGCTCAAGGCCAACGCTCTACCACTTGAGCCACAGTGCCACTTCCGGCTTTTTTTTTTGGTCGGTCATGGGGCTTGAACTCTGGGCCTGGGCGCTATCCCTCAGCTCTTCAGCTCAAAGCGAGCGCTCTACCACTTGAGCTACAGCGCCACTTCCGATTTTCTGGTGGTTTATTGGAGATAGGAGTTTCACGGTCTCTTCTGCCCGGGCTGGCTTTGAACCGCGATCCTCAGATCTCAGCTTCCTGAGTAGCTAGGATTACAGGCGTGAGCCACCAGCGCCTGGCTCCAGCTTTTTTCTTTATGTGGTGCTGAGGAATAGAACCCAGGGCCTCAGGCATGCAAGGCAAGCGCTCTACCACTGAGCCACCTTCCCAGCCCCTGGCTAAAATATTTCTGAGTGAGTTTTTTACATTTCATTGCAAGTGGACATAAAAACCTCCATTGCCTTTTTGCAGCGTTGCATAATTGGAGCTGTCCTTGAAAGGTGTTAACAGAGCCATTGTTTTCTGATCACTTATCTTTTAGAACAAATGTGTCTTACTATGTAGCCCAGGCTGGCCTTGAACACACGATCCTCCTGCTTCAGTATCCAAAAGGCTGGGGTTACAGATATGCACTATTAGGATTTGCAAATAAATTGTCGCCAAGGAGAAGAATATGAGAGGGAGAGTGGTGCACCCCTCAGGCCACAGGGCAGACTGTGCTCAGCTGAGGGCCCCAACTGGAGCCTGCCAGTATGCTCAGAGGTCCGGGCTCTCTGAGATGTGGGCCTGAGACTACATTTCTAGCTCCCCTAGGCACATTCTGGGTGGGGGTCAGGAACCAGCCAAGCACATCGAGAGGCAGATGAGAGTGCCACTGTGCCCTGCCCCATCTCTGCGCCCCCAACTCCATCCTCTGTGCCCCACCCCCACCTCTGTGCCCCACCCCCACCCCTGCCCCAGCCCTACCTCTGCCCCACCCCCACCTGTGGAGATGCAGGCCTTGCCGTTGTCCCCCAGGACGTACCCCTGGGCACAGGAGCACACCACCGAGTTCTGGGACTCTTGGCAGAACTGTTCGCAGTCCCCATTGTCCAGGCTGCAGAGCTTCCTCGTGACTGCAAGGCAGGGCACAAGCCACAGTGGGCGGGTGCCGCCATGGCCATCCACTGTCTGCACAGGAGCCAGCCCAGGCAGACATGAGCACGCAGGTGCAAGAGCAGCCCCGCCATGAGACTGGAGGAGGCCCGGCCTGGCTGTGAGACCGGAGGAGGCCCAGCCCGGCAGTCACGGTGTCCACACTTAGGGAGACCACCGCAGGCCACACGAGGCCTGGGTGCCAAGCCCACATGAGTGCCGCCCCCTGGTGACCACCCACGGGCTAGCCTGTGTCTCCAGCTGGGTGTGTGGTGGCAGCAAGGAGTGTGGGACTCCAGGGTCTCCAGCGCAGGCCTGGCCCCCTCCCACTCCCCTTGTGATCACACCTATCTACGGCCATGCTGAGCAGGGCTCTGCTCGCGTCTGTGTGGGAACTAACTACAGTGCAAAGATCAGCACTCATGGAGTTTTAACCAGCACCCATCTCTACCCCGGGTTCTGCTCTATGTGCATCTGCATTAGCAGGTGTTGCTATCACCCAATTAGCCAGAACCTTCCACAGGTCAGGAGGTCTTAGGAGGGAGGAAGGTTAGGAGGCAGCAGAAAGGACTGCAAAGCCTTCATTTTAGGGACGACTGGCCTGGGAGTAGGGTGTGTGTGTGTGTGTGTATATGTGTGTGTGTTTGTGTGTGTGTGTGTGTGTGTGGTGTATGTGCACATCTTTGTAACAAAATTCCTCTCCTGCATCGACAGCTGACTTAGTTTAGACTTTCATGTTAGAACTGCCAAGGCAGTGGGCTCCAGTAACCTATTTTATTATTTAAAAAGCATTCATCATCAGGGCCAGGTCTGGTTGTTTACACCTGTAATCACAACTACTGGGGAGGCAGAACTTCTAGGCCATCCATGGAAGGAAGTTAGTGAGACTCTTTCAAAAACCAAGTGAAGCCCGATGGCACACATTACAATCCAGCCACGCGGGAAGCAGAGGTCGGACAACTGATGTCCCAGGGACACCCCAGGAAAAAAGCAAGACCTGAAAAGTAGCTGAAGCACAAAGGACTGGGGTTTGAGGAGCGGAGTGCACACACCAAATCATGGGGCCTGAGCACACACCCCAGCGAGGCCAGTATACCGCCAGATTAGAGACGACGCTGATTTCCCAAGGTACAATTAACTATATCAGAAAGCTTTAACTGCATTGTTTTGAATATTCCTCAGTAATGCTTGCATGGACAAATATAAACAAGAGAGGCTGATTTAGAGCCTTAGGACCAGCTATGAGGAGCATGCAGCAGCCATGGGAAACAGGGTTCACATGCACACATGTGCATGTGCACATGCACATACATGCCACATCACCAGGATGCTGGGATCTGAGCCACAGAGAAGCCGAGCCCTCTGTGCTCAGGTTACACCCACCCAGGCCGGAGATGCAGGGCTGGTGTGTGGGCAGAAGATCTGTTAGAAACACAGTTAGCCAGACACCGGTGGCTCACGCCTGTCATCCTAGCTACTCAGGAGGCTGAGATCTAAGGGTCACAGTTCAAAGCCAGCCCGGGCAATGAAAGTCCGTGAAACTCTTGTCTTCAATAAACCACTAGAAAACCAGAAGTGGCACTGTGGCTCAAGCGGTAGAGCGTTCACCTTGAGCTGAAGAGCTGAGGGACAGCGCCCAGGCCCAGAGTTCAAGCCCCACGACCGACCAGAAAAAAAAAGAAAAAGAAACACTACAGTTGTCTCACAAGGGATTTCAGGCTGCTTTCTTGTCCCTTCCCCCCATGGCTGTGTCCCCCGTGGCCGTGTCCCTGTGGCTGTGTCCCCTGTGACTGTGTCCACCTGTAGCTCTGCCCCCTGTGGCTGTGTTCCCTGTGGCTCTGTCCCCCATAGCTGTGTCCCCTATGGCTGTATCCCCCATAGCTGTGTCCCCTATGGCTGTATCCCCCATAGCTGTGTCCCCTATGGCTGTATCCCCCATAGCTGTGTCCCCTGTGGCTGTGTCCTGTGTCCCCTTGGCTTTGTCCCCCCATGGCTGTGTCCACCCGCAGAAGGACTCACAGAACTCGCAGTTTTTGCCCTCGTAGCCTTCCTCGCAGGTACACGTGTATTCTCCCACACCGTCTCGACAGGAGCCCTGGTTCTGGCAAGGACTGCTCTCACACTGGTCACCATCTTCAACAAAGGTTGGAAACCGAGTCAGCAGGCAGTCCCCCCCTTCTTCCCAGGAGGGAGGCGCTGCCTTGGCTTCTGCCTCTCTGCCTCCTTTGCAGCTGAGCTGCTTCCCGATCTGTGGGAGCAGATCCTGCCTGGACTCAGCTCTCCCGGCCCACGGAAGCTGCATGTGACACCCTGGACTGCCAGGATCCTGAGATGCTTTAGTGTGCATGGCGTCGGGGGGGGGGGCCTGAGGGGCCACAGGGGCCTCCGGGTAGGGGGGAGACAGGTGGAGTGTGACACTCGTTTCTGGGCCAGGGGTTGGTGGAGGTGTTAGGGCTCCTGTTGTCAAGGACTCGGGGTGTACCGAGAGTCCAAAGATGTCACTCAGGCCTTACTCGGGCTCCACATCTTCTGGACTATGTGGATCACATTGCTCAGAGCACCAAGGCGCACGTCAATAAGTCTCAGTGCTGTCCCTTGCACAGGACACTGGGGCATGACCTCGCCTGCCCAAGTTTCAGACTCAGGTTTTGCTTCTGTGTCATACAGTTATATCAAAATGGCCAGAGTGCCTGGCATTCTCGGACGGGAAGGATCTGACTTAGATTTCTGTCTGAGCTGACCTGGTGCTCCCCTCTGGTGTCCAAGGCCAGCGGTCCATCAGAGCATGGGATGGGGGAGATTCTGAACAATACAGCGAGACCCTATCTTTAAAATGAAAAACAAGGGCTGGGAAGGTGGTTCAGTGGTAGAGCGCTTGCCTTGCATGCATGAAGCCCTGGGTTCGATTCCCCAGCACCACATAAGCAAAAAGAAAAAAGCCAGAAGTGGTGCTATGGCTCAAGTGGTAGAGTGCTAGCCTTGAGCTGAAGAGCTGAGGGACAGCGCCCAGGCCCAGAGTTCAGGCCCCACTACTGGACCCAAAAAAAAAATAAAATAAAATAAAATGAAAAACAATCTTTGAGAAAGTAACAAAACTAGAATTAAGATAAAATGAGCCGAGTGCTGGTGGCTCATGCCTGTAATCCTAGCTACTCAGGAGGCTGAGATCTGATTATCAGGGTTCAAAGCCAGCCTAGGCAGGAAACTTCTTGAGACTCTTATCTCCAATAAACCACTAGAAAACTGGAAGTGGTGCTGTGGCTCAAGTGGTAGAACGCTTGCCTTGAGCTGAAGAGCACAGAGAAAATGCTCAGGCTCAGAGTTCAAGCCCCATGACTGACAAAAAAAATAAATAAAATGACTAGAAAACTATTTAACAATGATGGACATGCCCAGAAGGGACACACGTGAAATGAGCAAGATGTAAATAGGAGCAGGAAGGAAATTCAAGGAGTGTTTAAGAATCAAATTTATCCTAATTTAAATGTCCAATAAACCCCCTTCACTTAAGATAAAAATAGAAAGTATCTCACCTATATATTTGTTCCAGAATTCATTCTAAAAGAAAGAATAGTTAAGAATTAATGAGGGAAACAGAGCTTTTCCCACCCTGCAGCTGCCCTGTCGTGCCTGGACGGAGAATGGACGGGACAGCTGTGGGATCTGTGCTGTGCCCTCGTGGCTTCGGTGCACACCATCTTTGAGCTGCACCATCTTTATCGAATATCAAAAATGTGCTCTCAGGTTCATCACTAAGAAACAGATTCAACAGAAACAGCTCGGCGTGACACTCTGCTGATTGGTGAGTGGTTTTTAGTGACCATACCTGGTCTTAAGAAAAGGGTCACATGCTTGCCAATCAGAAAGACACTCATTTCAATTAGCTTAAAACAGGCCATCAACAGTCTATACTACATGAAAAATATTCATCTCTTTTTTCTTTTATGGCCTATAGTTGGCCTTCCAGATATATCTGTAAATTCAGAATGTGACCTTAGAAATAGGGCTTGGGACTGGATCTAGAAACTCAGGACCTGAAGATAGGACCTGTGTGGATATAATTAAGGGAAGGCACCAGATGAGATTCTGCTGGATTATTGTAGGCCCTAAATTAATGAGAGTGTTCTTCCAAGAGATGGAAAGTGGGACCTGAGGCACCTGGGAGAGGAAGGCCACGTGATGGAAGGGAGGCAGGGAAGGGAGGCGTGCATCTAGAGGACCACGGCCGAGGGACCCCTTCAGCAGAATCCCATACTGCCAACACCTTGATTCTAAGTTTGTTTTCTCCAAAATTGGCAGGATCAATCACTGTGGTATGAAGCACCCAGCTCTTGGTACTTTCTTATGGGAGCCTTAGAGACAAATGGACAGGCTTTAATTTGTTTTCAGCTCAAGAATTATCATGGAGTAAAGCCATTCTTTGGCGTACAAGTCTATGGATTTCAATGCAACTGTTGAGTGAGGAACACACCACCACATGGGGTATAGCACAGGCCCTGCCCATCCCTTCCCCACCCCATCCCTACCACCTGCCCTCCTACCACTTCAGATACAGCACAGGCCCCGCCCAGCACCCCCCACTTGCCCTCAGGATACAGCACAGACCCACCCAGTGGCACAACTCTCCTCTCCCCTCTTTACCCCCCCTCCCCCACGTCGGGAAACGCTCAGGAAAGAGATGCGAGTCAGGTGATATCTTTATAATTGTATAAGAAACTCGAGTGGGAAGCTCACCCCTGCCTTCCTGTCCTGGAAGCCACATTCCCCCAAACCCTCACGCTGCTCTTCCGGTCTCTGATCACTCAGGTTACTGGCTCTGTTCTCAAGGGGCTGCTTGTCACTTCTTACTAACAGGCATCCACCAGAGGCCCTCGCTCTCTGAATTAGCTTGGTGTTTATACTCTTCTTTGGAGGTGTAAATTTTCTTTATTCTGAATCCTTTTTGATATGTGAATGAAACATACTTTCTTAGTATGTAATTTACATTTTCACTCTTTTGACAGTTTTTCGTTTCAAAGGTCAGAAGTTTTAGTTTTTGCAAACTCCAGTTGGTCAATTTTTTTTTCTTTTCTTTCCTTTCTTTCTTTTTTTTTTTTTTTTTTGGGTCCGGTCATGGGCCTGAATTCTGGGCCTGAGTGCTGACCCTCAGCTCTTCACCTCAAGGCTAGCGCTCTACCACTTGAGCCACAGCGCCACTTCTGGCATTTTTTTTTCTGCTTATTTGTGCTTAGGAATTGAATCCAGGGCCTCATGCATGCAAGGCAAGCACTCTACCACTGAGCCACTTTCCCAGCCCATTTTTTTCTTTTCTATGCTCATATGCATATGTATTTCTATGTATATGTGTATGCCTAGGTGTTTCTATGTATGCATGTATGCATATGTATTTCTGTGTATGCATGCCTGTGTATATGTGTGTTTGGCAGTACTGAGGTCCGATCCAGGCCTGTGCTGTTTTGCATAGCTGTGTGATTCATGTCAGGCTCACCTTCCTGGGATGTAAAGGTATCATTGTGCCAACACTGCTATGGTCTCAGTGTCCCTGAGCATCACGTGCTGAAAGGAATCTCTAGCGAGATATTTTTAAGAGCTGAGGCCTCTAGGAAGTGATTAGGTGATGAAGATTCTGTCCTCTGGGTGGAGATGAATCCTTTTGTCCTTCCTCCTTCTGCAACAGGAGCCATAGGAAGAAGAGACGGGGCCCTCATTGGACCTTGAACTCGTCTATGCCTGGGCCCTGACTTCTGTTCCTACCCTTCATTGGCATTTATGCTACCTCTTCCTACCTAGGTGTTGTATTCCAGCAACACGAAGGCCTGAGAGGTAATTCTTTGAACACTGAGTAGGTTTTGTAGCTTGGTTATGGTCAACTGGCGTGTCCGTGGGATGTCTGTGGGGGGGGGGTCACAGGTCAGCTGGCGTGTCCATGGGGTGTCTGTGGGGGGTCATAGGAGAGCTAGTGTGTCTGTGGGGTGTCTGTGGGGGTCACAGGTCAGCTGGTGTGTCTGTGGGGCATCTGTGGGGGGTCACAGATCAGCTGGCGTGTCCTTGGAGTTCAGTGACCTTTATTCCTAGTGTGCCCCAGTGGTGCTGCACACATCTGGCAGGTTTTGTAGCTGCATTGTGCTGGGGTCGGTGTGGCTGTGCCTTCCCCATCCAGCTGGATCTGGGTCCTGCCTCAGTAATCTCTCTCTGGAGAAACCATTCTTAGAAGATAATTCACAAAAAATACACGTGTGTCTTCATAGCAGCAATATTTTAAAATAACTTACATGCTTAAAACATGAGAAGAATAAACAGATTCATTGCACAAAATAAGTTTACCTCTCTAATGGTCCAGGTATGGTAACCTTGTACGAGTAAGAAGAGGAGGAAATGATCCCATGGGAAAAGTGAAATGTGAACTTGAATTGGCATTAATTACTTTTACTACTTTTTCTTCTTTTTTTTTTCTTTTGCCAGTCATGGGGCCTGAACTCTGGGCCTGGGTGCTGTCCCTCAGCTCTTCAGCTCAAGGCTAGTGCTCTACCACTTGAGCCACAGTGCCACTTCTGGCTTTTTCTGCTTATGTGGTGCTGAGGAATCAAACCCAGGGCCTCATGCATGCAAGGCGAGCACTCTACCACTGAGCCACCTTCCCAGCCCTTCTTTTTCTTCTTTTGGCAGTGCTAGGGCTCAGAGCCAGGGCTTTGCATGTGCTGAGCACACGTTACCTGAAGCATGCTATGTGCGCACACCAGTATTACACAAATACTTAAAATGAAAGTCATTCCTGAAGTTGTGGATTTTCTTATTCCATATAAATCATTCATTTAGCAATATAGTAAAAAGAATTCTTTTTCCTTTCTTTCCTTGGGTACCTGCAGTGAATTGCACTGGGCAGATGGATCCCCTTGCAAACCGTGATCTTCTGCAGAAATGCAATGATAACCAGGTCACGTGATGTGATCACTCATCGCCTTGTAGAACAAGGTGCCGTGTCTGTGTAACAGACTCCTGCTTCTCTCTGGCTCTTCACATGGAGGAAGCAGAGCGCCCTCCTCTGTGTCAGGACCTCTTGAAGTGCACAGGCCTGGTTGAGGCTGTGCTCTTGGATGGGCAGGTGACATCAGGTGGGGAGGGGGTAGCATTTTCCTCTGTGATGTCAGCACCAGCAACACCTGTGCCTTGTTTTTTGTAAAGTGCCTTGTTCAGGTCAACCATGTGCTTCCTTCTTCATGATAATTGCTCCAAGTGCTGTGAGACTCGGTGCAGAGTCTGCCCAATATGGCTCTGAGATCCCTGCAGAGCGTCCCCCCAGCTCTGAGGCTGTGGCAAGTCCCACAAAGGGCTCTGGTGAGTCACTTGCAGGACGTGGTAAAGCTGCGGAGGAGCCAGGAAGCAGGAGAACTCCAAACCTTGTACCACAAGGCTCCTGGAAGGCGGATTTCTGGCATCATTTCCAGGTGTTCTCAAGTTCTTCTACCACATTGAATCCTCCACAAATGCTGGGGGAGTCGCCTCCCAGGTCCGCCTTCTGGAGGCTGTTCCTCGATTCGCCACCCCTGACCTAGTCCTTCCCTGGCTTCCGTGGGATCATAGTAACTGGGCTGTGCAGAACTCACCGCTGTGAAGCTGGGGTGGTGACTCCAATCAATTCCCTCACTCCAGAACTGGCATCCGATTTCTCAAGCCCTGTCGGTGTCATGAACACCAGTATCTTACAGTAAAATCCTGGAACAGCCCTCCTACTTTAGTGCCTGTCCAGGTTTTGCTTACAAGTGGTCAGAGGCTGGGGACAATGTCTAACATGGTATTCAGTGTCTCACAATCGCAGTCCATCCAAGAAATGTCTTATAGATGGGGTCTTGCTGTGGATGATACATGTCCTTTACAGGTCTTCCCTTGAAAAGGTTTTTCAATGAAGTCCAGTAGTTTCAATGAGCATCCTTGAGGCTCTAGTGAGGATGGAACAACAGAAAGCAAGGCTCTGCTTGATTCCCAGTGCTCCCCAGCCTTTTCCAGGGGGCAGACTGCACCCCCAGGGGCAGCCTGCTGCTTGATCCAAACCATTTCTCTCGTTTATGATTCCATGAGCTGGTCCTGGCTGGCAACCTGACCTCCTTGGACCCAAGGATTCACATAGTGACCCCATAACTCCCTTGGACCACTTTCTGGCTCATGCCAAGGTTGAACTGGAAGGCAGAGGATCAGACAGGCAGGGCAGAGCAGATGGACAGGCTATGCCCTCCCACACCCAGCAGCCACTGCCCGGGGGCCACCCCACATGAGAAGGGCCGCAAGCCGAGGGGTCTCTTCAGGAACTCCCCACTACTGGACAAAGCCCATCCCCAACAGCTCCACTGTATGTGGCTCTTATTCAGTGCCTGTCTATGGCCTTGAGGCATACTTTTGCTTTCCCATAAATCACTCTATACCATTTTCCTACTCTTTGTGGGTGTTTTCTTCTGCACCGAGACCAGCACCCACTTGCAATGGGGCCCAAGAACTGAGTAGCACTTGGAGCACACTACCCTGTGCAGAATGCCTCTGGTGACAGAACACCTTCATGTGCTCCGTACTGCTGCCTGGCCCCTGTCTGGTCCCACCCAGCTGGTGGCACTCATTCTGCAGGTTCTAGAAACCTTAGGAGACAGGACTCAGCTGGGAGAAGCCATGTTCCTACCCCCTTCCTGTATGCCCCTCCTTCCTGTCTGCTTTGGGGGTGTGTATCCTTGACTACTTCCTGTGTGCCCCTCCTTCCTGTCTGCTTTGGGAGTGTGCATCCCTCCCTCCTTCCTGTGTGCCCTCCTTCCTGTCTGCCATGAGATGAACAGCTCTCCTCACCACAGCCCCTCCCACCCCTACACCTCAGCACCTCAGCCTGTGACTTTGGCAAAACCCTTTACGTGGTCTCCTCTGGTCCCTGGTCCACTACTCAAAAGCAACTAACACAGTTTTGATGGCCACATGGTCACCGGCTTTCCAGGCAATCTTGAGCAAGTAGTTTCAGGATGCAGGCGACTGCATTTTTGGAGCAAACCAGAAAGGGGTGTGTCCACAGAAGCTGGGCAGGGTGAGCCTCCCCCGCAGCCTTGGGTAGGTGACTGGGGACTGCATCATTTCCATCTTAGTCATAGTTCAGTTACGTGTGCAGAGCCTGATTATGCTGCCTTTCTAGCTCATTTTTACCACTTCTGCCTCAGCTGAGTGCCTGTAGGCTTCCCAGGCCAAAGGTGAGGAGAGCCAGGCCTATCTCCATTTCTGGTTGGCTCTAGAGGCTGTGCTTTCTCTGGAGATGGAGGATGAGCTAGGTGTAGGGCCCAGCCCCATCAGGCCCTCCTGTAGGCCACGGTTATCAGGCATCCATGTGTTCTGTCTCCTGCCTGTCCCTCACACTGGCCTGGGGGCCCTGGGTGCCCACTGGAGTGTCCAAGTGTGGGCTGCCAGGGAGCATTGACCAAGTCCTGAGTTGTTTTAATTAATGTCTGCCCTTAAGTGGATTTGGCCCTACTTACAGAGTTCCCATCTTCCTCCAGTGATTTGGCTCACCTCTCCCACGACCCTGTTTCCTGCGCTTGAGTCCAGCTGTTGGGGAGCCCGGAATGAACACCCCGACATGCCGCACAGGTCCACAGGTGGTGGCCACACTGGTCCCGGCGTTGCCTTACCGTCTTGTCCGTGTCCTCGAAGACCTCTCGGGCCTCCTCGTAGGAGCATGTCTCCTCCACACATTCCCTCTCCAGGTTGCCTTTCTTCATCTCTTCAAAAAGGGAGTTTGCCCTGCGAGTCCTCACCAGGACATTGTTGGCCCATTCCCGGTTAATGAACACTAGAAGACAGGGCAGGAGATGGTTAGTGTCTGGACAGGGCTAGCCTCCTCCTGGGCCTCCTCGCTTCACTGTTATACTGATGTAGGATAGCCCGGGAGATGGGGAGATTCATTTTATTAATTTAAATAATTAATTCTAATGAGTATTGAAAAGGTTGGACCCAGGAAGCAAAAACTAAACAAGAACACAAGCACCCAGGGCATCCTTCCTGCCGCCCCCTTTCAGTGCTGAGTAGTGAGGGTGCCCCCTCTCCTGCCATCTCCCCCAAGATGATACACAGCAAGCGCTCCTGCTAATGGGGAGCTCTTGGGCTTCCTGTGCCACTGTACACCTAGGCCACACCCCCATGTCTTAGGACAGTGGGCTGCACCCACAGCAGCCACCTAGAGTCCCTTGTCTGTTGAGAGGGGGCCACAAGACATGGCCACATGAATTTCCCAGCTCAGAGAGTATGGAGACCACAGATAGGAGACCACAGATTGGAGACCACAGATCAGAGAACATGGATAGGAGACCACAGATAGAAGCAACACTTCCATGTGGGAATCAGGAAATGCCTTCCAGCACCCCCAGAATTTTTCCCTCCCTTATTTTGTTGCAATAAAACAAACTCTTGCTATTATGTGCGAGGCTGTTCTTGCTGAAGGACACCTGGAAGTAGTTTTCAGGTGTGGATCTCAACCACCTGTGATTCCCATGGGAACTGGGAGGCCAGAGGAAGCCCCTCCCCCACCCTGCATTTGGTGTCAACACGGAACCCAGGGGCTCTGGTTGTCCTACAGACCTAGCTCCTAGGCCAGGCAAAGTGGTGCTCACTAAATAAGCACTTGTTGGATGAATGAAGGGGGAAGGGCTGGACATCCCACCTGGCCTCTGGGCTCCACCTCTGGCCCAAATGCAGGCTCTATGAGTGGCCCTGCTCCTGAGTCAGTCAATCCTCAGCCAGTCACAGATCCAGCACAGCCGGTAGCCACAGCTCAGATCGCAGAGAAAACAAGACTTGCTAAGTGTGTGGAACACTTGCCTAAGACATTAATGAGACTCTAGCCCTCATTCAGTCTCTAGTGACCCAGTGTACACCGTGCATCTTGTTTAGTTGTTCCTTTGCTTTCTAATCATGGACACTCTTTTGTGACTCTGGTCTTGTTGGTGATTATACAGACAGCCTGATGGCCGATCCTGATGCCCGTCTATCTGTCTTGACTTGCCCCGTCTGTCTGTCCATGTAGACAGTTGTCCCTGCCTGCCCCAGTGGACAGCCCTATGCCCGTCTGTCTGGCCTTGCTCCATGTAGCTGCCCACAGGTGTCTGCCAAGCCTGCAGCACCTGTCTCTGCTGGCCATACCATCTCTTCTCCACCTCCACGTTCTTGTCACGGTCCCAGGCTTTCTCCCCATCCCTCTGTCCCTTGCTCATGCTCTGTCTGTTCCATCCTCCCTCTCCTCTCTCCCTTTCTCTTATTGTGCCCTGTTCTGTCCATCTGGCTGCCCCACACAGGGCCCACCGCTGGCCCTGACTGCGCCTGGGCAGGACAGCCAGCCCTGAACGCATGCTCACACCATCTGCACTAGCCTACAGCCCACCTCACCTCCCCCCATAGCCCTTACCCCTTCCCCTGCCCCGGGCCCCGGCACTCACGGCTTCTGGAGAGTCCCAGGAGGCCGGCCAGCATGGAGCAGAGCAGGATGAGGCGCAGGCCCGCCATGGTGTGGCGAAGCACAGTGAGTGACCTGTCCCTGCTGTGATGGGAGGGTCAGGGGCAAGGGTCATCACCGTGGGCCCCGAATGGCCATTGTCCTGCTTATCTTGTCCTCCTGATTGGAGCCCATGCTCACTGTAGGGCAGGGCAGGAACTGTGGTCACTCCAGACAGCGTGGGTGGCTGTTGTCAGAAGCTGCACCCAGCTGGCCTGCTGTGGGCATGCGCGGTCTGTTCTGAGAGGCCAGACATGCCCTTTCCTGCTCTTTCTGTTGTTGTCCCTTGCTTATGCCTTTGCTCACCCTTACAACTGTAGTGGGAATGTCACCCCCACTTCTGCCTAAGAACAAAAGCAGTGTGGAGAAAAGTGAGGCATGGTCTGGACAGCACCGATGTGGGGTTTGCACCCAGGTTTTTAGCCCCCAACTGACCCACACGTCATGGTGGTCATGTCTCCGGGTGAGGCTGTGCCCTGGCTACGGTGCGGTGGCCATGGCCTCAGTGGAGGCTGAGCCCTGGCTATGGCATGGTGGCCATGTCCCTGGGTGAAGCCGTGCCCTGGCTACGGCATGGTGGCTATGTCCCTGGGTAAAGCCGTGCCCTGGCTATGGCATGGTGGGTGTGTCCCTGGTGGGGGCCATGCCCTGGCTACAGCGTGGTAGCTGTGTCCCTGGGTGTGGCTGTGTCCTGGCTACGGCATGGTGGGCCAGCAGGGTGCCAGGGGAGAGGGGACACACAGTGTGCCAGTCTGCCGGAACAGAACACTCATGCCCTCAGCAGGCTGGCTGGGCCGTTTCTGACAACAGGCCGGCTTGGAAATCCCCAGCTACCCACTCTGTCTGGAGGGATCACTGTCCCTTGCTGTCCTGCCTGCAGTAAGGTCTGGGTTAAGGAGGAAGAGGGTGGGGGAGGAAGAAGGAGGTGGGGAGGGAAGGCAGGAGTGTGGGGAGGGAAGAAGGGGGTGGGGAGGAAGGAGCAGAGTGGGGAGGAAAGGCAGGAGTGTGGGGAGGGAAGGAGGAGTGTGGGGAGGGAAGGAGGGAAAGGAGGGAAGGAGGTGGGTAGGAGAAAGGGACTCTTGGGCCATGCTTAGATGGAGAATGGGACTGTGGGTTGCTATTGGGGTGCGTGTGCTGGGAATAGGGTGCAGACATGGGGAGTCCCCCCTAAGTCTGGAAATCTTGCAGTGCCATCCTGGGAGTACCTCTGGTCCATGCCAGACAAGATGTCAAAAGCAACTCAGAGACTCCACGCTGGTGAGTCAAAGCCGAAGTGGAGACTGGGGTCTGGTTCCCAGCTTTTAGTCAGTGGGCGTCATGGCTGACTTCAACCTTCCCAGAAACTGCATCCACTGGGCCTTTGTCCTCTCCTTAGCGACAAGGCCAGCCAATGCATGGTGCGGGGCGTTGCCTGTGGTGTGTGCTGTGCTGTTGTACTGACAGTAGTGTGGCCCTGGTATGTGCATACAGCCCAGAGGCAGGGCGCCATTGTACTGAGGGTAGTGTGGCCATGGTGTGTGCATACAGCCCAGAGGCAGGGTGCGGTTGGCCTGGAGGACCTCAGTGAACAATTCTGGCCCAGCTGAGGCCAGGTGTGGGCCTGAGGGGGCTGGAGTCTCACTGCTGGTCACTGCCTTGCACTGGGCAGCTGTGAACCTAGGAAAGCAGGTATGGGGTAGTTGGTACCTGGCTCCCATCCTTCCTGGTACCATCTCTGGGCATTGATAGTATGCAGAGAGCAAAATTGTGTCAGGGTAAAAGGTGAGATGCTTGTGGCAAACGAGGTCAGGAACCAAGGATGAACAGTGATTCATTCTGGAATATCAGTCCTCACTCTCTCCTGGCCTTACCCAGAGAGGGGGACCCACTTCACAACCAGCACAGCACGCCTGGGCATGAGTCAGGCATGGTATCAGGGCCTCTTACAGATGTACCTCTTTGGCCAGCTCTGAGCATCGGCTATTACCCCTGTGAGTTGGGAAACTGAGGCTGGCAAGTCCTGGGGTTCCCGCTGCCTCCATTTCCCTCTTGCATCGTTTGGGGCGCTGCCAGCCCCCTCTACCCCCTGCCCATCTTCTCCTGTCAGTTTCCCTCTATGATGCTAACGATGCTTCCAGGGAGCATGCACCCCAGACATGGCTCTGCTTCACTCCAGAGGGGGACGGCGAGGGGCATGGGCGCTGACCGCACTCTTGCAAGTCCTCAGGTCACCAGCACTGATCCTGTCCCTGCAACACATGGAAGCCGGTGCCTGTTCCACATGGGGAAACCAAGGCACAGAATGAAGATGGACAGGGCTCTGGAGTCTGGCATGGGCTTGGAAGATGGCTGGGAATTGGTCTGGCTGAGCTGGGAAACCCTTCCTGCCCTTGCTGTGTGGGCCAGATGGGCTTGGTGGCTGGCTGGTCCCTGTCTGGGCCACTCACGGAGCCTAAACAAAGAAATGGGTGTGCACAAAGAAATCTTTGTTTACAAACACATGGCCATGATTTGCTGGCCTCTGGGCTGCTCTGAAGTGAATGTCGCTAGATGCAAGGCCAGTCTCGAGACTGCTTCCTGGTGTGGGTGCCCTGACTCGGGGTGACCCCGCAGCCCTGTGAGGGCTGAGGAGGGTGGGGCTGGGTCTGCTTCTAGCTCACTTGCCCACATACCGGCAGCACTAATGGGTCAGCACTCGGGCTCTGTTTCCCCTTCTCCCTCCCTCACGCCTTTGCTGGCTACGGTGTGGTGGTGCTGGGGAGGGTCCTTCCCCACCTGAGCTGTCAGCCAGGCCAGGACACGGGGTCTGTGTTCTGTGATGCAGCCCTGGTGGTTCCTGGGCACGTGTACCCTGTGTCCTCAGACGTCTCGAGGGCAGGGGGAGACCACTCCACGGGGTCTGGGGCCATCTCAACACCTGCAGGAACTTCTGTTCTTAAAGGACGCCCCCACCTGGATGCTTGCTTCAGTGATGATGAAACTGACAGCAGGGCTCGGTGAGCACCAGCGCCATGGCGGCCACACAGAGCCACGGAGCCTCTGCCACGCAGCCTCCATCACAGCCAGTGCCACACAGGCCAAGCAGAACCAGGGAGCCTCTGCCACATGGCTCCCCATCCCCGCCAGCACCATGGAGGCCACACAGAGCCACGGAGCCTCTGCCACGCAGCCTCCATCACAGTCAGTGCCACACAGGCCAAGCAGAACCAGGGAGCCTCTGCCACATGGCTCCCCATCCCCGCCAGCACCATGGAGGCCACACAGAGCCACGGAGCCTCTGCCACGCGGCCCCTATTACAGCCAGCACCACATGGACCACATGGAGCCATGGAGCCTCCTGTCACACGACTCCCGATCCTGGCTCATGCCACACAGGCCACACAGAGCCACACAGCTTCTGCCACACAGCTCCCCCATCCTGGCCAGCACCATGCAGGCCACGCAGAGCCACAGAGCCTTTTCCACACAGCTTCCCAATCCTAACAATCACCACACAGGCCACATGGAGCCACGGAGCCTCTGCCATGCAGCTCCCCATCCCGGCCAGTGCCACAAGCCATGCAGAGCCATGGAGCCTCACTGCTCATCATCATCCAGTCAGAAGAACGGCGGCACAGCCCGAAGACCACGAGTGGCTGGCACTGTAAGCATCCTCCTGCAGGAAACCCAAAGGGGTGTCACCAACGCATGCATGTGTTGCCTGTTCTTTATTTTGAAGTGAGAGTGCCGCACTTGCACAGAAGGGGAAGCAATGGAAGCACAGAACGCCTTCAAAGTATGCGTGTGTGTACGTGTGTGTGTATGTGTACACGTGTGTGCACAGCCCCACTGTTCCCCATAGGGCAGTCAGGGCACCCACAGGCAGGATGGGCTGTGGAGAGCCGCCCCGGCAGCGTTGCCGGCCGGGCGCTCTTCCTGCCCGCGGTTGTCTCCTCTCCCACATGTGCAGCCATGTCTTCTTGGTCTCTGAAGCAGAGTTCCTGCCCTCTCTCTGTCTCTCTCCTTTCTCCAGCTCCCCCCCCCCCCCAAGGCCCCTCCAGGCAGCTGTGTCTGCCCCCTCTCTGCACAGGGAGCTAATCCAGCGGGGCTCGCATGATGCCCAGCCGGGGCCTGGAGCTCATGTGCTTGGTCAGCCACTCTGTGTACCGGGAGACCCTGGTGTACACGCCGACGTGGCCCACAGCGGCGCAGCCCTCGCCCCAGCTGACCACGCCTGTCAAGTACCACGTGCCACGGTAGAGTGTGGCGTGCGGGCCGCCGCTGTCACCCTTGCAGGAATCCTTGCTGCCATCCAGGTAGCCGGCACAGAACATGTTCTCGGTGAGCGCTGGGCTCTCGGGCGTCTGCCGCGACTGCTCCAGGCAGTCCTGGGTTAGCATGCGGGGCACGTCCACGGCCATGAGCTCCAGGGTGGTGGCCCCGCGGTCCAGCAGCTGGCCCCAGCCGCTGACCCACGAGAAGCGGATGCTGGCCAGCGTGCCCTCGGAGAAGGCCCGCGTGGGCAGGCAGAGGGGCACCACGTAGTCGCTGAGGACCACGGGCCTGTGCAGGCGCAGCAGTGCAATGTCATGGTCCGTCTTGCCGACGATGTACTTGCTGGGAATGATGAGCTGTGCCACCCACCGTACCTGCTCCGTGCCGTCCACCTCGCTGAGGTCGTGCTCACCTGGGGGAAGCAGCCCGGTCACACCCAGACTCCCACAGTGGCCACATGCCCTGTGGTGGCCACGTCCCCTGTCCCAACGTCCACCCTCTTGGCCTGGACCATGGGGACAGGCTGGAGGTATTCTTGTCTGGTCCCAGGACCATGGGGACAGGCTGGAGCCATTCTTGTCTGGTCCTCAGGCAGAGCCTCCAGTGGCAGGCACGCAGGGCATGCCTACACCAGAGAAAGGGTGTGAGCAAGGTGAGCCAAGAGCCTGGGTGTTTAGGGCAAGTGTGTGTGTGTGGGGGGGAGGGGGAAAACGTGGGCAGCTGTGCCGGGTTTGGAGGGGTGCGCGTCCCTGACCTTCTCCCAGCACAAACTGCCCATCTGCCCACGAGACAGAGGCCCAGCCCACATGGCTTGCTGGGAGCTTGAGGGAGACAAGTGGAGCAGAGGTATGGCAGAGTGGGCAGGGGCATCAGGGGTGTGACAGGCGGGCAAGGGCAGGCAGGGGTGGGGCAGGGTGGGCAGGGCAGGCAGGGGTGGGGCAGGGTGGGCAGGGCAGAGGTGGAGCAGGGCAGCAGGGGCAGGCAGGGGTGCAGCAGCAGCCCCAAGGCTTTCAGATTTCTGAGTGGGAGAGGGCTGAGAGGATGCAGCCAGGTGACCTTCCCAGGTGGACATCCGTGGTCAAGGAGGTGAGGTGGTCCTCCCAGGTGGGTGTCCATGGTCACGGAGGTGAGATGACCCTCCCAGGACATCCGTGGTTAAGGAGATGAGGTGACCCTCCCAGGTGGACGTCATGGTCAGGGAGGTGAGTGACCCTCTCAGACAGACATCCGTGGCCAGAGAGCTGAGGTGACCCTCCCAGGTGGATGTCCATGGTCAGGGAGGTGAGGGACGTGCGCCCCTAGGGCTGCCCACGTTCGGGCGGGCCGACCTACCCAGCACCACGGACACGTTCCTCCAGCTGTGGATCTTGTCGAAGCAGTGGGCCGCAGACACCAGCCAGCTGGGGGTCAGCAGGGTACCCCCACACAGCAGCTGCCCCTGCACGAGCAGCGCGGCCTGGGGAACGTGGACGCAGAACATGCCAGTGCGTCCTGGGCTGCAGGCCTGGCCCTGACCAGCCCACTCCTGACCACTCTCCCACATGGTCCGTGACCCCATCCACTGGCCAGGGTCCCGGGGCTGGATCAGGGTCTGCTCACTGGGCGTGGATGGGGTGGAGGAGGTGGGGCACTTACCTGCCATGGACACTCCCCTTTTGGGCACACCCTGCCTCCCACAATTCGACCTTGGGGGCCACTGCTATTTCTTTTTTCCAGAATCGGCACTTTCCCACAGGGATAGTCAACTGTGAACACATCAGCGCAAGGGGATTTTGAGGTGGGGGTGCTCCTCTGTAGAGGTTCAGACCACTCGAATGCTGAGAAGCTCCAGGCTGGCACCCCTCAGGCTCAGGGGCGGGGCGGAGGAGAAGGGCACCTCGCCTCTGTTCTGAGGGCAGGACAGGCCCTGGGAGGCCCTGGAAGGCGCTAGGGCAGGTGCTAAGGGCACAGGCAGGGTCAGAAGCTACAGCGTTGCTTGGGGAAGACGCAAGGCAGGGGCAGTGGTGACGCCACTGCACTTTGCAGTGAATCCACAGCACCAATAGCAATCGGTGAAAGACCCGCCCTGCCTTGCCACCTGCATCATGAAGCCCTATAGGCAGAAAGCACGTGTACCAGAGCCGGAGAAGCCCTGGGCTATGGACACGAAGCTAGGCACAGCCCCGTGCTCTGCGGAGATGGAGTTTGGGGCTCCCCAGCTTCAGAGTGCAGCCCTGCAGGCCCAAGGTTGTAGAAGTCCTCATTTTCTTAGGAGCACACTCTAATGGGAATGCAGAGTCCAGAACCCGGCAGCAGTGGACACAGAGTGGGTGATCTTGAGTGTCCAGCGCCCTGCAGCGGACCCAGGTAAGGTGTGGGTGGTGAGAGTACCTTTACAGTGCACAGGTGTCCAAGACCATGCTTCAGCTGCCCTGGCATACTGTGCTGGGTTGCTCCCTGGCCACCCTAAGGGGCCTGGTGGGTGCTGGGGAACTTTCAGGACCCATCTCTGCCGCCAAGCTGAGGAGCTAACTTGTGGCCGCCCAGATCTGGCAGCCCGCCCTCCAGAGCACAAGGCGTCCTCAGCCCCCAGCTGGTTACCTGTGGGGGCGCAGGATACCCCGTCGGGCAGCAGCGCGTACCCCTCGTGGCACCCGCAGGAGCGCTTTGCTCCCGGGTGGTCGCTGCAGTACTGCTCACAGCCACCGTTCTCATTGGCGCAGATCAGTTGGGAGTCCTTGTCTGGGGACAGGAGGGGCAGCCTCGGGAGATTCTGTGAGGCCAGCAGGAGCCAGTCCCCGCCCCCAAGTGCCCCCACGAAGGGGGGCCGCACACTGCTGTGGGCATCTCCTGTGCTGTGGCACAATCTGGAAGGGTGAGACTTGCCTCTAGGCAGCCACGCAGTGTGCGGTGGGCTGGCTGTGTGGGGACCTTTCCCCTCCCCTCCTCCTCCCCCCTCTCCCTCCCTGCAGTGTGCGGTGCGCGCAGGCCGGCTGTGTGGGGACAGCCCCCATCCCACCCCGGCCGCAGTGTGCAACCCAGACCTTTGGCCCTGCATGAGGAGAGGAGTAGTGTGGGTCCGGCTGGAGGACTGCCAGACTGCTCTGGCTGGATGGGGGTCAGGGGCTTGCTTGGCAGACAGGCCTGCACTGGGACTCACAACCAGGACTTACCCAGGCCCTCAGTCCCTCCTCACCCTTCACTTCCTGTTCTGCTGGGATCAAGAAGCAGTAACGGCCCAGGGAGCCCTTTGGTATCTGTGTGTACTGGGCAGCCAGAGGGTTCTAGCACAGCGTAAAGCTTGCACAGAGGCCGGGTCCAAACTCCGGAGTCTTGGGGCAGCCTCCAGCCAGGGCTCCTTGGGCCTGGGGTGTGCCTGGCGGGAGTGGGCCTCACCTGTTTCACAGTTTCGGCCCTCGAAGTTCGGGAGGCAGAAGCAGATGTAGGACTGGAGCTGGTCCATGCAGGAGCCTCCGTGCTGGCACGGGTTGGAGGCGCATTGGTCCCCATCTGTGGGTGAGCTGCATTAGTGTGCTGAAAAGCAGGCCTGTGGGGCAGGATCCAATGGCCCTTTTCCTGCTCACCAGTGTAGAGACTCCAGAACTGCTTCTAAGGAACAAGAAGAGCCACGTGAGACACACCACAGAGGTGGCTTCAACATCTGCAGAATCCCGAGTGGGATCACGGGGCTCGGGAGTGGATTTCCTCTGCGTGACAGGGGCTCATCATCATCATCCCCTCTCAGGGACAGCGGAGGCTGTCCTCCCTCCAGTCAGAGCAGCCAAGTGCCAGCCCGAACTGCCCTCCAGCTGACACGTGGCACAAAGCCCAACTGCACGTGTGGATGCACACACCTCGTCTGCACGTGGGAATGACAGGTGACAAAGCCCTCCACAGACTGCTACAGGCCGCAGTGAGCAAACTGACTCATAAAAAGACTTTGGGCCAATTGACCTTCAAACTCATGGTTGTGGTGGAAACAGAACAGATAGATGTCACTGCATCCATAAAAGTCTTTGTTGAATGGTAACTCCTTTGTACAACTCCTTAAAGATAATAAAAAAAAAAGGTAAACAAAAAATAAACGTGAAAGTGCTCTGGAAACCAGCACATAATCAGAAGATATAAAATTCTCCGGGTTCTGGTGGCTCACACCTGTAATCCTAGCTACTCAGGAGGCTGAGATCTGAGGATCATGGTTCAAAGCCAGCCCAGGCAGGAACTCTCTGTGAGACTCGTGTCTCCAATAAACCACTAGAAAACCAGAAGTGATGCTGTGGCTCAAGTGGTAGAGCTGAAGAGCACAGGGATAGGGTCCAGGCCCAGAGTTCAAGCCCCACAACTGACCAAAAAAAAAAATTCTACATTTGGCTGGAGAGCCAAGTGAGCCTTGAAACCTCAAGCCAGCCTCCACATCAAACTGCCAACCTCCTGGTGAGTGGATGGGTGGATGTCCAGGAGGGCAGCTCTTGTGAGACTTCTTGCAAGTGGGAGCTGTCCTGTGTGTGTGCGGCTTCTGGGAGTGCAACATGCCATGACTCGGACATGGTGAATGAGCCCAGGGCCGTAGGAGACCCTGGCAATGACACCAAGGGCTGTGATGGATTCCTGTCTTTCCAGATATCAGCCTCATGGAGCCCAGCACTCGGGAAGCTATGGCAGGACTGTGAGCTAGCCTGGTCTTCACCTTAAGACCTTGTCTCAAAACAAGTAGTGTGTGTGTGTGTGTGTGTGTGTGTGTGTGAAATCAGAAATGAAGACAATGCTGTGCAGTTACTCTGGCTCACTACTTATTTTTCCCACTTTTCACGGAAGCTCCTGCCAGGGTCAGGCGGTGAGAGGCTGCAGGTGTGCAGCTCCCTCCCTCCCTGCCAGGCCTGCTCTTTCCCTTAGGATGCCTTCATGGGTGACCCTAGCTCCCTAGAGAATGGAAGTACATCTCGGAGAAGTCATGGGACATACTGTGTGCATTTGAATGACCTTTCTGATGTAAAATTAGCATGTGAAGCAGCAGAGGGAGCTGTGTGCCTGGTAGGGAGCCTTGCACACAAAGAAGAACCATGGCCAGGCAGCAACTTGTGCCTGGGGACTGTGTGTGTGCTCACAGGGCTTCCAGTGCCCCACATGCCACAGCAGTGGGCTGGCAGACACCCCTATGTGCGCGGTGGGCCTGGGGTGTCCTGGAGGGGCACTCACTGTCCTCTCTGGGCTCTTGAAGATCTCCAGGGCCTCCTCGAATGAGCACTGCTCCTCCTTACACTCCCTCTCCAGGTTGCCGGGTCTCAGCTCCTCCAGGAAATGGTTGGCGCGCTTATGCCTATGCAAGACACTGTGCGCTTCCTCCTGGGCTAAGAAGACTGAGACACAGAGGGCCTTGTGAAAGATGGCAGCTGCGTGGAAACCAGCACAAGGGACTGTCCGTTCAGTGATGAAAACCACCCCGAGGGACTGTCCGTTCAGTGGTAGAAACCACCACGTGGACTGTCCATTCAGTGATGGGAACCACCACGCAGGACTGTACCGTTTCGGGACTGTCCATTTAGTGGTGGGACCACATGGGACTGTACTGTTTTGGGACTGTCTGTTCAGTGATGGAAACCACCACATGGGATTGTACTCACCAGCCATAGAATCCACCCAGGCCAAATGGTCTCGTGGAAACTACCCTGGCTGCAGGGTCTCAGCCACGGAACTATTTCCCCACATTTTTCTCTTTTTTGGTGGTAGGAATCGGGGGTCCCCACCTCTGCTAAGGGCTAGTTCTCTGTATGCCTGGCCTACTGGTACAACCCAAGGCCTTGCGCATGTGCATTTGAGTGTACGTGCCTTTCATGGATGACTAGCTACCCCGCACCCTTCATGTGAGCGCAGGGCAATGTGTTCATGAAGTTAATTGACCAGTCATTCCTTTTGACCTGGCTACCATCACTTAGGAATTTATGACGAGGAAGCACTCAGACTCTACAAACACTTATCCCAGAGGAAGGTGTTGGAAATAATAGTCTGACAAACTGTGGCCTCCCATGCTATCATGAGATACAAAGATTAAGAAAGTGGTACCTAGGGTAAAGAAGATACATAGATGCTGCCCAGCAGCTCACAGGCATGACCTGGAAACTAAATCCTCAGTTCTGCCCTATCTGTGTCTGGAGGGCAGAAGGCCGGGCCCAGCCTGCCATCCACAGGCTTGTTGACATCAAAGCTGCTTGCTCCAGCTTGTGGATCCTGGGTGCTGACAGCCAGCCTACCAAACCCTCTAATCCTCCTCACACCTTCACCGGGAGGGAGGCGGCTCTCCCTGCATACTGGTGACTTTGGGGACTAGGATGTGACCAGAGTGCCCACTCACCTCCTAGGGACGTGTTGAATGAGCCTCAGCTTCACCCAGGTACCCCATCACCTCCAGGAAAAACCACAGTCATGAAAACAGGACCCACTGAAAACCATCTTGTAGCCAGAGGCAAAACGTCCTTAGAGAAGAGCTGAAACTCAGGCCAGATCACCCTCAGAGAACTTGTCCCTCCTACCCAAGGCTCGAAACAGCAGCCACAGCTCTGGGACAAAGACTGAAGGGTCACCCAAGGGTAGATGCAAACCTCGCCAGTTCTCCTGCTCCCCAGTCGCAGGCACAAGCCCACTCCTCAAAGATCACCAGAGAGGCCCAGCAGTGCTGCCTCGGAATAAATTTCTACTTTTGCTCCACCACTTCTCTTTATTTGGTTTGTAGGGTGAGTGGCCAGACGTGGTGTGGGACTCCTGGAGTTGGGGCCTTAGGTCTAAAACCCAATTCCAGCTTGAACATAAGTAATTTTTGAGACTTCTTTAGGATACCCAAATAAATAGGAGGGCTATGTACCAGGCAGGTGCGTGGCGATGGAGAGGAGGGTGTTCTCATTGTGGGGCGCCATCGGAGCCAGGAATGCCCTCGAGAGAGGGTGCACTGGCCAGTCTGGTGTGGGGCTGTACAGGACAAGGCAGTGAGCAAGGGTGGGAAGGTGAGTGGCTGGGGGAGCAAAGACCCCTAGAGAGGAAGCAGGCAGGGAGGGCCCCTGCGTCTCAGGAGGGGCTGAGTGCCCCAGCGGTGAGGCAGGCTCCTGGAAGGAGCTCTCAGGGCCTGGAGGGGTGGAGGCGGCCCTGGTGGGGCACTGCAACCTGCTGCTGTGCTTTGTGGGCTGAGAAGTGAATGTGAAAAGAGAGGGAGGGGGAGGACCCTGTGTCACACAGGGAGGAGGGAGAGGACCCTGTGTCACATAGGGAGGAGGGGGAGGATCCTGTGTCACACAGGGAGGGAGGAGGGGGACGATCCTGTCACACAGGGAGGGAGGAGGGGGAGGATCCTGTGTCACACAGGGAGGGAGGATGGGGAGGGTCCTGTGTCACACAGGGAGGATGGGGAGGGTCCTGTGTCACACAGGGAGGGAGGAGGGGGAGGGTCCTGTGTCATACAGGGAGGGAGGAGGGGGAGGATCCTGTGGCACACAGGGAGGGAGGAGGGGGAGGATCCTGTGGCACACAGGGAGGTAGGAGGGGGAGGATCCTGTGTCACACAGGGAGGGAGGAGGGGGAGGATCCTGTGTCACACAGGGAGGGAGGAGGGGGAGGATCCTGTGGCACACAGGGAGGTAGGAGGGGGAGGATCCTGTGTCACACAGGGAGGTAGGAGGGGGAGGATCCTGTGTCACACAGGGAGGGAGGAGGGGGAGGGTCCTGTGTCACACAGGGAGGGAGGAGGGGGAGGACCCTGTATCTCACTGGGAAGGTCACATGTTTTCTTTCTAATCTGGAGATCATCCCTTGTCCCCATTCTTGGGAGCCAGTGGTTTGGTGAGAGCCGCTGGGACTCACAGGGCAGAGCCTGCCTGAGCAGAAGCAGGGCGTGGAGGGGCGGCAGAGGCTCACACACCACAGAACCTCACACCTCAGTGGCACATGATCGATCCTCACCCCCGGACCTTGGAAGCGTGCAAGCCTGCACCAGAAGAGCTGAGACCCAGAAAATCGCCTCACAAAGCAATCCAGAGACTGAAGAGAATTCGGAAAGGACAGAATAAAACAAAGAAGAGCCGCAGGGTCCTGCCTGGCTCTGTCCCTCTAGGAGCGCAGCTCTAACTTGCTAGCTTTTGGGCTCTGGAGGCTCCACCAGCCGCGCAGCCTCACAGCCTTTGGGGTCCCAGGTTAATTCATAGTCTGGGGCTGGAAAGGTGACACTGCCACGTTTTGAAGTTGAGTATGACAGTGATGGTGGCGGCCAGCAGGCACCATGTGGCCCGGCTTGCGTCTGAGGGGCTCCCGGCCTTCAACATGTGCCCCAGGCCCCCCCCCCATCTTGTGTCTGAAGGGCTCCCGGCCTTCAACATGCCCCCGGCCCCCCTCCTGAGGCCTTAGCTTTGCACAAGGGCATGGCCATGGCCACAGAGATGAGGGGTGAGCAGTTCCACCCGAGCAGCCCACCCTGCTTCCCTGTCTGTCTGACTTGATAGGGGGTGGGGGCCAGGGGAGACAGCACCCTATGGCTAAAAGTTCTCTGAACCCTGTCAGCCCAGACTCTCCCTTGGGAGCAGCCAGGGCCCAGTCCTTTGCGGGACCTGAACCAAGGGAGCCCTGGTGACGACCCTGCCGACTGGAGTGGCAAGAACACAGGCGAGGCTGGAGGCCTGGGCACCCCAGAGCCCGAGCCAATAGCCCGCTGCCATTCTCACCCATGCGCAGAGTGGCAGACAGACCTGAAGTCTCCTGGGATGCCTGAAGCCAGAGCAGAAAGCAGAGCAGGGTGAGCCCGCGAGCCTGAGCCTGGAGAGCCATGCTGAGCCGCGGCTTCCTGCTTGGATATTCCAGGAGTGCAAAGGTCAGGAGGAGGGAAGGAGGGAGGCTGGGACATAGCCACAGCTAGATCAGAGGTCAGCTCAGGCCTGAGCCAGTGGTCAGCTCCAGGGCCAGTCAGTGGTCAGCTCCAGGCCTGAGTCAGTGTTCAGCTCTAGGGCCAGAGTCAGTGGTCAACTCAGGCCCTGAGTCAGTGTTCAGCTCCAGGGCTAGTCAGTGGTCAGCTCCAGGGACGGAGCCAGTGGTCAGCTCCAGGACCAGTCAATGGCCAGCTCCAGGCCCGAGTTAGTAGTCAGCTCCAGGCCTGAGTCAGTGGTCAGCTCCAGGGCCAGTCAGTGGTCAGCTCCAGGACCGGTCAGTAGTCAGCTCCAGGCTTGAGTCAGTAGTCAGCTCCAGGCTTGAGTCAGTAGTCAGCACCAGGCCTGAACACACACAGCCACCGAACCTGCACACAGCCACAGAGCTTGAGACAGCCACTGAGACTGCACACGTGGCTACAGATCCTGCACGCGCGGCCACTGAGCCTGCACACACAGTCACTGATCCTGTACATGTGGTACCCTGCACACGCAGCCACTGAGCCTGCACACACAGTCACTGATCCTGTACATGCGGTCACTGATCCTGCACACTCAGTCACTGAGCCCGCACATGTGGTCACTGATCCTGCACACACTGTCACTGATCCTGCACACGCTGTCACTGATCCTGCACACGCAGTCACTGAGCCTGCACACACTGTCACTGAGCCTGCATATGCGGTCACTGAGCCTGCACACGCTGTCACTGATCCTGCACACGCAGTCACTGAGCCTGCACACGTGGTCACTGAGCCTGCACATGTGGTCACTGATCCCACACACACTGTCACTGATCCTGCACACGCTGTCACTGATCCTGCACACGCAGTCACTGAGCCTACACATGTGGTCACTGAGCCTGCACAGGTGGTCACTGAGACTGCGCACGCGGCTGCTGATCCTGCACATGCGGCCACTGAGCCTGCACACACAGTCACTGATCCTGTACACACAGTCACTGATCCTGCACACTCAGTCACTGATCCTGTACACACAGTCACTGATCCTGCACACTCAGTCCGCTGAGCCCGCACACATTGTCACTGAGCCTGCATATGCGGTCACTGATCCTGCAGATGTGGTCACTGATCCTGTACACACTGTCACTGAGCCTGCATACACTGTCACTGATCCTGCAGACGTGGTCACTGAGCCTGCATATGCGGTCACTGATCCTGCAGACGTGGTCACTGATCCTTCACACTCAGTCACTGAGCCTGCACACATGGTCACTGAGCCTGCACACACGGTCACTGATCCCGCACACAGTCACTGAGCCTGCACACATGGTCACTGATCCTGCACATGTGGCCACTGAGCCTGCACACTTGGTCATGGAACCTGCACAGTCAGTCACTGATCCTGCACTGGAACCTGCACACATGGCTGCTGAGCCCTGAGTAGCGTTGTTGGTTTTGACATCTTTTTCTTTGGTTTATTTCCTTCCATTAGTAATAGTTATTCCATCAAAAACTTCCCTTGAGTTTTACCTCTTTAGCATCCTTAAATGGTAACTCACTATTTCTGTCATTTTCAGCTGTGTGCCAACACATACCAGGTCAGCTGCAGCGCCATCAGGATCCCAATGACATTGCCTTTCTAGCAAACTTAGAAGCACTATTTAAAAATCCTACATACCTTTAAAAACAACCTTCTGTTTATTGTTTTGTAAATATTCCATGTTAAGTTCTATGGTTGCTGAAAGGGTACATATTTTATTTTTATGACTAAACAAAGATCCACTTTTATGAGTGATAGTAAGCCCTTCTCCTGAGAGCTGGGGCGGGCTCTGTATTTCAAGCCTCATTATCAGACACCTGCATACTTGTGATGCAGCACCGGATTCCACATCCCATTTTGGGATGGCACTATCACCAGCTCTTTATATAGGCCATCCTTCCCTTGTGTTTCCAACCATTGAATCATTTCCTCAGGATTTCCTTAGCAGCTGTCAGTCCGTCGTGCTCTTCCAGTAGGTCCACTGAATATACTAAGGTCTCTGGCACACAAGTCAAACAGGGCCCAACTCATTTCTTCACTACATTTAGTGTTGTTTCCCATGCCTTTCCCTTCTGTGGACCAATGTCCTCCCTTCATTCTCCACCCCTGTGGTTATTACTGTTCTGTCGTGGTTCCTCTACATTTCTTTGGGCACCTTCACTTTTTTGCTTTGCTGGTTCTGGGGCTTGAACTCAGACCTGGGCACTGTCCCGAGCCTCAAGAGTAGTGCTCCACCACTTGAGCCACAGTGCTACTTCTGGTCTTTTTTGAGTAGTTTATTGGAGACAGGAGTCTCACAGACAGAAAATTTTCTGCCGAGCCTGGCTTCAAACTGCGATCCTCACATCTCAGCCTTTAGTCACTAGGATTACAAGTAGCCACCAGCACCTGGCTCACCTCCACATTTTTGTTGCCATTACCACAGTCTGACAGAACAAAGCTGTGTGTGCTAGGGTCCCTTCTGCTATCCTGCCTCGAGTCATACTTGTGTGCAAGGCACTGGGGACCCGTGCCTTTAAGGGAAGAGATGGCGGGAACTGGTGACATTTACTCCAACGTCACCCATACCATGGAGACTCTGGACATCACGTGGGAGATGACAAGTAGCTGTGGAGGAAATGTGACATTGTAAAGTGATTGAGTTGAAAGGGTCAGTGTCTAACCAGAGAGCAGGCAGGTTTCATTCCTCATTTTTCAAGTAACATCTGCACCAGCAGGAATGTGATGGAATCTTTGTATAATATGTTCTTTTTATTATCATTCTCTGGAGGCCTGGCCAGGGACGGCTCTGCAGGCCAGGGCAAGGGCAGGGGGGAAGGATCAGGGGGGCAGGGCGAGGGAGGGAAGAGCTACAGTGGTCCAGTGGCAGAAGGGACAGAGAGGGACTGTAAAGTGACAGACATTCAGCAGCATGAGATGATAAATACATCCTTTACACCAGCAATATGTACACACGGGACATATCTACACACATGGAACCGTTTGTCCCAACAGGCACAGCGTGCGCCTTCCAAACACGGAGGCCGGAGGAAGCATTGCACTCCGCCTGCCTCGGTGTGGCCCGGTGGATCTGGCGGTGCTGGGCGGTGCTGCTGCAGATGGCAAGTGGCTCCCGGGACGGGACGCAGGCGAGCCGTGCTCACCTGTGATGCAGCGGCTTCCAGAAGCCTCACCGAGACTGCATCTTTACATTTTCTTTAAAAACAATAAAAATACCCTAATTCCATGAAGAGCTTTTTAAAAAAAACCTTTGTTGTAGAAAAGAAGGTTAAGATTTTAAATTAGAGTCTGAACTTCCAGGTGGAAATGAACCGTCTGCAGGTGCGAGGACCTCCGTGGCCCACTGCGCTCGTCCCAGAGACGTGGTGTGGCTGCAGCGGTACCCCGGCCGCCGTGCCAGGCGCCCCCAGCATGTCCCCACATCACTGAGCGGAATAAACAGCGTGCTTCCAAGTAAACCCCAGTAACAAAAAATAGTTTTATATCAAATACAATATCAAATTGTCATTGCATGTAAACACAGTGATTCTTGGTAAAGAGCCGAGGCCAAAGTACCACAAAAATGGCCATGGAGTAATTCCCGTGTAAAAAAATCAAAAACCTATAAAAGACCAGAGTCCCCTGACCCTTCCTCCTGCGAATGCCATCCCATGGAGAGCACCAAACCAGAGACAGCAGGTAGCTGTGGAGAGGCTGCTCAGCGGAGGCCCCCGGAATGCGCAGGGCCCATGGCCGCAGGGCGGATCACCACAGCCCTTCCTGTCCACGTGGAAGCTCTGGTGGGTGTCTGCCTCCTGGAGCCGGAGCCCAAGTGGAGCTGGAGCTGGCGCTGGCTTCTGCTCCAGGTGGGTCCTGGTGCTGAGGTCCGAGATCCCTTTGGCTCAAGGGTTGTCTGGGTTCTCCTGATTTTGGACCCTCCCCAAACTTGGCAAACCCAAGCAAGAGAAAACCTCAACACTGGCATGCGGGCCTACCGAGGGTGGCAGAGGTGCCCGGAGGCTCGCTACGCCTGGACGCCAGGGAAGGGCGCGGGGCAGCCCTCGCTGCAGCTGGACGAGTTGCTCAGCACAGCCGACCCCGGGCTTGACTCTGCGGGAAACCAGGGTGAGTTCCTCGGCCCTCTCCCGGCACGCACACGCCTCACCCCTGCCCCGAAAGGGCGGTGAGGGCCGGGAGCTCACCTGAGCTGCTCAGACACTGGGCTGAACTGGACTTGCCCAGGAGAGTGGACAGGCTGCTGGCCGGCACCCAGCCCTCCCTGCTGCTGGTCAGATCCCGGACATACCTGAAATGAGGGAGCAGGGAGCTGTGGCCTCTCCATCGTCGGAGGTGGGGGTGTGTGGGGGGCACGAGGCTGGGCATGTGAGGGAGGGACAGGTGTGTGGGGAAGGAGGGGGCAGGTGTGGGAGGGAGGGGCAGGTGTGAGGGAATCGGGCAGGGGTGTGGGAGGGGCAGGTGTGGGAGGGAGGGGCAGGTGTGAGGGAATCGGGCAGGTGTGGGAGGGAGGGGCAGGTTTGGCATGGGGCAGGCAGGTGTGCCCTCTCACCAGAGCCCCTGGGCGCCCTCCTCCACCACCTCCACCAGGTCCCCGCTTCTCATGGTGAGGGTCTCCGGGCCTCCCTTCTCATGGTCCACTGCCACCGTGTATCTCCCCGGCACCTGAGGCACGGACACATGTGGCTGAGATGCAGTGTGCCGGCACTTTCTGCCCCCTGGGCCAGCAGGCAAGCCACAGTGTCTGCCCACCACCCACCCCATGGAGATCCAGACAGTGGCTAGTGCACCCTAGTGGACCTGAACTGTCCAGCAGTGAGGACACAGACCAGAGCTCTGCTGGGACAACTCAGACCACTGGTTCACACTGGAGCCGACCCCCCTCCCCTCCCCGTCTCTCCAGTCTCAGGACAAAGCTACCTCTGCTATCACTATCCTGTTAATGAAAAGATGTACCAGTGTGGCTGCCCACATAAAGCTCCTCACTGGTCTCCCAGTGCCCTCCTGTAGCCCAGGACTTCTGCACCAACCCGGCTTCCTGAAGTGCTCTTTCTCAGCTGCAGGTCTTGCTGACTAATGCACACACACTCTTACTAACAAATGCACACTTACTAATGCACCCACACTCTTACTAATGCATGCACACTCTGAGCCTCCTTGGCCCCTCCCGCTCAGGGCAGCAGCTGGCCCACAGCGGCAGGGTAAGTTTGGCTGTGGGAGGTGGACTGTGGGGTGGAGGCTCCCAGCACATGGTATAAGGAGAGGCAGGGTGGGGGCTGGGAGGGGGGGAGCAAGACGAGCCCTTGCTTCTCACTGGCACTGGCTCAGGGGCCAGGCCAGCACCAGGCTCAGTGGCCCTTGTGTGGCAGAGCCACCCTCACTGGAGCACACCCAGGCCTTGCCAGGCCCTTCCCAGCCCCCTCGACTCCCTGGGCTGCCTCTGCCCTGAGTCTCACAGCCTGGCTCATGCTGTCCTTGGGAGCGGCTGTCTGACCATGCTCCCTCCCCCTCCCCACCCCCATCACCCATGGCCTGGCCTGGACACAGCAGCCAGGCAGGTGTGGGTCATGAGCACGCTCACTCTGGTGAACACATTCACCCCAGTCCTGGCGTGTGCTAGGTCTTCTCTCCCACTACTGAAAACAGGACAAAGGCAGTATGTGAGTCATACTGCAAGTATGTCTTCCGGGTCTGTCCTTGGGACACCGTGGCTTCTCAAAGTAAGCCAGGCCAGAACATCTTGCGGATGTGGGTGAAAGCATGGCACACCCCTAAGCAAAGGACACACCATGCCCCGGCTCTAGTGGAGGCCTGTGTGCTGCAGGGCCTTGACGCTGGATGCTAACCCAAGTGACCAGTGTGAGGAGCTGTGGCTCCCTCGCAGGAATCAGAGGGAGGCAGACCCCGTGACACGTCCTTGTGAGGGGACATCCGAGCCCCGGGGGACACGGGGAGGACACAGGGGATGGGGAGAACATGGGATATGGGGAGGGCATGGGGGGATGGGAGGACACAGGGGATGGGGAGGACATGGATGATGGGGAGGAGGACATGGGGATGGGGAGGATGGGGGGATGGGAGGACACAGGGGGACGGGGAGGTGGGGGGACAGGGAGGACACGGGGGATAGGGAGGATGGGGGGATGGGAGGACACAGAGGGAGAAGAGGACTAGGGGCATCTGAGCTCCTCTGGGAGGACGCGCTTACCAACTTTGTGGGTCCAAGGCCGCCATCTTCCTCTGCGTCGGAGGAGTTGGCAAGCTCCTCGGCACTGGACCAGCCGCCCTCGTCCTCGGGGCCCTCCAGGGAGTGGGATGTTTTGCTCCAGCCTGAGGGACACAGGTTCCCATGAGGGCCATGCCAAGGCCAGGGTCGCCGTTCCTCAAGTGCGGTCCATGGGCCTCACCTGTCGGTTCACACTCACTCCTGCAGTGACGGCGTTGTCCCAGCCCAGGCTGCCCACTTCCAAATTGTCCCACACGCTTGCTCCAACTGCACAGCGGTGAGGACCGGGCTGGAAGCATGTGCTCTGTGGGAGCCCCCCCGCAGCACGGCACCCCTCCTGGGGCCCACACCTGCCCTGAGCTGATGCAGAAGAGCAGCGCCTTCCGTCATTGCCATGATGGCTAACACCTACCAGGCGCCCAGAGGAACAGTCTCATAAAAACACCACGTGGCCCTGGACCTGCCAGCTGTGACCGGGCCAGCATTCTTGCCGACCCCCGGCACAGACAACAGAGACCTGACCCTGCACCATTGCCTCGCTCTGGTCCTGCTGTGTCAGACGGTGGTGGCAGCAGTTCCCACTTGGGGGAGGTGGAGAAAGCGGGTTCCTGCTAGTGGCTGCACTTGGGCGGAGGTGCACACAGTTGCCACGTGCGGGAACTGTCCACCAACACCAAGCCCACCAGGGAGGCAGATGTGAACCTGGGCACATCCAACGTGGCTGTAAGCATGCGTTTCCCTAGAAGGAGGGGGTGCTGGTGCATGAGGGCCTGCCTGTGTCCCCATCCTGTGGAGCTGGGCAGCTGGAGGGTGCTGTCTCCGCCAGCACCCAGAGAGCTTCTACTACGCAGCTCTGGAAAACCCTCTCTCATCTCCCTAGGAAAGTGGGGGGCTGGGCCTTGGTGCTCCTCAGACACCAGCAGGCTAGGAAAATACACAGGCGCTGGGCAACCTGGCTCAGAGGCGGTCTCTCGTGGGCCATGACTTGGGAACGGGGGAGAGGATAGACAGCCAGGCCCTGGTTCCAGCCCCGCGTGCTGGCTGCTGGGGCTGGGGTATGATGCAGCTTTGCAACTGCTAGGAAAGCTCAGGAATGAAAGCACAAGGACAACTCCATGAACTGGATACTGGGGGACGGGGCAGGTAACTTGGGAAGACCCCTGGAACACAAGACAGAGGAGCCTGACTCCCAGCATGCAGCAGGGCCCCTTCACCTTGCATGAGGGGATGGTTCTCTTGTGTATGGGAGGTCATGGGGAACTTGAGGAGGGGAGCCTTCTGTGCAGACCCCCCTGCCCTCCAGCTGAAACACTGGGGCAGGTGAGCAGCACTCACACCCACCGGGGGCAGCAGTGGCAAGCGGTACTGGGCCTCCAAAGGGCAGCAAGCATGGTGTCCTGGTGTCCCAGTGCCCAGTGCCTGCCCGGGGCAAGAGGCTGCCAGCCACCCTGACTACTCCCAGCTCGCCCGACTGCCACCCTGGCACTAGCACGGCCCATGGCCCGCCTGGCTGATGTTCAAGGCCAGCAGCATACTACCTCGTAAACCAAAGGGAGTCGGGTCGCTCTTTACTTCATGTCGCTTAGCTTTTTTGTCAGGACTGGTTGGAGAAGCTGCAGGAGGAGGAAGAGGCAAAAATACAACAGGACAGAGCAAATGTGAGGAATGGCCAAGCAAGGAGAGGCGGCAAGTGGAAGGTTTGTGAATGAATGAAATGGTCCAGGGCTTCCCAGGGGAGGGAAGAGCCCTCCTCCCCCACCCAAGAGCAGATGTGTTGGTGGACGTGGCACTGGAGGTCATGACACTGGCCATCAGTCACCGTCTTAGGGGCTGCCTCGTGGACCTCTCAGCTTTACAAGAACAGTGCCGGCAGTGGGTCTTCAAGCTTTTGACTAACTTAAAAAGTATTTCACAGCCAGGAACCAGTAGCTCCTGTCTGTAATCCTAGCTACTCAGGTGGCTGAGATCTGAAGATCATGATTTGAAGTCAGCCCAGGCAAGAAAGTTTGTGAATCACTTAAGTGGAGCTGTGGCTCAAATGGTAGAGCAACAGCCTTGAGTGAAAAAGCTAAAACTAAGGAGCTAAAACAGAGTGCAAGCTGAGTTCAAGCTCAGTACATAATAAATAAGTACAAAATAAATCGTAGAAAACCCTCTTCCAACCAAGGCCTGCCCCACTGAGGGTCCTCATGGACCTGGTGTGTGGAGAGTGGCCTGTGCAGCCTCCTGGGTCCTGAGTGGTGTGTGGAGAGCGGCCTGTGCAGCCAGGGCCCTGAGCGATGAGTGGAGAGTGGCCTGCGCAGCCTCCGGACCCTGAGTGGTGTGTGGAGAGCGGCCTATGCAGCCTCTTGGGCCCTGAGTGGTGTGTGGAGAGCGGCCTTAGCAGCCTGGGCAAAGCACCCATGGTGGTGGCGGTTCCCCAAAGCTCAGAGGACACTCTGCAGGAAAGAGACTGCAGCTGGGAAGGGACCACAGGCAAAGAAGAAAGGGGGAGAGAACAGAGGAAGAGGAGGCCTCCAACCAGAAAAGCAGGTGAGAACTTCTGACTGCTGCTCTTGCAAAGCTGGCCTTTTGTGTTTCCAAGAGGCACCCCTAAAAGATAACTTTAGGCATTTGACTCTCGTGGAGATGAACATCACTCAGCAAGCATGGTGTGGTGTGTGTGTGTAGGTACCCTGAGCTGGTCCCCATAGGGGGTCATGGCACAAGGTACCGAGGAGGGAGTGGAGGTGGTTCAAGTACCCCATCTTTACCTTTCTGACCTTTGAGGTTACCAAAGCCCTGCAGCGTGAAGCGCTTTATGGAAAGCGCTGAGCTCTCAGAGGTGGAGCTAGAGACTGCTTCGTCTAGGAGGGAGAAGACAGAAGGCCAAGAATGTGTGGTCTGGGAGGGTGGGACAGGAGGCACGGGTGGTGTGGAGGAGAGCATGTGTGGTGTGGTCGCGGTGTGGAGGGAGAGGAGGCAGAGAGCATGCATGGTGTGGAGGGACAGGAGGCAGAGAGCATGGGAGGTGTGGGGTGGAGGGAGTGACAGAGGCAGAGAGTAGGTGTGGTGTGGAGGAACAGGAGGAAGAGCGCATGTGTGGTGTGGAGGACAGGAGGCAGAAAGCATGTGTGGAGGGAGGGAAGGAGGCACAGAACATGCGTGGTATAGGGCGGGACGGCGGGCCCTAGGAGGCTGCATGCCCTTGCCCTGGTGCACAGCGCTGCGTGAGGGCCGCCCTTGTGGCCTGGTGCAGACAGGTGCGGCCTCCCCAGGGGTCACCCACCTCTGCCCTTCTCAGGGGGCCGGGCCGGCGGCGAGCTCACATAGCCCTCCAAGCTCAGCGCGTCCGTCTTCCTGTCCTCCGGCCTCCGGGCGCTCCTGCCGCTTCCTCTGCAGGGACTGGTAGCATCGGATGCCAAGAAAGGAACCACATGCGGGTTAGTTCCTCCGTGTCCAGCCCTGAGACTGCCCACCTTGCTGCCTGCGTGAAACCTTCCTGAGGCTGCCTATCTCCCTGTCTTCGTGGACCTGTCCCGAGGTGGCTGTGGCACTACCTGCACGGACCCACCCCGAGATGGCCATGGACCTGCCTGCATGGACCCGGAGGCTGACCGTTGCACAGCCTGCATGGGCCTGCCCCAAAGTGGCCATGACACTGACATAGCCACATGGAAGGAAGCCCCGTCCCTGCCTATCAAATAGGAGGCAGCAGCAGGTGTCTCTTTTAAAATTACTCCTATGCAAAGGAGCCCAAAATATTTGGTGGGAAAAAGGCTGCCTCTTCAATAATTGGTGTTGGGAAAACTGGACATCCATATGTAGAAAACTAAAAGCAGATCTCTGTTTGTCGCCATGCACTAAAATCAACTCCAAGAGGATCAAAGGCCTCAGTGTCAGACTGGAAACTTGAAACTTCGAAATTACTGCAAGATGGAGTAGGAGAAACACTAAAACTCATAGTCATAGACAGAAACTTTTTGAAAAATTTCTCAGGGGCACAGCAGATAGGAGAGAGACTTGACAAATGGGATTCATCAAAATATAAAGTTTCTGCACAGCGAAGGACACAGTTACTAAACTATAAGGACAGCCAACAAACTGGAAGAAGATCTTCACCAGCAATACATCTGACAAAGCTTAATATCGGAAATACACAAGGAGCTCAAGAAACTAACCTTTCTCAAAGCTAATAAACCAATTACAAAATGGACAAGGGAACTAAAGAGACTTCTCAGAAGAAGAGGTAAGACCTCTGGTCCTCAGCTCCAACTAGACCTGAGCTCCTCCCTGCTCTACAGTTCCTGCCATACAGCTGGCCCCTCCCTCTTTGCCCAGACCCACCTTGCACACACCTACCTCACTTTTGCCCTCACTTCCTCCTCCAGACCACTTGCCACCTGGATAGAGCAGACACTATGTGCTCCCTCTCCTGGAGGAATATGGTCCCTCTGATAAACCTTATGTAATGTTTCTCCTGTGTCTGCCTGCCTCTGCATAGTCCCCTGGGATGGTCGTGAAGGATTCTTACATTTGGTGCCAAAACCTGGGATAGGTCCCCCAGTGGATTTACCCCCTCTCCCACTTTGGATGGGGGTCTGACCAGCAGCCCTGAGACCTAGCCTGCAGTTCTACAATGCCTTTGCCAAAGGTGGGGATAATACTAACAACTGGCAAATAAACACATGAGGAAATGCCTACTGACTCTGGCCATAAAGGAAGTGCAAATCCAAACAACTCTGAGATTCCATCTAGCCCCAGTTAGATTGGCCAACATCAACGAATTCAAACAATGAATGCTGGTGGGGATGTGGGGGGAAAGAAACTCTATTTCACTGTTAGTGTGAATGTAAACTACTAAAACCACTTTGGATGGAAGTTTGGAGGTTCCCCAAAAAACTAAACACAGAACTTTCCTATGACCCAGTCATACCACTCCTGGACATCTACCCAGAACATCACAAGCCAAAAAATGGTAAATACACTTGTACATCCATGTTCACTACTGCACTATTTACAATAGCCAAGTTCCAGAAACAGCCCAGATGCCCTACAAAAGATGATAGGATCAATAAAATATGGTACCTATACACAATGGAATTTTACCCATCCATTAGTAAAAGTAAGATTACATCATTTGCAAGGAAACAGATGGATCTAGAACAAATCATGTTAAGTGAGGTATGCCATGCTCAGAGTGACAAATGTTGCATGTTTTATCTCATATGTGGAAGTTAGATCTAAAATATAACTAGATATGATAATGTATCCAGGACTCTAGGAATTCACACACAAAACATCAGACTAAAGAAGGATGCTCTTAGGGGTGGAATCTAAAGGTATAATTACTCTGGACATTTAAAATACTGTCATGGTTCAAAGCCAACCAGGGCAAGAAAGTCTGTGAGACTCATCTCCAATTAATCACAAAAAAGACATAAGTGGAACTGTAGATCAAGTGGTAGAGCACTAGCCTTGAGCAAAAAAGCTCAGGGACAGGGACCAGGCCCTGAGTTCAAGTTCAAGCCCCAGGATCAGCACAAAAAACTACTGAAAAAAAGCATCTATTGAAATGAACTCCAAGAAATGGAAATATGGGTGTTTTGTTGTTTTGGTGGTGGTGGTGGTAGTGATAGTGATGGTGGTGGTAATGGTGGTGGTGGTGATGGTGTTTGTTTTTGCTTTGGGGATGTTTTTGTTGTAGGGGGATGAAGGGGGGGCACAGAAAGGGAGAGAGGGAGGGTGAACAAATGCTGTCATGTTATTGTGTGTGTGTGTGTGTGTGTGTGTGTGTGTGTGTGTACTGTAACTCTCAGATCTCAGCCTCCTGAGTAGCTAGGCTTACAGGCATAAGACAGACTTACTCAGTATAAATGGTGTGGAAAATAAGTTTTAGTCAAGGATGGGAGGAGGAAACTGGGGGAAAGCAAAGGAAGGGACAACATTGTCTAAGGAATTGTACTCATTATCCAACTTGTTAAATGGTAATCTGTTTGTACAACACCTTAATTTTAAAATATTATATAAATACACAAGTAACTAACTATCTGATGACCCATGGATGATTCAACTTGATTAAAGAAATGGGAGGGGAAAAAGGAAAATAAAATAACAAAGGAAACAAAATAACAAATGAAAACCCAGGGGTAGACAAGTTACCAGGAAGCCATGTCTGCCGGTGAACAAGTACTAGCCTCAGACCTGGAGTCAGGTGCCCGTGTTTAATGCCAGCACCTGTCCTAGGTTCATTTATCACCCAGTGTCGAGACCCAGGTCCTCTGGAGGTGTGCCCTGGCCTGTGCCAACTGTGAGAGGTGGTAATCCACCAGTAGAAACCCATGAAGAGCCAGGACCAGTGCTTGCAGGCAGAGCACCAGAGATGGTGTCTTTGGGACTAACTGAGAATGAGAACAAGCAGGTGAGGTCCAGATATTATGGGGTCCTGGGCAAACTCACCCCGACACAGGAGGCACATGACCATAGGGAGCAAACTGCACATGCAAAAGTCCTGCTCTTCTTTTTTTTGAAACAAGGACTTTCTGTGTAGTCTGACTGGCCTTGAACCTGTATTCCTCCTGCCTCAGCCCTCTTCAGTGCATGTGCCACCATGCCAGACTAGAAGCCCTGCTTCCTTGAGCCCTGGGCACGCATCTGGTGCTTACCTGGTACTGGCTGGTGCAGGCAGAGGTAGGCTGTGGGACTGCTCCAGGGCCCTGTGCTGGCTGGCTTCTGTGGGAGGGGACACGTTGGGTTGAGTGTTTCGCCCATGCTTTTGAGTGTTAGAGAAAATCACAGCGGAAGGCAGCCTCACCTCTGCAGGCCTGCAGTTGGCTGGTCAGCACTTTCCGGATTTCACTCACCCAAGCTGCTTTAATTTCAGGAGTGGGTGCCTGTTCCCCAAAGAAAGCTGGCGTCAGCACAGGGTTAGAACTCAGGCCCTGTGAACCTGACTCTTATCTTGATGTGCTAGGACCACCGGATGGACCAGCACATCAGGCATGTGGAAGGCGGGGGGCGGGGGGCAGACCTGTGTGTGTCCCCCCTGCTGTGGTACGGGATGGATGGTGCAGCTATCAGGGGCAGAGGGCCATGAGGGGGAGTGGTGGTCTGCAGGGGCTGTGGCCGCTGGGTATGCGCACCAATGACCTCAGAGTGGTTGTGAGGACAATGACAAGTGTGAAACCCACAGGTGGATGGCGGGGCTGCTCGACTGGCGCCAGCTGTGCCCAGGGACTAATATTTTGTCTCAAGAAAGAAGAGGCTCTCTGCCTTAGGTGCTGCAGGTTAACAGTGGGCTGCCGAGGAGCCAAGCCTGGCAGCCACCCTGGTATGTCCAGGGCCAGAGCGGGGCCCTGTCCGGCTTCTGCTCTGTGGGGCTGCCGCACTGGACAACAAGATGGGACTGTGATGCTGCTGTGGCAGTGTCCCGGCTGGCGAGAGTCCTCATGTGTTAGAATCAGAACTAGAAGCCCTGCCTGGACGTGGCTCAGTCTCTGGCAGAGCTCCTGCAAAGGGTGCTGTCTTGGGTCCACCCGCTAGCTGTATCCTCCCCATCAGGGAGCCAGGTCTGCAGAGTGGCAGGAGGGACCTTCCTGCTCCTGGGACTGCATCCCCAGCACCTGGGTCTGAACTTGCTCCCCAAGGCCATCTTGGACCAGCTCCTGCCCTTCAGCGATGAACCACAGAGTTCTGAATGGAGTTTCAGCCACTTAGGCAAGGCCCGAGAGTTCCCGACCCCTGGCCTGAGCCCCGCCGGATGACCTGGACACAGGCCAGCGCCTACCTGGATGATGTAGACCTCCTCTCGCGCGTTGTACCAGATCTCAAACTTCTTGGCGTCGCCTTTCACATTCTCTGTGATGCCAACGGCCGTCATCTGTCAAGAGCAGAACCAGACAGGCAATAGCATTATCAACCTCCCGCCTCCTCCAGAGAAGATGAAGTATTTGGGGAGTGGGAGGGAAAGATGGCAGGACCCCCTCAACGCCCATGCGCGCAGAGGGGAGCTGGGTGTCCGTGCCCCTTGGCATCTGTTGGAACAGGGTCTGGCCACGGACCTCTCCGCAGGCCAATGGGCAGAGCCACGCTGCTCAGGCCACATGCGCTTACGTTCAAGGACTGCTTGTAGCTGTAGGATGGGGCCTTTTCGTAGCCCTCGCCGCTCTCCTCCCTCTTCTTGCAGAAGAGCACGGCCTTCTCGTGCAGGAACAGGTGCCTCTGCATGGGCTTGAACCGGGCCAGCTCCTTCACCTTGGTGTGCCCCTTCTTGTGGTCGGTCCACACGCTGAAGGAGCCCTGCATGAGCAGCTTACCCAGGTCGCTGAGGTTTCCCTGCAATACTTGGATACTCAGCACACACACACGCTGCTCTTCCCCACTTCATCTTCTAGAAACCCAAGACTGACCCCTCTGCTCTCTGGGGATGCCTGCTGGTCATCAGGGACAGACAGGACCCGAGGGGGTGGATGATACTGGGGCTGGAGAGGTCATGCCCCAAAGAGACACCCCATGCAGCTGGCACCTTCATGGTTGATCTGGGTGCTTGCTCAGTTCCACCCGGGCCTCCTGGCTCAGAACCTGGGTCTTCCCTAGGCCCAGGGTGATGTGTGTTCACATCAAGGCCTAGGAGCTCAGATGGAGCGAGGAGCACCCAGTGGGCTGCGTCCTCGGCATCCCAGCCCGGCCCCTTACGTCATAGCCGGTGATGGCGATGAGGTGCATGGAGTCGTTCACGGCCTTGAGGATGCCCAGGATGGAGCTTAGCGCCTCCTGCAGATCTGCGGCTCCCTCACAGTTCTTGCTGTATTTCAGCATCTCCTAAGGGTGTGTGTGGGGAGGCCGGAGGACGTGTTCACACATGGAGACAGCTCTCAGAAGCACAGACCCATGCCTGCCCTCATGATGGGCGCCTCGGGAGCTGGGCCAGAGCACCACATTCCGCAGCTCCCCAGTGAACTGCCCGCCTCAAGGCTCAGAAAGGGCGAGCCCTGGCCTCCACTTCCTCTTATGACCAGGGCCAAAGACACAGCCACGACTGTTTCCTGCCATGCAGGGTAAACTCGTACCTCCCTGTTCTCCGCTCCCACTGGGCTGTGGGCTGGCAGGTGGAAGGGCACAGGCCTGTCTCGAATCGGGGGATGCAGGGTCCTGTCTGCACAAAACCCTGGAGTGGGATGAGCAGGGGCCCAGGGATCCCTTTGGCTGCTCATCTTCGGGTTCCCCCCACACTACCTAGTCTAGCACACAGGTCTCACGGGTGTCAGAATGGGCCAGGGCAGAGCGGCTGAGGGAAACCCCCAGGCCTGCGTGTAGTGTGGAAGCAGCTGCAAACGCCTGCCCACAGGCGGGGGCTGCTGGGGCGGGGCCCACCTTGAGCAGCAGCTGGTACTTGGTTATTCTCTGCACAGGCTTCAGCAGGTAGGAGTCCAGGCTCAGCTTGTGGTCCAGCTTCTTCTGGCACTCCTGGAACCGCCAAGCATCTGAGGTTAGGCAAGGCCCCGGCTTCTGCCTGAGAAGGCTTGTCAGGCAGGGCCGAGCCTTACCTGGAAGAAGGGGCAGTCGGAGCACTGTCTCCACAGGCTCTCAGAGCGTGGTTTGTTCTGACAGTATTTCTCATAGATCTGGAAGTCTTCCATCTGCGGCAGGAGGAAGGAGTGGAAGAGACATGGCTCCCAGCCAGACCCTTCTGCTTATCAGTGGAGAGCTCCTGCTCCCTATTGACCATCTCAGATCACAGGCCTGGGTGGCCCAGTGGTGATGGTGCTCTGGGTTCTGCCACATCCTATTCTTCAGTAGCATGCATCTATCTATCATCTATCTCTCTATCACCTATTATTATCTATCATGTATCTATTATTTATCTGTTACCTACCAACTATCTATTATTTATTATCTACCACCTATTACTTATCTATTATCTATCTACCTACCTATCTATATATATCTTTATCAGACAGTCCATCAATCAATCACAGCATCTATCCTTCAGTAGCCAGCTATGTTTATTAGCATTCTCTGTCTGGTTATTTACCCACAGTTTCTAGGGTCTTCTCAGGCAGTTTGGAAACTGATACAAGTGTTTTTATAACAAGCACACCTGAGCCCTGTGTGAAATAGAACTGCTGTGGCTCACTGGACTAGGCTAGAGATGGCTGCAGGACAGCATCAGGGTCTATCTTTCTTTAAGACCATCTTGGTTTAAGAGTTTAGGTAACTCTAGGGGTACTGATAGCCACAGAACACAGGGGCTTTGGGACACAGACAGTTTTGGGGTGGAGATGGCTCCAGGGCAGGGACAGCTCAGGTGATGCCTCAAATATCGCTCACCCTGCCCAGCTTCAGCAAGAATGCCAGCCTGGGTCCCCTGATGCAGGCCACCCTGGCCTGCCTGCCTTCCCGAGTCCTCCCTGACACAGTCCACCCTGGCCTGCCCCGCTTCCTCCCTGACACGGAGCCTCCAGGCCTCCCCGACCTTCCTGGTGAGCACCCTGTCCACCCGCCTTGAGGGACAGTTGTGCAGCCGAGGAGCCACAGCAGCAGCACTAGGGCGAGTGCAGAGGCTGGGCAGAGAGGGGCAGTGTCAGCTCACGTCCACCACCGTCCCCGCCCTTCCTGCCGCGCAGCTCAGCGCCCATCTGTGCCTCCTGTCACAGGGAGCTTCCCTGGACACCTGAAAACCGGCTCAGACAGTGCCGTTCCCCCCAGAACGAGGGGCTGTGGCCCCTCCAGGTTTGGCCTGCTGGGTGGACGTGGCACCATGAAGGATGCACCGCTGAGAGCTCTGCGTGGCTGACCGGAGCACCTGCACTGCTGAGAGGTTCCCGGGGCACCACCGCGGGTGAGGTGACCCTGGCCCCAGAACAGCGCCCCTGAACAGCATCTCTTTTGGCTGAGCTGGGACAAATACGGCTCCTCTTCCCGCTTCCTCTCTCAGTGCCAACCCCCAGACAAGCTCAGCCTTCCATTCTTTATTTCCTGAAATCGTTCTAGTCTCCTACGTGAGCTTCCTTCCCACATTGCTGAACTAGCAGCTCCTGCACGCCACCTGACGGAGTCCTCTGGGTCTGAGAGGGAAAGGCGTGGTTGGTTCTGCCTAAGCTTTCCCACAGCCCCTCCCTTCAGAGTCAGCCCCCCACCTTCTCCCCTCTCCCCCCACACCCTGCTGGAGCTGAGGTCTGTGATCTGAGAAGGGAGAAAATGTGGCTACGAGGGCACCAGCAACTTGTCCAGTGTCATCAAACAAGTGAGGAGTCTGAGCCAGGGCCAGACCCAAATATGAACAGCACTATCCTGTGTGGGAAAGTCCCACTGCCTCTCTAACTTGCAGCCGGCCTTGACTTCAGTATCCCCAAAGCGTTTGTTTTATGGGTTTTCTCTTTTTTTTTTCTTTTTTTTTATTTCCAGTCATGAGGCCTGAACTCTGGGCCTGGGCTCTGTCCCTCAGCTCTTCAGCTCAAGGCTAGTGCTCTACCACTTGAGCCACAGTGCCACTTCCAGCTTTTTCCTTTTTGCTTACGGGGTGCTGAGGAATTGAACCCAGGCCCTCATGCATGTAAGGCAAGCGCTCTACCACTGAGCCACCTTCCCAGCCCTGGGTTTTCTCTTTTTAAAAGCTAGTTATTAATCTTCAAAACTTTTCTTTGCAGGATTTATGACAGCCTTGAAATCACAAGGCCTAGGATCTGTGCCCCTGAACTATACCCAGTGTAGAAAAAATATTTTTAGAGCTAGGGACTGGTTGGCTCATGCCTGTAATCCTAGCTACTCAGGAGGCTGAGATCTAAGGATCATGGTTTGAAGCCAACCAGGACAGGAAAATCCATGAGACTCTCATCTTCAATGAACCACCTGAAAACTAGAAAAAAAAAAAAAAAAACTTTTCTTTGCCCTCCCCCAAACTTGGAGGCCTTCTGGGGGCCAGGGGGCACTAGTGCTCGGTACTTTGGGTGGGGCTGGGAACTGCTGTGGAAATTGGAGTCACAGACAGGGATTGAGTAGTCTGGGGAGCAGCGTGGTGCGTGCCGATGTGGTGGTACATACCCGCTCCAGGAAGCACCTCCCCACCAGCTCCGGGCAGTCCATGCAGCTTTCCAGCTCCCGCAGGAAGATCCTAAGCAGAGGGGCACATGCTCAAGACGCACAGACGTGGTGGCCATTTTCCAGGGGACATCATGCTTTGACCCGTAATGTCACCCACACTATCCTGTGCTATGTCCCTGCTTCTGACCCAGTGTGCACACAGAAGCTGGAGCTGTGTCTGGGTGGGTGCAGAGGCACAGATGTGAGCTGTGAAGAGCAGGCCTGGCATGGACGGGCGGGCACAGGTTGCACTAGCCCCAGTGCAGGGCTGATTCTGCTCTCAACACCCGGCTTGTGTTCATCTCCTGGGAAGAAGCCTCAGAGAGGAAGCAACTGTGGGCCGTTCTGCATGGGAGCAGTGCAGCTTTGAGCTGCGGGGCCACACCCAGGCTGCATGAGAAAGTTCTGGAACCCTCAGGAAGTGTGTAGCCCTGCAGGGCCAGTGATGGGCAGCATCTTTCTTGGTGAGAGATGGTGAGGCAGAGGAGGGGTGGCGGAGGCCAGGGTTCCAGGGCCCAGTCCCCACGGCAGTGCTGTGGGTGGGGTCTGCTCATGCCAGGCCTCTTTGGGACAGGGGTCCACTGTCTGCCTCCCCCAAACCCGTGTGGAATGTCTACCAGCTCATCTGTACTCCAGCAAGCAAGCACCTGCTCATTAGGTTACAGCCACAAAATAGCAAAGTGGAGCCACGGGCCAGCATGCCAGTGGATGGCTATGCCATCCAACAACAAAGCCACAGAGAGGCCACTCCTATTCTCTGGGGACAGACAGCCCTTTAGCTCTCCTAAGAGTGACAGGAAGGCACACCTGTTGGCCATCCTTTTCGAGAATGAGCCAAAGTGGTAATGTGACCTTCAGGTCCCCAGTGCCAAAGCTTAACTTTGGGGGTAGGGGAGGACAGCTCGGGGGCTAGCCAGCCTGTCCTGCTTCCCTGCACCCCAATCCCAGGCCTGCCGCTCTGAGCATATCCTGGGCGACTGTCAGCCACGCACAGCCAGGGCCTGCAGGTGGGTGAAGGAGCGGTGAGAGCAAGGGACCGGACGGTGTGTGCCGAGGGCAGTGGGCACCAAGGGTGACCCACCTGTTATGGAAGTGGTAGATCTCCTCCATGTTCCCAAACAAAACGTCCTTCTTGCTGTGCAGGCCCGTGGAGATGAGATGAGCCATCAGGGGGTTGTCCATCTCTGCGGCGTAGCCCTGCAGGGAGAGGACGGGTCAGCCCGGACAGCCCAGGCCTCAGGCCACAGCTGGGCAGTGCTGGCTCTGGGTCGCTCGGTGTTGACAGGCCAGTCCAGGGCAGAGCACTGAGCTGGCACGAATGCTCTCAGCTTGCTTCTCAACACCACAAACGTGAATGAACTAACCAAGCAGCTCCACTCCTAATCATTGGCAACTGTCTCTCAAGCAGTTCATCTGGACAAAGCTGTACACGGGCATTATGAACAGCAGCTGGTGTGGGTGCTGCTGGTGGAAGCTTATCTCTTCTACCACATTCCCGCCTGCATTCAAGACCAGCTGCAGCTGTTCGCCCCAGTGCACCACGGAGAGCACTCAGCACCTCTACCCCTGCCTCATTCTGGAAGCCTCCATACACATCTCATCATGCTAGTGAAGGTCAGGTGTTCCTGTTCCCTGTGCAGGCCTGGCATTCCACCCCCCTCCCGCACCTTCCCGGCTGAAGGACATGGTGCTACCAGTGGGATCCCTGTGAACACGGCACGTGCTTTGTGTGTATACAAATGAGCCCTCGTTTCTGAGAGGAGTTTCAAAATGAAGCTACAGAGCAAGGGTGATGTGGGTGTTCCTCCCTTCCTCCCCTTCCCCTCCTCCTTCCCCCCTGTCCTGTCCAGCCTCACCTCCAGAACGCAGAGCAGCTCCTCCACATAGGCCCGCTCTGTGTCCAGGAGTTCGTTCATCACGTGTCTATGGACGGGCATGGAGAGCCACACGGGTTAGAGCAGGAGGGGCAGCAGGAATAACTGGGTCTCTGGTCTTATGTGTGGACCAAGAAACACAGTGGTATGATTAAGAGGACTTGCTCAGGGAAAGATAAAAGGGGAAGTGGAGTCCAAGAGTGCACACGCCCTGACCGCCCTTCCCATCTGCCCCTCGCCCCTCGGGACGGTGGCTGGCCAGCTCTACAACCTTCTAGAAGGGATCCAACTCACTCCAGCCTTCTGGCCCCATGTGCACACAGCCAGCCCTCCAGCTCCACCCGTGTACATGTGCATGAGGGTCAGTCAGCTCTCCCTCTGCGCGCATACGTGGGTCAGTCGCCTCTCTGCAGGCTCCTCTACCAGCAGACCCTGGCCCTCCCCACACTGAGTCTTCTGGCCTTCCCAGGCCAGCCACACCCAGTGTGGCTCCGCAGCTCGGCCTCAGTCCCACCCCTGGTCCTGCAGCACGCACTCCGCTCCTGCACGGGCCACCGTTGGGGATACAGATCCATCGGTCATTCAGACCTTCTTCCCACGTGGGCCTCCTGCGAGGCTCACAGTGGACCCGGATTAAATTCATGGCAGCAGGAGCAGGTGGGGCTCCTGGACTGGGGCTTGCATGGGTCAGTCTAACCATCAGCATGCACGGGGTGTCCAGGTCCTGGTGTGGACAAGGTGGACAGGGGTGGACGGTTCAGGGGCCTGCCCCTCCTGCCGCACCCCGGACAACCAGAAGGGAGGCCACCCTCTGAGCCACAGGATCCAGTCATCTGCTCTGCCAGGAAGCTTCCCCCACGCCCTCCCTCCTCCGCCTCTGCCTCCTCAGCTTCCTTCAGAAGCCAGAGGGTCAGGATCTGCTCATCAACAAACGGGGTTATTCTGACTCTAGAATTTGCTCTGTCCACAGACTCCTGCAGAGGCTCAGGGAATGGGGCTGCCTGTGCACCGGCTTGCTCAAATGCTTCCAAAACCTCTCACCAGCAGCCAGAGGGACCTACTTGCGTTCCCTTGGTAGAGGCCCTCAGAGAAAACATGAAGGACAGAAGCCATCCAGGGACCAACAGACACACATGTCAGCCATGGTGTCTGTCACACACACACACACACACACACACACATCATCCACATTGTCAACCACCTTGAGACATCCTCCCAGACTAGCGCAAGCCCCCCCATCCCCTGCTGCTCTGTTTTTTCCAGTTTGCACACCCTGAGCTTGGGTTGCCTGCCTGGATCAGCAAGGCCTTTCTTTCTCCCAGGTCAGGGGTCAAAGAAGGAGCTACTTTTCAGTTTGCATGAGGCTCCCTGAGTCTAAGGACCCAGCACTGCGGGGAAACCGAAGAGCTTAAGCAGACCCGACCAGCGACTCGGTAGCTGAGTCCCGCTGGCCATGTGAAACGGCATGCACTCAGTGACCTTCAGGTGCCCTTGTGAAGTGGGGGAGAGTGGCAGCCTGGGTAAGGGCCCTGGATCTGGCCAAGCCCAGCCGTGCAGAGAAGCGCATTGGCCCCTAAGGCGGTGTGCTCAGTCAGCTCGAGCCTCCTTCCTGCTCTGCCCGTCAGGATGGAAGTGCATGGCTCACCAATACCCAGATACTGTCAGCCAGAGCTGAGCGCAGCCTGGCCACTGGGGGGGGGGGGGGGGCAGGGGGAGGTAAGGGAGAGGGGATGGGGGAGGAGGACAGCCACACACCTGCGCAGGACGGCCAGGCTCTCATCCTCGTCCCCTGTGGAACTGGCCCGGCCTGGCTGGGTCTCACTCATTTCACTCTGAGAAGAGAACAGCAGTGCTAATTTTGAAATCGGGGAGAAGCAGCCTCAAAGGCCAGCTCTCCCCGCCAGACCCGGCCCCGTCCCCATCTGAGGGACAGTCTCCGAGGAAGGATGGACCCACAGGTCAGGAAGTGGCCACTCGGGGAGGGCTAAGAAGCCTTGGCTGTGCCACCCAGATGGACTACATGGCTCATGCTGCCCCTGCCTCACCTTGGCCCTCCGGTAGGGGCCCCTCCGGACCACACTGCCCTCAGAGCTCGTATTCTCGGATCCCCGCCAGGTGCCTGTGGTGGACAGTGGGGGAAGGAGGCATTAGCTCTTCCTGGAGGGGGAAACATGCCCAGCGGGGAAAAAAGGAAAAGGCCTGTGGATGAAAGGATGGGAATGGAGAAGGTGGATATGGGGCGTGAGGGGGGTGAGGGAGTGGAGGGATGGAGAGCTGCCCAAGAAAGCTAGGGACCACCCCACAGCCCCTGGGCGGGGCAGGATGGGCCTGAACGAAACAGTGCAGGCAGAGGGAGGGGCCAAGGCAAAAACTGGCTGGTGAGAGGGAGGGAATGGTGGGAACAGGGCAGGCAGGCGGGAAGGTCCCTGGGCGACTCCTGGGGGCTCCACATGGGTTAGGAAGCATTCTCCTCTCAACCCAACACGCAGGAAGGCAGAGCCTGGTTCTCCAGGCACTCAGTCCTTGTATTGGACATTTGCCAAGGCCCTGAGGCCCACAGGAGACCCTGCCCCATGCCCCCTCATCTCTGTCCCTGTGACAGAGCCAAGCAAGGAAGGAAAGGAAATGCTCTGACAGCAGGAGATGGAGTTTCAGGAGATGGAGCAGTGGCAGTGGAGGAGAGCTTCTGGGGAGAACCTGGCTGGGGAACAGGGCCGGGAAGGTCTGCAGCCAGTGGGGTCCCATGGCAGGGCCCAGGACATGGTGCCCTGGGTCGGGAATGGCCAGAGGGCTGGAGCAGTCAGAGCAGAGTGAGGGGGTGCTGCTTTGGTAACAGTGGGCAGTGGGTACTGGGCAGAAGGGAAGGGGAGACAACCCAAGGAACTTTCCTTGGTGGACCACCAGCATGCCCAGCTTTGTGGGACTCAGGCAGGGACGAAGCACTCTGTTATAGGTGCAGGCCTCGGATAAAGAGGCACAAAGCAGTTCTCTGGAGGCTTGTTGTTTCAAACAGGGTGGGGCCGGGCGCAGGTGGCTCAGGCTTGTCATCCTAGCACCTCAGGAGGCTGAGATCTGGGGATCTCCGTTCAAAGCCAGCCTGGGGAAGTACGTCCGAGAGAATCTTATCTCCAATAAACCACTCAGAAAACCGGAAGTGGTGATGTGGCTCAAGTGGTAGAGCACTGGCCTTGAGCTGAGGGACAGCACCCAGGCCCAGGGTTCAAGCCTCAGGACTGACAAAAAAATAAATAAAAAGGGTGGGGCTAAGACTGGATGAACCCTGGGCTGCAGACTGCTGGCCCCGGAGGAGGCCCAGGTGAGAAGAGGGGAAGGCCATGAGGGAGGAACACGCGAGGGGCTTCCTCGGCTGCCCCAGCTCAAGGACCCCCAGAGGGGTGAGGCGGCGGCACCCACCTGGGGAGGGACAGGGCGACTTGGTGAGTGCTTCCGGCCTGGGGGCCACAGGCTGCACAGGCCGCGTCTGCTTGGCCGCCAGCTTCTTTAGGCTGGCCTGTCTGCGGTGAAACATGTCCTGCATGCTCTCCTGCTTCTGAATGACCTTTTGCACGTGTTCCTGGAACGACACAGCTGCTGAGGCATCTTATAGAGGTGGGTGTCGGTCTTTAAACCAATCCTGAGGCAGGATGGGCCTCACTGTGCCCGGCCTCCCCACCCAAAGGCTCCCAGGCAGCGTCCATCTTGGGCCTGGGGCAGGGAGCAGCCATGGGAGGTGCAGAGCTCCCTCCTGCTGGCCTGGAGGGGGGCTGGGGCCGGCAGATGGAGGTGGGGAGTCCGGCTTTGGTGGACTACCAGAATCATGTGTGTGAATGCCACCCTTGGCACAAGGTGGCCACAGGGGGTGTCTGGAAGCTGTAGGAGACCCCTGTGCTGGTGGATGGGTGCAGCGGGGAGGCTTGGCCTCTGTCACCTTCCTCCTCTTCTGCACCCCCAGCATGCCCTGTCTGTGACCTTTCACTAAAGGATTCCTCCCGACACCCCGCAAGGTAACTCCCCGCCGCCAGGACTCTGGGCTTAAGAAGGGATGCTCGGGTCCAATTACCATTAGGTCCTGGTTGAGGATAGATTCATAGTCTTTGTAAATTTTATTGAGCTCTTGGATCTTATTTTCTGCACCAGTCTCTAGAAACTTCTCGATCTCCTGGAGAGCTGCCTCAGCACCGTCCTGGGACTGGCATTTATCCACGGGCTGCGAGGCCAGCAGGTAGATGCCTTCATCGCACCACTTCATGGACTGGGAACAAAGCATCACCATGAGGGTTTGCGCCTGGCCGTCTCCCCTGTGGCGCCCCACCCCCTGCGTCCCGTGTATCTGCTGATGGAGCTCAGCCATGGAGGCCGGAGGATACAAAGTCCAACAGACACCCCAGGCTGGACCTGCCCTGCAGGCGGGCAGGGCCCTGTGTGAGTGAACAGCAGACTGAGTTCCTGGGCCATGAGCCCTATGGGCTGGTACTGTGCAGACACCCCCAATGGTGAGGAAAGGAGGGGGTGCACCGAGTCTTCAAGCAATAACCAATCAGCCACAGTGAGGGCCAGAAGGGACTCAGGGGCAGATTCCTCTCATTAGTGGGGGGGGGGACAGGTGTGCAGTCAGTGGGTGGACAGGTGTGCGGCCAGCAGGTGGACATGTCTGAGGTCAGTGAGTGGACAGGTTTGCAGGCAGTAGGTGGGCAGATGTGCAGGCAGCAGGTGGATGGGTTTGCAGGCAGCAGGTGGACAGGTGCGGTCAGTGGGTGGAGAGGTATGCGGGGAGCAGGTGGACAGATGTGCAGGCAGCGGGTGGAGAGATGAGATCAGCAGGTGGAGAGGTGTGCGGGCAGCAGGTGGACAGGTATGCGGATAGCGGGTAGACACATGAGGTCAGTGGGTGAACAGGTGTGTGGGCAGCGGGCGGACAGATTTTGTGGGCAGTGGGTGGACAGGTGGGAGGTCAGCGGGTAGACAGGTGTGCGGGCAGGCCCCTACCATCTCCAGGAGGCTGTGCAGCTCCAGGGACTTGCTCAGCAGCTCTCTCCTCCTGCTGATCTCGGCGGCAAAGTGGTCGCAGAGGTGCTGAAGCTCCTGGCACTTGGGCTGAATGGAGTCCACGGCGTAGTGCTTGTTCTCAATGAGCTGCTGGCCCTCGAGGGACAGAGCTCGGGCCCTGTCCACAGCCACCTGCAAGACACAGCCACCCACAGAAAGGTCAGCACGGCTCGCTTTGGCCCAACCCTGAGGGATTCCTGTCCCAAAGCTGGGGCTACCAAATCCTGGAGCCACCTTACAGCCAAGGCCCCGGGCGGCCTGGCCTTGAGGAACACTGTTCTTGCAAATCAGTTGATACTTTACAGTGCATGGCAGAGTAGTTACGGACTGCAGGGCACGTGCCTGGGGTGTGCGTGGACCCGGGGGGGGGGGGCGCCTGCCTGCGACACACCTTGGCAGCCCTGGGGACCTCTGCTCAGGTGGCTGACAGCAGGGGGTACAGGCCCACCTGGTGATGGCTTGGCGCTGGCCCTCCACCCACAAACCCCTCTCACACTGGACTTCGCCTCGAAGCTGTCCAGGTCCTTCACCAGGTGGTGCACATGTGCCAGGCTGTTGCCAACGTCGGTGAAGGTGGCTATCTTCTGGGACACTGTGTCCAAGGCAGCTTTGACCTGCAGTGGAGGAAGGGCATCTCAGAACCTCCACGCCTGGCACAGGACGCCCAGGCCGAGTGCAGAGGAGGCAGCCTGCAAAGGGAAGAGGCGCTGGGGAGCACACTGGACCGAGAACCCAGGCATGGGCCTGGCCTCAGACCCCTGACGCCCACTCTTCTCTGTCCAGCCTGCCACTGTGCTGGAGGGACGTGGTGGGCCGCACCCAGGGCCGGCCGGTCCCCTCTGTTGGGGGCAGCAGAGGGCTCACTTCCTCTGGGATGGCAAAATCTCTCATGTCTCATAGTTCTGGTACCCAAAGGAAGACAAGTTTTCATCGTATAGATGTTGTGCTCGAAGTGAAATTATGCCAACATGGCCCTAAAGGCATGCAGAAGAATTAGATACAGATGCACGTCGTAGGCACTCAGTAATTGATGCTGTCCAGCTGGGAAGTATGGAATGGTATGCAAGACAACCACTGAAAGAGTAGCACAAAACCAAATTCCAATACCACAAATGAAATTCCAGAAAATGACTAGGCAACCACAGGAAAGCAGGAAAAAGGAAACAAAAAAAGCAGAAACATCACAAACAGAAAATAAAAAACTAGGAGACCATCTTAAGTCCTTATGGACCTGTAAGTGCTCTGACTGTGAGCCACGGAATCCACTAGAGCTCTGACTGAGCCACGGAACTCACCACTTCTCTGACTGCGAGCCACGGAATCCACCAGTAACCCCTGGCTATGAGCTACAGAATCCACTAGTGCTCTGACCGTGGACCACGGAATCCACCAGCACTCTAACTGTGAGCCATGGAATCCACCAGTGCTCTGTGAGCCACAGAATCCACCAGTGATCAGACTGTGAGCCATGAAACCCACCCAGTGCTCTGACTGTGAGCCACGGAATCCACCCAGTGCTCTGACTGTGAGCCATGGAATCCACCCAGTGCTCTGACTGTGAGCCATGGAATCCACCCAATGCTCTGACTGTGAGCCATGGAATCCACCCAGTGAAGGACAGCATTGCAGAGAGGACTGGAGAGCAGCGTGGCCAGCTGAGTGCACCTCGTTCAAGCAATAGTGCCCGCAGGTGGAAGGCAATGGATGAGAACACAGCCACTGGCAGGAGAGCAGGAGGGGTTGGGTGAACACTGAGGAAGACTCCGTAACACTGGGGGTCACAGAGACAAGCAGGGACACCATGTGACGGGGATCCTATGTGTGTGTGCCCAACAGAGCTTGGAAGCATGCACCCTGAGCCAGGCGAAGCGGGGAGAGAGAGACCAGCACATCTGCACTTTGACTTAGGGTCTCTGTGACTGTAGACCAATTACAGCCAAGATTCAGAGCTCAGTACCAGAACCCAGCCCAGTGTGACGGTGTTTTCAGAGGGCGTCATACACAGCAGAGCACCCTCCACCCCAGACCTGGGGAAATGTTCCCAGTCAGAATGCATCCTGGGGCATGAGATGAACCCCTGATTCAGAAATGAAACATGAGAACTGTATTTGTTCTCTGGTCACAGTGACTCCAGCCTGAAGTCAGGAATAGAAAGGTAACAAGAAAAATCTGTGGACACTTGGAAACCACACACATTACCGATCAAGAGGAAGTCCAGGGAAAATGAATTAAATGAAAATACAAGTATCAAAATTTTGATGATGCAGCTAAAGGAGTGGCATGAGGAAAATTCATAGCATTCCATATATATATGTGTGTGTATGCATGTGTATATATATATATATATACATATATATATACATATTTATATTATTAGGAAAGAAGAATTTTCTCTAGTAAATAATGTAAGCTCTGCCTCAAGAACCCAGGAAAACACTAAAACAAATCCAGAACAATAGAGAAAACCAGAAAGCAATCAAATTGAAAACAGACAGTGATCAGACAATCAACAAAGCAGAGTTGTTTCTCTGAAAAGAGGGGCAGTGATGGACCTCCAACCACAGAAGAGGAAGAGGGAAGTGGCAAATCACCAGTGTCCACAGTGGGACTAGGACTGTGACTGCAGAGCCTGCGGGGGAGAGAAAGGTGAAAGCCGGATCAGAAGGGAGTCTGGACACAGGACTCCCACGGCTTAGACAGAGGGAACCGGCTCTTCAAGACACACTGCCACCTCTTGCTCTGTGTGAAACAGGTAATTTCAGCAGCCCTAGAACTGATGGAGATGCTGGATTTGTACTTTAAAAAGCATCCCAGGACCAGCTGGATTTCCTGGAGTAGCCTACCAAGCGTTTGAAGAGGAAGCAGAACCACAGCATGCAACTTCCAGAAAGCGGGCACAGGGAACATCACTCATTTACTTTATGAAGCTAACATCACCAAAACCAGAAAAGGAAAGAAAACTACAGGCCAGCGTCCCTCCCTGAACACAGATGCAAAGACTGTTAACAAACCATTATCAAGTAGAATCGAGCAAGTTATTAAAATAACTAAACACCATGACCGAGTTATTTCAGAGACACACAGCTGGTCCAGACTGTGAGCACCATTCTGTATCACCTGCCACATGAGCAAATCCAAACGGGAAAACCACAGTTATACCAATCAATGCAGAAAAGGCATTTGCTGGAAATAAATGGCCTCTTAGGCTTTTAAAATCTCCCAGAGAAACAGGACTGGAGAAAAACTGAGGTTGATTAAAAAATAACACCTACCAAAACCCTGCAGCAGGGCTGGAGGGGTGGCTCAATAGTAGAGTGTCTGCCCAGCAAATAGGAGGCCCTGAATTCAAACACCAGTACTACCAAACAAACAAACAAATCCTCGTCGCACCCCTGCTGCCTGGTGGCCAGAGGCCTGAGCTCTCCCCTGAGAGGGGAGAACCCAGGATGCCCACCTGCCAGCACCTTGTTCAAATGGTGCAGCTGTCGCCAGGGTAATAAGGGAGAAGAGAAATAAATGGGAAGCCTATGGCCGAAGGGGAGAAATCAGCCCTTTTGTGCAAGGCTTGATCATCAGTGTGTAAAACCCCAACAGAATACTAGGATAAACGTGTTCAGTAAGGTTACAGAAGGCAGCATGAATATACAGGCATTAACTTATTTCTACATTTAGCAATGGATACATGGACACTAAAGTTACAAATACACCACTTCAATTTCTTTTTTAAAAATAGGATACTTAGCTGGGCATCAGTGGCTCACATCTACAATCCTAGCTATTCAGGAGGCTGAGATCTGAGGATCCAGATTTGAAGCCAGCCCAGACAGAAAAGTCTACAAGATTCATCTCTAAACAGCAAAAAGCTAGAAATGGAGCGGCTCAAATGGTAAAGGGCCAGCCTTGTACAAAACAAAGCCAGGTCAGAGTGTGAGATCCTGAGTTCAAGTCCAAGGCCTGGCACATACACAAAAAAATGGGATAAAGTAAATCAAACGCGACCTGCTGTAATCATCCACTGAAAACTACACAACACTGATTAAATAAATGTGTGGTGATCTATACAGGTGCTGGTCACGCCACATGAAATGGCAAATGTGTGGAGACCTGCACGGTGCCGGTCATGCCACAAGGACCGGCAAACATGTGATTCCATCTGCTCAGCGACCATCCAACACGGACACATGAACCAAATGTTTCCAGTAGCCCTGACCATGGTGTCCAGGGGACCCCGGAAAGACGCCAGTGTGGTTCAGTGGGCAGATGGTTGGGGGGGGATCTGCTGCACCACAGTCCCACTCACTGCCACCAGTGACCAATGCTGAGAGCCAGTCCCCCAGCTCACACGCTGTGCCCCACACACAGTGTTCTCAAAATGGCAGGAGGTAGTGACAGACAGTGATCTCCAAGAGCTAGGCGGCTGGCTGCTAAGGGCACCCAGCGGTCCCGGTGGGGTGGACGTCCATCCACAGCCACGACGGCAGACATGGTGTGGTGGCTGCTCTGTGGTTAGTGACCACCAGGGACCAGGGGACCTGGGGTCAGTCCTTACTCATGTGCGGGCATCTGTACTTGTCTGCGAGTTTCACCAAAGGGTGACCTGCTCCCAGCAGCCTTCCTCAGTCCCTAGCCACCCCCATGCAGGCATTTTGATGAGTGCCACACATAGATAGCATGGTGCACGGCCCCATATCCTCCACTCCTGCACCCCCCACTCACCTCCCGGAAACCCTGTTCAAAATGCCGCAGCTGTAGGCACTGCTCCAGCTTCTGCTGATGCTTGGCCCAGAACTCGTCGAAGGCAGCCTCGGTGTCATTCAGCTGTGCCAGGAGCCTGGGAGAGTCAGCAGTGAGTGGACAGCACCTGGGCAGGTCAGGCCCCCACGCCTGCCAGCACCTGGGTGGGGCAGGGCCCCTGGACAGATCTCCCAGCACCTGGGTGGGGCAGGGCTCAGCTCCACCAGCCCCCTAAGGACCCCATGCTTGGGGTGTGCAGGTGGGACCCATGGACCCTGGGATATGAAGGACAGGCACTTCTGACAAAACCCAGCCCTGTCCTCCCTTCCTGTCATGGGTGGAGCAGCCTCCATTCCTTCTTGAAGGTCGGCCAGGGCAAGCCCAGGCTCCTGTTCACAGCCCTGGGTCAGGGCAGAGCTGCGGCTGCCACGGGGAGGCCTGGATTCATGCTGGCCAGTACCGCCTCACCCCTGCTGCTCTGTTTACCCAGTGCCAGCACAGCTCCCAGACACCCCCACCCCCGGCACCCCACAGGCTGGGCTTGGGCGGGCTCCTTTTAGCAGACGAGGAAGACTTAGGGCCCTGGCTACGTCCCCACCATGGAGCAGGCAGACCTCCTCGTGGGCCAGGATGGGCACTACTTAACCACATGCCCGCTCTGTGCCCCTGGCACGCACGCCCCACTCCCATGCTCCCGGGACAGCACGCCTGCCTTATGTGTGGCCAGGCAGGAGAAGTCCACCAAACAGCCGGGCAAGCAGGCCTGGCCAGCCACTGAGCCACTGGGCAAGGCTCCGCGTAGGCGCCATGAGCCTGTCCCCTTGTGTGGGAGCAGGGACAGTGCCCACCTGTCCTGGAGGGTGAGGGTAGGACGCCCCCAAGTCCCGGGCACCTGCTGACCCTAAGTGTGCAGTGCTTTGTCCTATGCTCTGCAGTGAGGGTGGAGACTCAAGAGAGACTGGTACCAGCTCCACCTGTACAACCACAGTCCAACCTGCACCCCCAAACCAGGCTGGAGCCACAGGCTCCTGACTGCTTTCCTGCTCACTCGGCCTGCAGGAGCTCCACGGCCTGCAGTGCCTTTCCATCCCTACCCGGCCGGACATCTCAGCCTGGAGGCTGTGCACTGGGGACCCTGCTCTGCACTCAGAGGAGCCACCATGGTGCCCCTGCTGCACTGGCTGCCACTCCCTTGCCTGAGAGCCTCTGGGGTGCATGGGCAGCAGGACCGGGCCTCACCTCTGCACTGTGGCCTGGCTGTCCAGCTGGTCCTGGTTCACGCTGAGCACCGTGCTCTCAGCCAGCGGCTCCCTGAGGCTCGCCAGGATGTTATTCCCCTCCTTCAGCGCCAGCTGCAGGTCCTCCTGCAGAGACAACACAGTCTTGTACCTCAGCCCGAGGCGGGTGGCCCGCAGCAGCTCCCAGTCCAGGCTCCCAGCGGTCTGGCGTGCCCGGATGCATTGTACGTGATGGGTGCAAAACCATCTCTCCATCATGAGCCTGCTTGCACTTAGACGTGGTGAGGAGAGCAGCTGTCAGGTGCTCGCTCCTGGTGGTGGGGCAGAGCTAGGGTTACCGTCGCCTAGGGCGCAGGATTAGGTAAAAAGGAAACCAGAAACCAGCTCTTCTCCTGCCCACCTGCAGCCAGCCTTGCCTCACGGGGGCGAGGGGGGGGGCACTGGCAGAGGCTGGGCACAGTCCTCAGAGGCCTGGCCAGTGCCAGCCATCTGGACACCCCCTCTTCAAAGCCAGCCACCTTGCTGACCAGCAACGCGAGCGACTCGGCCTGTACCCGGGAAAGTGAGCATGAGAGGATTAAACAGGAAGTTCAGCCTCGCCTGTCATGATCACTGGCGAGAGAACCTGGCCGCCTACACCACAGCTGCCAGGGCGCCACCCGGTCTCAGGGCGAGCCACGCCGCGCCGCCCTGGCTCAATGCAGGCCCCGAGGTCTCAGAGCCGCTCTGCACCGGGGCCGTACTAGCCACCCGCAGATGTGCACTGTGTTTTACGGGGTTCAGAGCTGGCTCTCACGGTGTGAGAAGGCAGATCCGAAATGCCCACGTCCCTAGGCTGGTCCAACACTGTGCTCAGTTGCCGGTCCCTCCCGCCCCACCCCACCCCCATCTGGCACCGGCAGGCGGGGGCCCGCTGTACCCCCAGGAACCAGCACTTACCTTCGCTTTGCCCTTCTTCTCCGTGTGGGCACGCAGCACCGCCCCGGTCGACTGCACATCATTGGGCAGCTCGGTCTCGGCCAGCTCAGTCCCGAAGGTCTGCAGCATCTGCGCCGTCCGCTTCACCATGAGGGCGAAGCTTTCGATGGCCTTGGGAGGAGCAGAGCCGGGTCAGAGTCTGCTCACCCCGCCGCCGCCGCCACCCTGAAAACCTCCACCACCGTGACAGTCCTCAGAAAGGGGAGCCACAAGCAAGGCAGCACATATGCGTGCAGGGAGCACCAGCAGGGCAGCGCACACACGTGTGCAAGGAAATGCCTTCTTATGACCGTGGACTCACACCTCGTCAGGAATGTACCATCAGATTTACAAATCTCCCCAGCATGGGAGTTATTCTGTCTGTCTGTCTGTCTGCCTGTGTCCCTCCTTGTTAAGGAAGTGCCGGCCAGAACAACACAGTTTTGTCTCCAAGGACAAGACAAAGCCACGCCCAAACTTATGACTATTTCTTCCGGCTATTTCTTTACACTGACTAAGGTCTACTGAGACCATCACCTCATCGCGGGGAGGAAACCCCAGCGAATCGAGCAAGCTTTCCGAGCAGGCAATGGCCTGCTGGGCTAACAATGCCCCAGCCAGGGCACAGCACAGAGACCAAGGCACTCACCGTGCGGTGGTACAGCCACCTGGAGTGGCAGTAGGACAGGGTCCCCCCGAGGTCCTCAGTCAGCTGGGACTTATCGATGTAGCCATGCAGCTCTGGTACTGAGCTTAGCATTATGACCTGAGGGGACAGGACCGGCATCAGCACAACCAGGGAGTGGGAAGGCTGTGTCCTGAGGGACTGGACACCAAGGGACGGTGGATGGCATGGCTGGTGACACCACCATGGCCCTGCCCCTCCGGGCTGGCTGACCTGAGGACTGGCTTGTTCTCTCCACAACCCGGCTCTCTTGATGGTACACTGGGCACACATGGTAGCACAGGCCTCACCAGGCATAGCTGAGGGTCGATGCTGGCCCGAGGGCATACAGGGAAGCCAGGGCAGAGAGCCTGGCCGGCAGGGATGCCCCAGTGGGTACATGCACCCCTCTCAGGAGGGGAGCTCTGATGCAAAATGCACAGCGCGGCCTGGGCAGAAGACAGCGCTGTTACAGCCTCTGCAGGGAATGGTGCATCCTCTTCACAGGAAGTCGCTCTTAGCAGCCACAAAGCCAGGCCCCTGTGTTTGTTGCAACCAGTACTTCCTGAAAGGTGTACTCGGGACCGTCAGGGCAGGGCCACGCCAGCTCCTCCCACACTGCACCTTCTCCGCTCTGCATTTCTCCTGCCCTTTGTGAAGCCAGGATGCCACTGAGCTTTAGGGGAAGTATGGACAGCTTTGAAAGCTATCAGGTCCTGAGGGCCCCAGGCCAGACCCGTGCTACTTGATAGCAGCCATGTATTATTGAGCACTGTGTTAGAGCAGGGATTCCCACAAGGACAACTCTGCCTGGGAGACGTCTGCCGGTGCCTGGAGACAAGCTGGCTGTGGCTCCAGGGAAGGCTCCCGTGGCTTTCCCACGTGGGTGGCCACACAGCAAGGAATCACTCAGCAGTACCTGTAAGCAGGCTGATGCCGAGAGCCAGAGTGGAGCACGCTGTCCGCTCTAATGTTAGATTGCCAGGCAAAGGTGGCTCATGCCTGTCATCGTAGCTACGCAGGAGGCTGAGATCTGAAGATGATGATTTGAAGCCAGCCTGGGCAGCAAAGTCCATCTCCAAGTAACCAGCAGAAAGCCAGAAGTAGAGTAGTGGCTCAAATGCTTTGAGCAATAGAAGCTCGGGGACAGTGACCTAGCCCTGAATTCAAGCCTCAGGACTGACACAAGCACAGACACAAAAGCCAGATTCTCACTGCAACTTGAAACAGTCATAGGGCTGATTCCACTCCTTGTTCATCAAATAAAATATAATATGTGCTAAGCACCAGTGGCTCACACCTGTAATCCTAGCTACTCAGGAAGCTGAGATCTGAGGATGGCGGTTGAAAGCCAGCCCAAGCTGGAAAGTCCTTGAGACTCTAATCCCCAATTAACCACTCAGAAAACCAGAAGTGGTGCTGTGGCTCAAGTGGTAGGGCACTTGCCTCGAGCTAAAGAGCTGAGGGACAGCCCCCAGGCCCAGAGTTCAAGCCCCATGACTGACAATAATAGTAATAATAATAATAATTATTATTATTATAATTATAAGGGGTTGGGAAGGTGGCTCAGTGGTAGAGCGCTTGCCTTGCATGCATGAGGCCCTGGGTTTAATTCCTCAGCACCACATAAGCAAAAAGAAAAAAGCCAGAAGTGGTGCTATGGCTCAAGTGGTAGAGCGCTAGCCTTGAGCTGAAGAGCTGAGGGACAGCGCCCAGGCCCAGAATTCAGGCCCCACGACCGAACCCCCCTCCAAAAAATAATAAATTTGCAAGCTTCCAGAGGTTTTGGGCTGAGCAATCCAAGCAAGTGGTCACTTCCCTCGGCGCCCCATGCCTCAGTGTCGGCTGCCAGGGCTACGCACGTGCCCCCGGCTGTTCTCCCCAGCACCGAGGCTGCACACAGCATCTGAGAAAGACACTGACACCGTTTAACAGCACGTTCCTCTGTAATTCTAGAACGACCTGATGTGGTCTGGGAGAACGTGTCCTCACTGAGCTGCTCAGAGAGGGCCTCTGTTTGTCTGGGCAGGGGACGGCAGCGTGGGAGGGGGTGGCAGCAGCTTTGTGAAGGTCAGAGGCTGTGGCCAGATTCTGAGAGCAGCCACAGCCTGGAGGGTGGTGGTTGCTTCCAGAAGTTTTGATTTCCAGAAGCCATCTGGGTAGCACGGGTGGTAATTCCAAGGGGCCGGGTGTGGTCCCTGTTCCCCTCCTCTTCATGAGGAGGAAATGAACTCATGGTAGCTTGCCCTGAGTCCAGGAGAGCTGTCACACGGGCTAAAGGCCAGGCTGTGCGGTCTCTGGATTGCATAGGCTTCCAGGACTTTAAAAAGCCTCCGATTTTAAAGCACACAGAGCTAAGCTACACAGGCAGGGACAGGCTGCCCTGTGCTGGCTGAAGTCACAGGGAGGAGTTAGGGCTCTCTGGGCTGTTCCAGGCCCCTGTCCATCCATGACCGGGGTGACCGGGGGCTCCCTCCATGGCCTGGGGCTGCCCATGCCCTCCTCCCACACCTTCCTTTTTCTGTGGGGCTCTGGCAAGGCCGAGGCTTGGAGCAAAAATGCCCTGTGACTCTAGGGCTGCTACACAGGGCCCAGCCCTGGGCCACCATGCAGCCTGGGATGAGGCGGGGTGGGGAGGTGGGGCACGGAGCCGTGAGGAGGCTCATCCTCCCACGAGGCCTGGGGGTTTGCTCTGTGGCGGAGGCACGGGGATTACTTAGAGAATTCTGATAGTCACAGTGGGCCAAAAATGCAGTCAGGTTCAGTCCCGCCGCGGGCGCGGTAGGAGGCACACTCACCGGAACCTTCATCTTAAAGTCATCTCTATTGAACTTGAAGGCAATGTCTGACAGAGTCCTCTGGAAAAATCCCGTGGGCCGGAGAACCAGGACCAGCTGCAGGTTTGCTGGGAACGCTGCCTGTGAGAAAGAAGAGCCTGTGGCACACACATCCCAGCCTGAGGACGCAGAGCTGCACCGCCGCACTGCTGCACCGCTGCTTTGTAAAAAGCTGTCATGGGTTAGAAGACAACCCTCATTTGGAGGGGTGTCTTCTCTTGGGTCAGTAACCAGGCACATGAGGTCATGGGGCGGACCCTGGCCCTGACCCAGGGCGGGCTGTACCAGAAGGAAGCCTGGATGCACACATGCACTTGGAAGCACGTGTGCGAAGCCACGCACACACAGGGGGCTGTTTCCACAAGCAGAGCAATACCCCAGGTTCTTGGCCATCAGCCTCCGAAGCCCAGCCTCGGCCCTCTGCCCCCAAGAACTCGCAGGAGAACGGATTTTTTGCTGTTTAAGCCGCCATGTCTGGGGTACTCTGACACTAACAGACTTGTGAAACAACCACAAAAAAGCTAAACAGCCATCTCTGTGGTGTCTGAAAAGCAAGCCAAGCCGCCCGCAGCGCCACCCTTGGCCCTTGAGTAGCCACACGCGCGTTTGGTCACTGCTCGACCTACTTAGAAGGCGTGTGACCCTAGGTTACCTGACTCCTATGTGCCTCAGTTTCTCCATCTTCAAAATGGAGACCAAGCTGAACCTGTGTTCCCCCTGTCTGGAAAAGAAGGAGTGCCTCCAGGCACGCTTGGTGTCTAGTGTGGACCTGGGGCAGCCCCATAGGGTGGTACTCATGGGGCTGCTCCAAAGCCCAGCCACACTCAGCTGGTGGGGTCCAGGGAGACCCAGACCCCGAGACAGACCTGAGTCTGACTTCTGTATCATCAGGTGAAAAGCTCCTAAATAGGAGAGACAAGACAGTGGCCGAGCCCTGACGCCGGATCAGATGTGACAGCTAAGGGCCAAGCAGGCATGTGACTGGTAGCCGGCTGCTCTCAGGGCAGTGGATGCTAACCTGCAGCTGACCTAAATCCTAGGCAGAGGACACAGACCTGCAGCTGACCTGTGGCTGACCTGCTCTCAGCAGTTGACTGCCAGGAAGACAGCTGACCCATCCGCAACTCAAGCCAAACTCAAGGGCAGTAGACAGCGGCCTAGCCTGGATGGATGACCTCCCACCAGGGCAGTGGACACTGGCTTTGCTCTAGAAGGGGACAGTGCTGCATCAGTGCCCATAAGACCTTCAACATGGCATGGGCAGTGGTGCTGGGTGGGGCTTTTCCTGGTTAGGGAAGGAGAGAGCTGGGAGCTATACTGGCCCCTCTAGGCAGGCTGCGTCCTCCAGCTCATCTGCTCCATCCACAGACCCAGAGGCTGTGCTGAAGTGACCCAGGGACCCCTAGACCCCAGAGAGAGACCCAGCCCACACTCACGCCTATCTCCACCTGCAGGGATACCCACGTCTATGACCAGGATGCCCTGGGGGAGAACAGGAGGAAGTGCCACCAGTGACCACACCTGTACTGGTAGCTAGTGCACCTGGTGCCCAGTGCCCACGATGCCTGGTGCCCACGATGCCCAGCACACACAATGCCCGATGCACACGATGCTAGTGTACCCACTGTCCAGTGTACCACTGTCTAGTGTACCCTGTCCGGTGTACCTGCTGTCCAGTGTACTGCTGTCCAGTGTGCCCTGTCTGGTTTACCCTCTGTCCGGTGTACTGCTGTCCAGTGTACCTGCTGCTCAATGTACCCTCTGTCCAGTGTTACCTGCTGTCCAGTGTACCCTGCTGTCCAGTGTAACACTGTCCAGTGTACTGCTGTGTAGTGTACCCTCTGTCCGGTATACCACTGTCTGGTGTACCCTCTGTCCAGTGTATCACTGTCTGGTGTACTGCTGTCCAGTGTACCCTCTGTCCAGTGTACCCTCTGTCCAGTGTACCCTCTGTCCAGTGTACCATTGTCCAGTGTACTACTGCCCAGTGTACCCTCTGTCCAGTGTACTGCTGTCTGGTATACCCTGTCTGGTATACTGCTGTCCAGTTTATCCTCTGTCCAGTGTACAGCTGTTTGGTATACCAACTGTCCACTGTACCCACTGTCCAATGTGCCCATTGTCCGGTGTACCGCTGTCCAGGGCACCCACTGTCCAGTGTATTGTTTTCCAGTGTACCACTGTCCAGTGTACCCGCTGTCTGGTGTACTGCTGTCCAGTGTACTGCTGTCGAGTGTACCTGCTGTCGGGTGTACCGCTGACAAGTGTACCACTGTCAGTGTACCCACCATCCAGTGTACCACTGTCCAGTGTACTGTTGTCCAGTATACACACTGTCCAGTGTACCCTCTGTCCAGTGTACCCTCTGTCCAGTGTACCCTCTGTCCAGTGTACCACTGTGCAGTGTACCCGCTGACTCGCAGGTGGTGGCTCCTCGGTCGGGAGAACGCAGCCTTGCTGAGTTGGAGGCTGAGGACACTTCCACACCGGCCTCTGTGACCCTACTGAAGGAAACCGCCCTTCCGGCAGCCTTCCGGGAAGCTGCAGCCCACCCGGCTCTCCTCAGCTCTGACTGGGCTGGCCACAATTTAAAACCCTCCTCAAGCCCCAGTCACTTTTCTTAAGGTTCAAAGCCACACCCACGGGCCCGCCATCTAGTTAATATTTTAACGTTGTCTATTTAATATTAAATACAGCAGCCAGGACCTGACCAATCACTTTTGTCTGAAAGTAGCCAATGGCGAACAAAATTTCATTTGAAAGTTGAGTCTGAGTGTGAAGACAGAGACCACCTCTGGGTCTGAATGGGAGACGCTGGCCGGCAGTGCCTACGCTGGGTGGGCCTGTTGCAGCTCTCCTGTTGCAGCAAGGAGGCTGAGAAGCATTGTCAGTGGGCCGGCACGGCCACAAGGGCATAGGACGAAGCCCCAGGAAGACCCCCAACGTGAATTTCTCACCCTATGGCCCGGGGGAAGTGGCCATCGCGCTCTCCATTGGAACCACGGGGCAGAAGAGTGTGGGGAGCAGGCCTACGGGGTCCTGACACACTGAAAATGAGGAGGAGGAGAGGCGCCCTCTAGAGGAGAGTCTGGGGATTGGGCCCGGGCCCAGGCTCCCTGAAGGTCAGCTCCCTGCCCTTCTGAGGATCCCCTCTTCAGGGAGGGCTGTGGTACCACCACCCTGTCCCAGTGGCCTGTGCTCAACAGGACCACTTGGGGTCGCTCACTGGCAACCCTCTCTGGCTGGTGCCTATGCCTTGTGCTCCGGGAAAAACCCATTCCCTCTGCCTGGAGCCTGCCCTTTCTGCCCGGCTTCCAGTCTGCTGAGAAGCCTTCCAGAGTTGGCTCTCATGCCACAGCTACCAGCTGCTCCACCCCTGCTGCCATCTCAGCCTTGGAGCACTGTACCCGGTCCTCAGGCAGGAGACCAGCCATGGCGTTCACCACAGTGGTGCTCTGCTCACTATGCTCTGCTCTGCTCCAGCCTGTGTCTCTCTGCACATGGACCGCACTGGCCCGAGAGTAAAGTGGAGTCCAGCCCCAGCCCACAAGACAGTACTTTACATTCGATTTCCTGGAGCTGAAGATTCTAGAGCACAGATGGAGTTGGGTGTAGGCTTCTCCAGTCAAAATGTGAATGTGAACACAGCCGGTAGAACGGGAGAGGTCACAACGCAAATACCATGGAGCAGGGGCAGCGGACAACAGGCACTCCGGTGTCCCATGGGGACAGCCCTGCAGGGGCATGCGAGCTCCAAGCCCGCTCCTGGAGGAGGGAGGCACCTCGTTCTCAGCTCCGGGCCTTGTCACCTCCACCTGTGCCCTTGGTTCAGACCAGGCACACACCTCATCTTCCACCCACAGTCAGACCAGGAATGGGCTCCGTTCCTGGCGGCCCACAGGGCTGACTTGGGGAACACTGGGTCTCGGCTCCGCCCATGTTTTACTTTTCTATTCCAAGCCAAGCTGAAGACATCCGTAGAGAAAAGAGCACGAGGTGGGATGTGTGCGGCTAAGAATAGTGGGAATCTTAAGAATTACGTCAGTGCAGCTCACTGAAGACCTGTGTGTCAGGAGGCTGGGGGACCCCCAGACGCTTCCTGGAGACCAGAGGACCCCTACACCTCCCTGGGGACCCGAGAACCCCCAGGCCCTCCCTGGGGGCCAGGAGACCCCCAATTCTGTGGCTTCCAGGTCCGTGCCTTGGGACAGCCTTCCATGGAGGGCATCTGTGTGGGAGTCCTTAGGGCCTGAGCGTGAAGCTGACAAGCCAGGGTGGCTATTCCTTTATACCCCGCTGGGAGCCTCGGGTGTGCACCAAGGAACGGCTGGCCCTCTGAGGGAAATGTGGCTGTCCAGTCCCCTGCGATCACACACAGATGTTCTCTACATTGCACGTGAAAATTATCTGGGTAGAAACACTGATATGTGTGTGTGTGTGTGTGTGTGTATGTGTACGTGCACTAGAAGAGACTGACTGGACGGACTGCAGGGCCAGGCGTGTGGTCCTGTGGGCGGCGGCCATGTGGTGGCTAGACCTGCCTTTTGTGAGCCCATCAAGCGCTGGGAGGCGTTCGGATGGATGAGGCCTGGGAGCGCTTGGTGGGGGCTGCGGAGGGGGCACCCCCACAGAACCGCACAGAGGGGCAGGGCCAAGCCCCGCAGGTGGGCTGGGAGTGTCAGAGCAGACGTGCAGCCCTTCATTCTCCTTCAGGATGAGACCAGGAGCCTGCAGAGCAGGACCTGAGCCTCCGAGCGGCTGGGACCTGAGGATGGCTGGGGTGATGGGGAGGCCCCTGAGACGGGGCGTCTGGCGGGCAGAGAACTGTGACGCACCCGCCTCTGCTGTGGATAACGCAACGCTGGGTCCTTGGCAGCTGCAAGGCCGCGGCTGGCAGGCGGGAGAGGGGGTGTGGAGAGCTCAGCTCACAAGAAGCGCACCATGTAGTTGTGGGTGGGAGGGGAGAGACTTCCGAAAATAAGATTTCTGCCAGCTCCTTCTCGCTCCTCTGAAATGATTACTGCAGGCTAAAAACAGCAGCCCCGGGGGCTTGCCCACCCTACCGCAGCCCCAGGGCCCAGGGTGCACAGGGGGGGGGGGTCTCTAAGGAAGGCCCGGGCATCTGCTCGCAAATCTAAAGACAAAGTAGCCCGAACGAATGTGGAAAGGAAAGGGTCACTTAGAAAGAGCTGTCCAGTAATTTCCATCTCCAGCCTGAAGACTAACACACAGTGTCTGCTCAGAACTTTTATGCTCCATTTAAGAGAGGACACAAATTAGAACAGACTCTTTGAGAGTACCCACATGAGAACACACCATGCACACACACATGCACACTCACACGCACTCGTGTGCACACACACATGCACGTATGCACACATGGCCAGCAGCTCAGAGCCCTTGTGGGTTCAGGGCTCGGCCCATTCTGAGCTGGACCCCAGCTGGTCACCTCCAGGCAATACCTCCCTGCCCAGCAGAAACAGCAGGACACAAACTGCAGGGCCTAGGGGAGAGGAGCCAGCACTCGCCACTGCCAGGACTGGGAGGCACTTACGGCTATGCGAAGGACCGACGCCTTCACGGAAGTCCATTTGTCCTGCCTTCGGTCTATGACCAGGATGAATCCGATCCCAGCATCTTGCAAGCTGAAATGAAGAGAAAGGCTGCCGTCAGCTCAGGAAGCCAGGCTTCCACGTTACAGCGCGATCCTGCAAGCCCACGCCATCCCGCACTGCAAATCAGAATGCACGCCAGGGAGGGGCCTCGGCGGACGGCAGCGTGGCCAGGGCCCTGGGCAGCCCCATCGCAAGGCTGCCACGACTCACTCTTGGCTAAAGGAGGGCAGGGATGGGCGTGTTGTTCCTGCTCAGCCTGCCACCAGCCACATCAAGTCCCCAGTCAGGCAGGCCCATCATTCCAGTCACATGGCGGGGGGGGGGGGGTAAGGGAGTGGGGTAGTATATTCCACGATTTCCCTTTCCTTCGTGGTCAGCTGACTAAGCCCTCCGAAACAATCCTAGGACCCACACATCACGCAAGTCCCAGCATCTGTGCTCTCCCTCCCCGTTCAGCTGCATCAAAAAATCGCTTCCGGTGGCATTGCTACAACTTGGGAAGAAAATCTCCAAGGCATCTTCAGGCTCCCGAGCCTCCGTGGGGAGTGGGACATGAGCGCTTCTTGGCAGCAGCGACGTTGATGGCAGAGCCAGGCCAGCATCTCGCCGTTGTGTAACCTCCTCTCCCTCCGCTTCGCAGCTCAGCCCCAGCCTGAGTCACAGGGTGGGAGAGGGAAGTGTGCATCCCGCTGGGGAGTTTCACATCCAAGCCAATCATGTGGTGCCAGCAGCTGCCACCACCAGCCAATCACCATCGGAGGGAGGCGGACCGGCCAGCAGAAGCCCTGGCTCTAAACCTGAGAAAGTGCCCAAGTGAGCCGTTTCTGGGTTAAGGAGAAGTCAGGATTCTACGGACGTCATCATTTGTGCAGTCTGTGAGGCTGTGACTTTATAACGAGGATCCTCTGGTTTAACAGCAGGGGCGCTCAGAGCACACTCAGCAATGACACGTTACACCACACACCGGAGAATGGAGGATTTCACGTGTGGACGGTAAGTTGGCTCAAGAACAGCAAACATACTTCCAGGTAAATGCACACATAAATCTGAGCTTTTACTCCAAATAGCCTCCTGCCTCCGACTGCTCAGCAGGACTGCAGATCTGCTTTGTCCAGCTGAGCTGCTCTGAAGAGAGGCAGACACAGAAGAGCACTGTCCCCTGCTCTGGGCTGCACTGCAGGAGCCCTGAGCCCAGAGCATGGAGCCCTGAGGTGCAAGGGCCCTTTCTCAGTGGCCTCATGAGAGACTTGACTACTTTTGTGAGCGACTCTCACCCTGCTGTCTTGGCCTGGGTCATGTGGTTCATGGCTCAGTGCAAGGTGGACAAGGCCACCGGATCGCTGCGTCTATGTGGACCGCAAACCCTGTAGAGGCAGAAGCCTCCAAACGCACTCTGCAGCGTCAGACCTGATCTCCAGATACACAGCCTACAACTGCGATGTCCTGGAGCCTCTGGAGACTGCGGCCAGCAGGACCCCAGCCCCTCCCTCGTGCCCGCCGCCCCCTTTGGAACCCCCCGCCATACAGCACTGAAGGAGGTACACCGGGATGCCTTTGGGGGACTTGGTCAGGAAGGCAAGCCCCGTCTCTCCCTATAGTGACAGAGGAGAGGCCCAGAAAGACTGGCTGGCATTATACATGCTTCAGACCAATGGGCCCAGTAGTAAATTTTCAGTACAAAATTTGTGCTCTAGCCAGGTGCCGGTGGCTCACACCTGTCATCCTAGCTACCCAAGAGGCTGAGATCTGAGGATTGTGGTTCAAAGCCAGCCCAAGCAGTAATGTCTGCGAGACTATTATCACCAATTAACCACCAGCAAACTGGAAGTGGCGCTGTGGCTCAAAGTGGTAGAACAAAAAAGCTCAGGGACAGCACCCAGACCCTGAGTTCATGCCCCAAGACCACCACCACCACCACCACCAAAAAACTTGTGCTCTTGAGAAATGCCCTCAAAGGCCCCCCGTGAGGTCTGCTAAAAGCCACCCTACCCCCATGAGGACAGGATGGACGGGCAGACACCCGCTCCCTGCGGGACACAGGCCCTCAGAGGCTGCCCTGCAGGGACACAGCCCAGAACTGCCTCTGCTTCCCCCTCTTCACACACTGGAATAACCACACAGCTATGTTCTGCTCCACGGTGAACGCTCACTTATGCCGCCAAGGTTCCATGAGCCGCACAGCCTGGCTGTGATGATGGCGGGTCACAGCCTCACCCCCACTCTGTCTGCATCCCCCACAAATCTCTTCTCTGCCCACAGGTGTAGACGCGAGGCCCAGGCTGATTAGCTGAAGGAACAGTTTGAAACAAAATCACAGGTGAGGCTCTGGAGCAGGGCAGAGGCACGGGGCAGGTTTAGTCTCTGAAGGGCAGTCTGACAAATCATGCCCTCTTGTGGTGAGCATGCAAAACCACAGGCCATAGGCAGGGTTGGCAGCCGGGCGTTATCTCTGATGCCAGGCCCCCAGCCTGCCAGGCATTGCTGCCTACTACACAGACGGGGCAGTGTGCAGGCATAGTGCACACAGGGCGTGGCTGAGTCCTGAGCAGGTCCCAGGGCTGAGGGGCCATCTTCTTGGGTGCCTGTTTTCTCCTGGGCCTCTGGCTGGCTCTGGGGGGGAGGAGGGCTAGGAATCTCCACATGGGGTGACCATCAGGCAAGGGTCCAAGAGGTGGAAGGAGCAGGATGAAGGCTATTGGAGACCTCTGGGGCACACCAGGCTGGGGAGGGGGGGTCTCCTCAGGTGGGAGGGGTGGGGGGAGAAGAACTTACTCATACTGAGCTCTGGGCAGACATCTCCCAGGCTCCCCTCTGCAGGTACTGCCCCAGTCACTGCCAGGATCTCCAATTTGGGGTGTCAGGTAGGGGTTAGAGTCCCAGAGTGTGTGTGCGTGTGCATGTGCATGCATGTGCTCAGGTATGTGTGTGAATGTGTGCATATATATGAACATGTGTGTGTGCATTGTGTTCATGTATGTATGTGAGCGTGTGTGCTTATGCATGTGTATGAGTGAGCATGTATGCATGTGTTCATGCATGTATGTATATGAACGTGCATGTGCATGTGGGTATCCATGCATGTGTGCATGTGTACATTTACATATGTGTATGAATGTGAGCGTGCATGTGCGCGTGTTCGTGTATGTATATGGGCATGCATGTGGGCATTCATGCATTGTGCATGTGTGTACATTCATGCTTGTATGTGTATGAGTATGTATGTGTGCATGCATATGTGCATGCATGTGTGTGGAGGGTGCAGAGGTCCTCAGACACCACACAGGCATGAAATATCACCTCATCCCTCCTTGGGGACAAAGGGAGGAGGAAGAGAATTTCCCAGGAAGGAGATCAAATGAAACCCTCAGCCCCAGGGCAGGACTGGGCTCAGTTCCCCTCCCCTGTAACTTTAGAGGAGAGCAGGGAATTAAGAGACCTTGCTGCTTGAACTGGCCAGAGAGACACGCACCCCGCCAGATACAGCCCTGGCTGTGGGTGGACAGGGAGTAGGTGGACGGGCAGGCAGTGGCTCAGCCGGCCTGGTTCCCTTGACCTCTAGCCGACCACCTCCCCCACCCCCGCCTGGCCAAAGCCCCTAGGAGCAATGTGCTCTGTCCCCTCCTGAGGCTTGACAGGCTCCACCTGCCCAGGTCACAAGACCAGCTGCTCATGAGCTTGGGTGAAGAAACCAACAGACAGGGGATGCCCCGCCTCCCCTGCCCCACCTAGAGGCCACAGCTGCAGAGGCCTGGAGCCAGGCCTGCTCTGTAGCTCTGAAGCCCTAGGTGAAGTTTGCTCTGCCTCACCCAGCAGCTCCTCCAAGGGTTTGCAGAACCTCACCCCAGGGCCTCCGCCCCAGTGACTGCTCTGCATCTGCAAGGTCAAGCTCAAGCTCCAGATGCCCTCTGTTCCTCATCCAGTATACCCCTGGGGGAGGAGGGGTGGCTAGCCCCGGTGGGTTGGCTGGGTAACATGGCAAGCTGGGTGCTGTAACAGGGCTGGGAGGAAAAGGTGCCTGAGCTGCAGCCTCTACATCCTAGGAAGACCTGAGCTGCGACCCCTATCTCCTAAGAAAACCTGAGCTGCGGCCCCTACCTCCTAGGGTGCCTGAGCCGCTGTCTGTTCCTCCGAGGGTACCCAAGCTGCGGCCTCTACTTCGAGGTACTTCCTCACAACTAAAGGCGATACGCCTTCGGCAGGGCCAGCACCCTGGACAGTCTCTGGTCTTGGCTTTGTATGAAGAATGTGGGGCTGTTGCTGTGGCATGTCACAAACCGCGATGGCCACAGGGCAGCCCTGGTCATGTGTGGACAGAGGAATTTCAACTGCACCGTTCACCCTCGAGGTTAGTAGGTATCAGGATGCATGGAGGTGACAGGAGATGATGGGAACAATGGATGAGGAGGTGACAGGGGAGGGGAGGTGACACAGGACGAGGAGGTGATGGGGATGAGGAGGAGATGGGGGTGGGGAGGTGACGGGGGCGGGGGGGAGAAACAGGGAGGTGACGGGGAGGTGACAGGGGATGGAGTGGGGAGGTGATGGAGGTGGGGAGGTGATGGGGGTGGGGAGGTGATGGGGGTGGGGAGGTGATGGGGATGGGGAGGTGATGGGGATGAGGAGGTGATGGGGGTGGGGAGGTGATGGGGGTGAGGAGGTGATGGGGGTGGGGAGGTGATGGGGATGGGGAGGTGATGGGGATGGGGAGGTGATGGGGGTGGGGAGGTGATGGGGGTGGGGAGGTGATGGGGGTGGGGAGGTGATGGGGGTGGGGAGGTGATGGGGGTGGGGAGGTGATGGGGGTATGGAGGTGATGGGGATGGGGAGGTGATGAGGATGGGGAGGTGATGGGGGTGGGGAGGTGATGGGGGTGGGGAGGTGATGGAGGTGGGGAGGTGATGGGGGTGGGGAGGTGATGGGGGTGGGGAGGTGATGGGGGTGGGGAGGTGATGGGGGTGGGGAGGTGATGGGGGTGGGGAGGTGATGGGGGTGGGGAGGTGATGGGGGTGGGGAGGTGATGGGGGTATGGAGGTGATGGGGATGGGGAGGTGATGGGGATGGGGAGGTGATGGAGGTGGGGAGGTGATGGGGGTGGGGAGGTGATGGAGGTGGGGAGGTGATGGAGGTGGGGAGGTGATGGGGGTGGGGAGGTGATGGGGGTGGGGAGGTGATGGAGGTGGGGAGGTGATGGGGGTGGGGAGGTGATGGAGGTGGGGAGGTGATGGGGGTGGGGAGGGGATGGGGATGAGGAGGTGATGGGGGATGGGGAGGTGATGGGGATGGGGAGGTGATGGGGATGGGGAGGTGATGGGAGTGGGGAGGTGATGGGGATGGGGAGGTGATGGGGGTGGGGAGGGGATGGGGGTGGGGAGGGGATGGGGGTGGGGAGGGGATGGGGGTGGGGAGGTGATGGGGGTGGGGAGGTGATGGGGATGGGGAGGGGATGGGGATGGGGAGGTGATGGGAGTGGGGAGGTGATGGGGATGGGGAGGTGATGGGGGTGGGGAGGGGATGGGGGTGGGGAGATGATGGGGGTATGGAGGTGATGGGGGTATGGAGGTGATGGGGATGGGGAGGTGATGGGGATGGGGAGGTGATGGGAGTGGGGTGGTGATGGGGATGGGGAGGTGATGGGGGTGGGGAGGGGATGGGGGTGGGGAGGGGATGGGGGTGGGGAGGTGATGGGGGTGGGGAGGTGATGGGGATGGGGAGGTGATGGGGATGGGGAGGTGATGGGAGTGGGGAGGTGATGGGGATGGGGAGGTGATGGGGGTGGGGAGGGGATGGGGGTGGGGAGATGATGGGGGTATGGAGGTGATGGGGGTATGGAGGTGATGGGGATGGGGAGGTGATGGGGGTGGGGAGGTGATGGGGGTGGGGAGGTGATGGGGGTGGGGAGGTGATGGGGTGGGGAGGTGATGGGGGTGGGGAGGTGATGGGGGTGGGGAGGTGAAGGGGATGGGGAGGTGATGGGGATGGGGAGGTGATGGGGATGAGGAGGTGATGGGGGTGGGGAGGTGAAGGGGATGGGGAGGTGATGGGGATGGGGAGGTGATGGGGATGGGGAGGTGATGGGGGTGGGGAGGTGGGGATGGGGAGGTGATGGGGATGGGGAGGTGATGGGGTGGGGAGGTGATGGGGATAGAGAGGTGATGGGGATGGGGAGGTGATGGGGGTGGGGAGGTGATGGGGGTGGGGAGGTGATGGGGTGGGGAGGTGATGGGGATGGGGAGGTGATGGGAGTGGGGAGGTGATGGTGATGGGGAGGTGATGGGGGTGGGGAGGTGATGGGGGTGGGGAGGTGATGGGGGTGGGGAGGTGATGGGGGTGGGGAGGTGATGGGGATGGGGAGGTGATGGGGGTGGGGAGGTGATGGGGGTGGGGAGGTGATGGGGGTGGGGAGGTGATGGGGGATGGGGAGGTGATGGGGATGGGGAGGTGATGGGGATGGGGAGGTGATGGGGGTGGGGAGGTGATGGGGGTGGGGAGGTGATGGGGGTGGGGAGGTGATGGGGGTGGGGAGGTGATGGGGATGGGGAGGTGATGGGGGTGGGGAGGTGATGGGGGTGGGGAGGGGATGGAGGTGGGGAGGTGATGGGGGTGGGGAGGTGATGGGGGTGGGGAGGTGATGGGGGTGGGGAGGTGATGGGGGTGGGGAGGTGATGGGGGAGGGGAGGTGATGGGGATGGGGAGGGGATGGGGGTGGGGAGGGGATGGGGGTGGGGAGGGGTTGGGAGTGGGGAGGTGATGGGGGTGGGGAGGTGATGGGGGTGGGGAGGTGATGGGGGTGGGGAGGTGATGTGGGAGGGGAGGTGATGGGGGTGGGGAGGTGATGGGGGATGGGGAGGTGATGGGGGTGGGGAGGTGACGAGGGGGGGGGGAGGGAGGGGGGCCCTGCGGGGAGTTGACACAGGATGAGGTGGCTTCAGAAGGATGTGACTTGGGCAGGCACAGGATGGAATCTCATGCAAAGGGGTCACCATGGTGCTGGGCTCTGGGGCCCCCTGATCGCATGGAGTGCCATCCCGAATGCTCAGGAGCACTGGACTCTGAGTAGAAAACTGGTGCAGGTAGCTGATGTCAAAGTCTATGATGGTCTGTGGGAGGCACAGCCAGTAAAGCCAGCGGTGACCAGAGATCTCTGCCCAGCTGCGCACTTCACGTGGCCCTGGCGGGAGCGCCGCTAGCACACAGCAAAGGAGGGAACGGACAGCTCCGGACCCAGCTTCGCCAAGGACGGCCTGTCCCCACCCAGGGCTGCGGAAGCCCAGCTAGTCCAGCGCCGGCCCTCACCATAGCCATGCTCAGCCAGGCGTGGTCCACGGGGCCCCTGCAGCAGGAGGTGCACAGTGGGGCATCCTGCATCCTCAGAAAGAGCCAGGTACGCAGCGGAAGGACTTGGTGAATTGCTGCTGGACAGAGAGCAACCTGAACCTCAGGGATGCTGTGGTCCCCTGCACCTTGGGGGGGAGACCTGATGTCCCCCAGCCCTCAGCTCCTGCAGAAGGAGGCAGAACACAGTGTAGAACTTTCTGTTTCAGCGTGGGCCTAGCAAGAGGCCTGGCACACACGCTGCTGCTCACTTAACACTCTTGGCCCTTACACGTACAAGGCCACGGATGATTCCGCTAGAAATACACAGCCAGGGTGAAGCGTACCCCCCAGGGCTGAGCCAGACAAGTGGTCAGACAGGCTCCCAAATCCTCCGGCCACACACCCTGCCCGACGGAGTGCTGCCACTCCCGAAGCCCGCACGCGGCTTCCTCGACGCCCCCAAAGCCTGAACGTGGCTTCCTCGACAGAGCGAACACACGCAGCCATGGCCACAGCAGCTCTGGGCTTCTTGGCACGTACCTGGGGATGCTGGTGAGGTAGGTCATGACATTCTGGAACTCCTTGTCCGGGATCTCGCTGAAGGCTGGGTAGTCAGGGAACGTGATGACCGGGCTGCCGTCCTGGCCCCGCCCACCTGGGGAGACATGACGGAAACTCAGCAGGGTCTCCTGCCCAGCCACAATGGCGGTACCCTGTCAATGAAACTAAGGCTGGCTCACATGGTTCTGTATTTTCTTGTGTGTGTGTGTGTGTGTGTGTGTGTGTGTGTGTGTGTGTGTGTGTGTGTGCATGAATGCACACAAGTACTGGGGCTTGAACTCAGCCTGGGCACTGTCCCTTAGCTTTCTCACTTAAGACTGGCATTCTACCACTAGAGCCACAGATCCACTTCTGGCTTTTCTGGTAGCTTTGTAGAGATAAGAGTCTCATGGACTTTCCTGCCCAGGCTGGCTTCAAACAAGTGATTCTCAGATCTCAGCTTCCTGAGTAGCTAGGATTATAGATAGAAGTCATTGGCACCTGACTTGTATTATCTATGAAAAAAACTGCACATGTACAGAAGGAATATTTAGTGACCCTCAAACAGGACATCTGTCCCCCAACTCTTAAGCCCAGTCAGGGCCACAGGCTGGAAGTGTCCCTTCTGAGTAGCCATGCTCTGCCTACTGCCTCGGAGCCTCTTGGCCTTCTGGCCCTGTCCTGACTGAAGATGTGTTCCTTGTGGCACTGAGCAGAGCTGTCTTCGGTTCTCAGCCATCCTTCATCATCTTGAATTCTTGCTGCTCAAAAGGCCAGGTCCCTGCTGCAGACAGACTGAAAGCTTTGTCCATTGTCCGATCTGTCCCAGTTAACAGCCCTTTGGGGATTGGACCTGCCATGGCTCAGCTTCATGTGGCGCTAGGAGACAACTTTTCATTCAATGAAGGGCAGGAGGACGGTACCAGAAGAGGCCAGCAAGCCTGGGGAAGGGGGGTGGCCACGCCTGCCCTTTGCTTTCTGACAGGACTAACTGGGAATGTGGTACAGCCAGCTCCATGTCCACTGGGTTCCTGTGTGGGCGGCAAGCTGACCGCAGGCTACAGCTGCTCGCATAGCAATTCCAAGGTGTGTGAGTCCCCACCTCCCCACACCGGCAGTCAGGCCACGGAGGAGCCCATGTGGCCTGGACCCTGTCTCTCCCTGCCACGGAATGCGCCAGGGGAACTCGCCACGGGAACACACTCTTCTCCACCTGCTGCAACGGCATAGCTATGCGAGTGTGACTGTGTGGTTCTCTGATGTGGCGTGGGAATGAGAAGGGCTTGCTCTGCTCACACCGAGTGCAATGCCCAATGAGTGCGTCCCCTGCAAGCACAGGATCCATCCTGTGGGAACGTTATAGAGCACAGCTGCTCCCCAGGCTACCCTACCACCATCTAAGTCCATCATGGCCACAGCAAGGCCTTTGCCCTGGTTCTAGGCTGCTCCGGGGGACCCGGAACCAGACCACATGGGTGGTGCCGGAGCCTCGGATGTGACGCTGGGCGGGTAGGCTGGCCCCAGATGATGGGTGCACCTGGGCCTCTCTGAGGCCCCAGGGCCTGGCTGACTCCACCTGGCTGACTCTGAGTGGCTCCGATGGGTCTTGCCTTGTGAGGCACATGGGCTGAAGCAACTGCTGTGACTTCCAGAGAGGTGCTGGCTCCAGGTGCTGGAGGCAGGGAGGAGGCCTTAGGGCTCTCAGGACACCAGTGGCTTCACATTTGGAAAGAACTGCAGTTCAACTACTCAGAACCTTACTATCATGTGGGAAAGAGCCAAGCAGGAAGCCGAGCAGATAAGGGTGTGGACACTGGCAGGTGTTGAGAGAAGCGTGGGCAGTGGCCTCATGCAGGGTAGAGGCCCAGGAGCCCCCAGGGGGGAGGTGGCCCACTCCACAGGCCGAGAGTGGGCTCATCAGGGCCTCCTTGGCCTCCCAGAGTCACCACCTCCAGGCTGGTGTGAGGCCCAGCCCCGCCCAGACCGGAAGGGCCCACCCAGTTCTTGAACTGATAGCACTGCCGTTGGTCCAGGTGCTGGGGGTGGCAGGGACGCTGCCTCGAGGGCCAGGTGAGGTGAAAATGAAAGGCAGAAGCCTGCACCAGTAAGCACTGAGATGCTTCATCTTAGGCCTCTCAAACCTCAGGGCGCCCTCTGGAGGGCAGCAGCATAAAGCAGTAGATAGGCACTGGCATGGACAGCACTCTAGCATGGATGGGCACCCTGGCATGGACGGGCTGTGGAGCAGTGAGGGGCACCAGCTCAGGATCTGAGCAGCCAGAGGAGGAATCCACTGTGTGACTCGGTGTCTGGAGTCTGTTGTGCAGGGAGAGCCCGTCCTGCAGGACTAGCTGATGTGGTCAAGCCCACTGAGGAAAGCTGTGACTGACCCGAACCTTGATCTCTTCTGACAAGGACCTTGACGCTCCAGGCTGGTGTTTTCTGAACACCAGGGAGAGATGCATACAGTGGGGCCGACCGCAGGTACATACAGCCCACAGGGCAGGGCAGCTCACAGTTAATGTGGAAGCCAGTGGCCCAAGGCTGGGGCATGTAGGTGGCAAGGGGTGGTGGGAGGCTAGGAGGGAGACAGGGTGGTGGACCGTAGCATCTTCACAAGCTTTGGCTGCTCAGCCCTCAACCCAGGGCGGTTCTGACCTCATCCTCTTGAGACCTGGGCTCTCATGTGCTCTGTTTTTGTCTCTGTCTCTCTCTGTGCTACTGGCAATCACACTTGCTAAGCAAGTACTCTACCACTTGAGCTATGTATGCCCCTTAGCTGTTTTATTTCTTTTTTACTTTTTAAAAAGGGGGGGGTCCTCACTAATTTTGTTGGCTTTGAACTCAAGATCCTTCCATCTCTACCTCCTGAGGAGTTGGGATTATAGGCGTGTGCACCGCGATCTAGCTCCGGATGACTCACCCAGCCTGGGGTGTTGTGTTATGAGCAGAGGAGATAGACGGGGCCCTGACGCCTGGCCACCCCTCCTGTAACGAAAGGGTGGCCAGGGTGGCCGTGCTACCAGCTTCTCCCCAGGCAGTGGCTGGGAGCAGTCTGGAAGGCCTTGTGAGACTAGTTCAGCCCCGGAGGTGTGCCGTCCCAGGATAGCCCAGGCAGTGCCAGGTCCCTGCACAGAGGCTGCCCCTTCCCCCAGCCTTCCCGGCCTCGGGAACTCACCGGACAGGTAAGCGAAGCGCTTCTTCAGCTGCTCCTGGATGTCGGCCGCGCAGAGCGGGACGATGTCCTGGTGCATGATTTCATCTGCAGGAAGAGCAGAGGCACCGTCACCGCAGGAAGCCGCGCCCACACCCACAGGTAGGGCCCTGGGGACAGGGACTGGCCTGGCCAGCAGCGCCACAAACACCGGGAGCTGCAGTCAGATCACGTGCTGGAAAAAGGTATTTCAGGTTCCAATGGGAGCAAGCTTTCTGTTTCTCCCAGCACAGAGAGCCACCATCAATGGTTAAAATGTGTGTATGATGGAGAGAGGAGGCAAAGAAACAGAGTGACAGATGGAAGTCGGGGAAGGAGGAAGGAGGGAACAGAGGAGGAAGGGAAAGGAGGGGGAGGGAAAGAAGGAGGAAGGAAAGGAAGGGGAGGAAGAAGAGGGGGAGGGAAAGGAGGAGGAGGGACAGGAGGAAGAAGGAAAGGAGGGGGAAAAAAGGGAGGAGGAGGGAAAGGAGGGGGAGGGACAGGAGGAGGAGGGAGAAGGGGGGGAAGGGCTAGGCCTGGCTCATGAAGTAAACAAGCTCCTGCTCTCCTCCCCACCTAGTCCTGGCAGACATCCAGACCACTTGTGCTCTCACCTGTTGCCTATCAATGATGTGCTGGCCGGAAAGGACACCTGCCGCCCCACCCCAATCCCGGAGGCCCATGGCCTCCACAAATGCCACGGCCACGTGCCCCTGGCCTTTCCCAGTGCATGATTCGGGTGAAGCAGAACAGGAGCAGGCCCAATTCCTGACCTCAGGCACGGATAGGCGGCTCTGTCCACCACAAGTTCCAGGTCAGCAGCCTGGGGATGGACAGGGAGCAGGCCCAGCTGGACTCTGCTGGAGCAGAGATGGATGCCACTGTGCAAGACAGGGCTGGCCTCCAGCTGGCGTGCTGCTGTCCGCACTCCATCATCACACCAGAATCTGTCCACGCCCCACAGCACAGAAGCACCGACAGACACCGGAGACTGCTCCTGTGGACCGCGTGCCTGTGGCGTGTCACAGGCACCTGGGTGACCGGCCACAATGGCCGGAGATGTGTGCAGCCTCGACCTTAGATCCTGTGGCTCCAGCAGTGTAGACAAGCCAGAACACAGCCGGCCCGAGCCACGGTGCCTGACTGCTGGCTGGCGACGTGAGTAGCCTGCCCCTGCCAGCCCTTCTACTGGGGCTGGTGAGGCTCTGCTAGGCCCACGCATGCCTGTCAGAGCCGCATGGCATGGCGTGCCCTGTGCACGAGGAGTTGGGAAGTAGATGACAGTCACCTTCTTCAGACACAGACCTCCTCAACACACAGGGCGCACTTTCCAGTGTCAGCCCGACGACAGGGGCTAGGCTTCCACTTGTGGGGACTGTAGGACTGAAGACCACAGTCCCACAAAGGCGACACATAATGGGCTGGGCCAGGGGAGCTGCGGCCTGCATACTCATGCCTCGCGCGGGATACACTGGCGGTCTTCGTGAAGGTGTGAGAAACCACGGGGAGTTTGCCAGTGGCACTGGGGCCAGCGTGCTCTTTGCATCCAGGACAAACTGGACAGTCGTTCAGAATGCCCGGGATGAGGCCTAAGCCTTAGGCTGGCCAAGATCCACCTGGACCTGGCCATGATGAGAGAGACGTTGGCCCTGGGTCTACAGACCTGCCCCAAGCACGTCTGGCTGCACCCCCTGGAAAAGGAAAGACTTCTGACTGCACCCCACTCAGGAAAAGGAAAAACTTCTGACTGCCCCCACCCAGGACAGGAGAAGTTGAGTGGGAGGGCTCCTGATGTGAACATTCTGAGTCCTGACTTGCACTGTGGTCTGGATGGTTCCTTACGTTTATTCTGTGGGTTCCGGATGGTAATGCTGAGATGCCCCCCCAACCCCGCACTCCAATGGGGGTACACCCAGGCTCCTGAGCACATGGTATCATTCCCGGGCCTCAGTTGGCTGATGGTGGCTGACTTTCCATGGGTTCAAACAGGCTGCCAGAAGATGTGTCCCCTGCAAGCTGACCAGCTTCTGTGTGTGCAGGTAGGCCTAGGTGTGCGTGGCTGCCCTCAGGTGAGATCTCTTGTCCTGCAGGTAGAGTCTTTCTCTACCCAGCTTTAGTCCGGTTTCAAGGCCCTCACCCTATGTGACACCACGTCCCCCACCCTGCGGGCACCCTGCCTTCTACTGTCCCCATGATGCTTGGTCAAAAGGCCAGGGGCATCTTCCTGGCCACTGGTCAGCCCTGGCATGCAGCCGACTGAGGACATTCTGGAGCATCTGCTGTTTGTTATCGCACAAGGCATTCTCAGACAGCAGGCCCTGGGGTGCTTTGTGCTTCAAGCTCACCTCCGTGCTAGTTTTTTTCCTTCCTACCTTTTTATGTCCACTGTGGACTGATGGGACAGCGCCAAGCTATGTGATGAGAGCATTCTTAATCTCGTCCAATCTGTGCTTTGTGGATAAGAGGCTGGATTGGTAAATTAACTAAAAACAAGGTAAAAGCCGGCACCCAGCCCCACAGCCCCATGACCACAACAGTGCCCTTGCATTCAAGCCATTCGTCCTGCAGCCACTTTGTGATCACCTCAGGCCTCTGGAAAGCCAGGCCTGTCATAAGCATCTTGTGACCAAAGGTAAACTGGCCCTCGTACAGGTGATGTCTTCTTGTCACCTTGCAGTGAACAGCCAGCCCTATGGCTGACACACCAAGCCTCAAAGTCAAAGACTGAGCTAGAGGTCAATCAGTCTATACCTCTGACCTGGGACTGCTTTCCCATATGCCCCCAATTTTCCCTATTTAATCTGAAGCCAATGTCTGTACCCTGGAGATGGCTGAAGATGCACTGAAGTGCTGTCATGTCACAGATCCATCTGTCCTTCACCGTGTCTCTACTTGGCATGCAAGGAGCAGCTGGACCTTACACAGGAGCCCTGGGCTCTGAGTGGGACGTCTAAAACCCGGAACCAATCAATACAAGAACATCCAAGAATCACAATGTGTGGACAGACAGGAAGGAGACGGAGACCCTGCAGTGACCCGGGTCTCCCAGAAAATAATGTCCTAACAGGAAATGGGTTGGCCCCTCCTCATGGGGTCAAAGGGCAGGGCCGGCCCTCACAGAGCTCCTGTGTGTGAGCAAAAGGCAGCCCCGACAGCAGCATCCTGCAGTCAAGGGCCACCAGGTGGACAGAGAGAGGAAAGGCAGTGGGTGGAGGGGCACCTGCCCAAGGTGGGGAGCAACTGCTCGCGGTGGAGGCAGGCCTACTGTTTGCTGGTGACTTTGGCCAGAGCCCGGCCTCCCTCACAGGGATGGGGGAAGGAAGAAAGGGCTCCCTGCCCACTCAGCCAGGAGGGCACCTCCGGCCACACAGTAAAGCCTATTATTTGCTAATTATCACCCTTTATTTATAGCTGGCAAAGAGCCTATTCTCCAGGGCATTTGCACCCTGTCAGATACAATCGCATCTTTTCAGTGTCTGGGGTTGAGGGTCCCGGGGGATTGCGTCACAGGCCACAGAGGGGCTGTGTCTACCCCTCAGGCCCACCAGAGTCTCGACCAAGGGCCGGATGTCCACAGAAAAGGGCCAGAGGAAAAGCCAGCAGGATGCAGAGTAGACTTCAATTTGGTAAGGAGGGTATTTGATGTCACTCATCCCAGAAGGACGGAGTTCTTGCACAGGCTGTTGCTACGCTGAGGGCTGTGTTGGATTCAGCTGCTCAGAACGTCTGAGATTTCCACCAGCTGGGCTAGCAGAATTGTCACATTTTAAGTCTCCATCCTTTTCTTGCGTGAGCCACAAATATTTCTCATCTCATACACGCAGCACCTAAATTGACTTCGTCACTAAATGTTTTCTCCCATGGGTCCTCACAACTTTTGAGATAAAGATGCACAGAAAAGATGACATAAATATATTTTTGTTGTTAAAGAACAGATGACCATGTGGGGGTGGGAGGGTGAGGGGGGTGGAGCCACATTAACCACCGGACGCCTCATCCCAGACCCCTGCTTGGAGAGATGGAGTGGGCTGTGGGGCAGAGCTGGCAGGGTTGGGAGCCGCTGTGGCTGGCATGGCGAGGGGTCACAGTGGACCCCCCATGTGGTGGCCCCAGTCTCCCTGGTAACTTGGTCCTCCAGAGCCACTCTACGCCCTCCATCTGCCAAGGGGTCCTGGCCCCAGACACGTGGATGAGGCCTGGTGCTAAGTGTCTGCGGGGGTGCATTGAGCCCCCGGTCTGAGCTTCCCCCCCGCCCCTGCCCCACCATCAGGGCCCTGCAACCTGGGCCTGCCCCTCTGCGCACCTACAACTGCTGCTCTTCCACACCGCCACCAAGCCTGGGATGTCTGACCGTCCAGTTCCCCAGCCCCAAGCCCACATCCCAGGGAAGTGCTGCCGCCCTCCCCTCCCCCCTCCCTCACCACCCCTGCCCTGGGCATCAAGAACCCATCCCTGCCCTTGGCCCTGAAGGAAGAGGTCGGCTTTCCTGAGAGCCACTCGACCTGGGCTGGGCTTGCAGGCGTGTGCCACAACGTCCCACCCTCTCCATGGAGACACAATCTTTTTGCCCAGGATGGCCCGCACAGTTCTCCTCCCAACCTCAGTTCAGCATTGCAGGCGCACCCCACTATGGCTCACCGATGGGTTGAAAGGGGGTCTTGTGACCATTTTCTGAGATGGCCTCGAACCACAACCCTCCCGCTCTAAGCTTCCCACGCAGCTGAGATTACAGGCATGAGCCAACAGTGCCTGGTGAGTTGAACTCACTGAACTTTCGCCTCTGTGGGCAGCCCAGCTCTAGGGTGGGCCTCCTGTGAGGACCCCGCTTTGGGACAATAGCGCCCTGCCCCCCACCGTCTCTCAGCACAGGGGAGAAGCCAGGACTCAGAACAACATGGTAAAGTCTGAACGTCGGCTTCTGATCTGAGACTTCAGAGACTCCGATCTGCATTTGCAAGAAGAAGCCCCACCAAGCCGCCCCTGCTGCAGGGAAACACTGCTGCTCAGAGGTCAGCACCATGTGCTGACCAGAGGTGAGCCATCCCCTCTGGGGGTGAGCTGGGAGTGGC